CCGATCAAGTTCGTTCCCGAGGTTGCTGGTGGTCTTGGCGTCATCGCTGTGACCATCTTCGCTCTTCTTGCCTCCCTTGTTCTCGGCTCTGGTGCTGCTCCCTCCATAGAGCAAGTCAAGGCTCAGGCTAGGATTGGGCAAGGGCGCTGCTGTTGACGCGAAGGACAAGGCCGCCTGCGGCTGTCGCCACTGGAGCTGAGAAGGCACAGGCTGAGGTCAACAAGCGCACTACACGCTCCAACGCCTCATAGGTCTGACAAGGCACGTTACGCGTTAGAGTAGACCGTTGGCGAAGGATTAAAAAAGGGCTCCAGACGGGCTTGGTCTTGGATGATCCCAGTTTCCACATTTTTGGATTTTTGACTTGAGCTACATATCGGCCTAAGAGGACGGCGCTACAAGTGTATCATAGTCATTGTTTTTGCAGGATGAGAAATGCAATGAACTTGGGTTCAGGCCCGAGTAATTCGATATCTTCCGTTTCAACTGTTCCTAATATGATTTGCTCACCATGATCTCGTTGGGAAAGCCTTTAAACCCGGATGAGCAGAAATATGTCTACAAGCGTTCTCGGTGTGTTTTTATCTCAGATGCTATGTTCAAAGTATAGAGAGGTGGACAGAAGACTCGGATCCAATTAACACGACTTATCATAGCATTACGCTCGAATGCTCATGAGAAAGAGCCGTTGGGCAATAGATGCACTTGTAAACGCCGTAAACGCCGCAAACGCATGGTATCGAAATGCGGGATAAGCATCCCCTTCAGCCTCGGATATCCGCATATCAACGGCGGGGCCCCATCTTCGAGCTTCGGCCAGTCGAAACAAGGGAATCCGGGAACAGTTTCCCTGATCAGCCGGGAGCTTCAATCTGTCTTTACGTGGCTAATTATCCTTCTTCATTCGCATAATTTCTGAATAAACCTCTTGCTGCTCGCTCACCGCAGCTGTTGCTCCTCTCCCCACATCTTCTCCTCGGCACTTGCCCTGCGCCAATATGGCTTCCCGTCGAGCGATTACACGTCTTCCGACACTGGCCGCCCGCTCTCCTCTCCCTCGCGCAGCTCCTTTCTGCCTCAGAATGTCGTCGCCAGCCAGCACGAGCAAAGTTGCAGCGCGGCGGTTACACGCCACTGCTCAGCATCTGAAGCCTGCCGCGTCTGCGGTCGCCGAGTCGTATCCTATGAACCACGAGCCGATACAGTCACCCGAAGACACGAAAAACTTTGTTGACAACAAATTCGTTGCCTCGAAAGCTACGCAATGGATCAGCCTCAACGATCCGGCGACCAACAACTTGGTGACAAGGGTGCCGCAGAGCACCGACGAGGAGCTCAAGGCCGCGGTGGACAGCGCGCAGAAGGCATTCAAACCTTGGAAAGAGACTAGTTTGTTGCACAGGCAGCAGATCATGTTCAAGTACACACATTTGATCCGCGAGAACTGGGACAGACTGGCTGCCAGCATCACGCTCGAGCAGGGTAAGACTTTTGGAGACGCGAGGGGCGATGTTCTGCGTGGTCTCCAAGTTGCCGAGACTGCATGCGGAATCACAACTCAGATGACTGGCGAGGTGCTCGAGGTTGCAAAGGACATGGAGACTCGCAGCTACCGCGAGCCATTGGGCGTCGTTGCTGCCATCTGCCCGTTCAGTGAGTTCTCTCCACCACATGAGTGTGAACCGCGCTAACGAGCTACCCCAGACTTCCCCGCAATGATTCCCCTATGGACCATCCCAATCGCTACCGTGACTGGCAACACATGCATCATCAAGCCGTCCGAACGCGACCCAGGTGCTTGCATGATTCTCGCTGAGCTTGCTGAGAAGGCCGGCTTCCCTCCCGGTGTCATCAACATCATCCACGGGTCCGCGAAGACTGTCGACTTTATTCTTGACGAGCCCCGGATCAAGGCTATCAGCTTTGTTGGTAGCAACAAGGCTGGAGAGTACATCTACTCGCGCGCGTCTGCCAATGGCAAGCGTGTGCAGGCTAACTTGGGCGCGAAGAACCACGCTGCTGTCTTGCCGGACTGTAATAAGAACCATGCCCTGAACGCTATTGCTGGCGCTGCTTTTGGTGCGGCTGGCCAGCGATGCATGGCTCTGAGCACTCTTGTTATGATTGGCGAGACCAAGGATTGGGTTCCTGAGATTGCTGAGCGCGCAAAGGACCTCCAGATCAACGGTGGTTTTGAGGAGGGTGCGGACCTTGGTCCAGTCATCAGCCCTGAATCCAAGAAGAGGATCGAGGAGCTCATTGCCAGTGCTGAGGAGGAGGGTGCTACGATTCTTCTTGATGGGCGTGGTCAGAAGCCGCCGTCGGAGAAGTATGCCAACGGCAACTGGGTACGTTCTTTACCAAATATCAATTACGACGTCTGCTTACAGTATGCTTAGATCGGACCTACCATCATCGCCAACGTCAAGCCTCACATGAAGTGCTACACCGAGGAGATCTTCGGCCCTGTCCTTGTCTGTTTGAACGTCGAGACTATCGATGAGGCCATTGACATGATCAACGCCAACGAGTACGGCAATGGCACTGCCATCTTCACGCGCTCAGGTGCCACTGCCGGCCGCTTCCAGCACGAGATTGAGGCCGGTCAGGTTGGTATCAATGTGCCCATTCCAGTACCCGTAAGTCACACATCCTTTATTTGACATGAACAACGACTAACTGGCCATCACAGCTCCCCATGTTCTCCTTCACTGGCAACAAGAAGTCGATTGCGGGCGGCGGTGCCAACACATTCTATGGCAAGCCTGGTCTGCAGTTCTACACACAGCAGAAGACTGTGACGAGTCTGTGGAGAAGCGAAGATGCTATTGCGACCAAGGCGTCTGTGAATATGCCTACACATAGCTAGACAGGAGTGTGATATGGGTTCTATCAGCATTAATCAGAATGCATGATTGAATATTTCAGAAGTCAATTTTCCAACAGCAAACATTCTGAATCAGGCGTGTACATCCTCATCAGACGTGAGACGTGGACGTCATTTCTTTACGCGTCAAAAGTGATTTTGATCAACATGGCATCTGCGTCTCACCGTGGGGCCTGCAGTTGGTTCTCACACAAGTCCTCCGGTCATTGTCAGCGCCCAGCCTCGTGTCGGTCCTAATGTCAGCTGCAAGGCGTATTCGCAGCCAAGTGCACGCGGCATGAGGAATGCGAACACAGCACGAGAGAACTTCTTCTCGTGCAGTTCCGCTTATCTTACAAGCAATGCTACACAGCAGGGCTACAGCCACGAGTTGCGGAACACCGTTTCGGCGGGTATGCCTGAAACGCCAAGCTTGGCGAGGGCGTCATGATGTGCCGCGGCTCCACCTTTTTTTTTGGGTGCGTGGCATGGGGATTTTCTATTCCCAGCCAGCGCAACATGCATCCCGATGTGCTGGGCACGCGTAGAGTTTCTGTGATGCTTTGTGCGTGGCGCATTGGGCAAAGCGCATTCGGTCGGGGAGTACGGGAGGAATGCATGATCTGGCGGGAATTTTTTTTGTCGATGCGCCGAGCAGAAGTCGGTGTTTTACTACGACTGCGGTGCGAAGTCAATTGTGTGCCAGCGCATGGCGGAGGAGGCAAGGCCAGGCCATGTGTGTGTGGCGTGGTGGCTGGCAACATCGATAATAATAATGGGCGGGATGTGGTAGCGTATTATCTGCTTGGCTGCTTTCGGTCATCGATACTATTTATTGACGCTGCCGGTCACCGGTGGCGATGGATGCATGCACATGCGCATGCGATTGACAGAACAGACGTGGTTGATAGTTGCTGTCAAGGCGAGTGCAATTGATGCGACGGGCCCGGAATTATCTCACGGTGTATCGCGTGAAAGTGTGACTGCGCCAGGCGTGTGGTGTTTCAAAGGGCTGGATGTTGCGGCTAGTGAGCTCATTGGATCGGCGTCTACTCCATGCCCACGCCGGGCGATGACGAGTCCCAGTAGTGAATACACTGGCTCAACAACAGCCAGCCTTTGAAGCACCGCGCGTACACCTCCGCTTACTCCACACGCCGTTTCTTCCCCTCTTGACCTTTGACGCTCGCTCCTGCCCAGTTCACACCGCTTGCACAATTCTCTGCATTCTTCTTCACATCCCAACATCCGCGACACAAGCGCTCATAGCTGTCTCACCTTATCTTTAATCTCGCTACCCGCCTACTCGCACGCTACGCCGGGACCACCGCGCAGTTCGTTCCACACTCTGATCCACCGCAGCGCAGACAGCCCCTACCTCTGCTCCGCAATACCCGCCCACCAGCCTCGTTGCAGCCGTAGCTCTCGTTGAAGCCCTAGACAAGAAAACTGGGAACATGTCGGCGGCAACAAATCAGCCCGTGCAGCAGGGCCAGCAGCGCCCGCGCGCTGGAACGCACTTCAGCTTCCGCAGCGACCGCAGCAACGAGTTGTCTCCTACAAAGAGCAAGCAGAGCAAACACGAACGCAAAGTCAGCGACAGCGAGAAACGACGGACGCACTACGACCCCAGCACCAAAGCGAACCCCAACCAAGCCATGAATGAAGCCCAGCCCAGTACGTCGTCGCTCTGCCCTACTGCGCCGATCGCGGTTGAGATCCACTGCTAACACGCCCGTAGTCGCTGCTGCGCTCGAGAAGCCGACTCTTCAGTCCCTACGCTCGTTCCAACACAAAGACACACAAGGCAATGAGATTGGTATGTCGTTCCTAGCACGCCACGGTGTTACACGGAGATCTGACCACGTACAGTTGACCCCGATCTTTCCAACCCCACACGCTCGCGATGGGAGCGTCCGCTCGACACCATCAAGTCTTTCGAAGCAGCCATCGATGGCGAGTACCGCCGCCGGGCGCAGACGGTGCGCGGCGACCAGTCCGAGGTGATGAGCGGCTACAACAGCAGGCGGAGCAGCTACTACGGCGGCGGACCCGACCAGGCCCGCTACTCGCGCGCGAGCTACTACGGCAACCAGGGCCGTGATAGCTACGACCAAGGCAGCGGCATGGGTGGTCCTGTTGGTGGACACTCGCAGCGCATGCGCTATGGCAACCGCATGCAGTCGGACCCTGGGTGGAACAACAGGCAGAGCCAATACAACAACAGCGCCAACATCAACGGCAACGGTGTATACCCCATGCACGGACTACAACAATCGCGCGACACTGTCAACACGAACGGCTCGAACGGAAGCCACAGCGACGGGCCGTACTCCAATGAGCCCAGCAGCGACAATTCTTCGTTTGAGCGCGGCGGACCTGTAAACCGCCCGCAGCCTCTGCCGAACCAGAACGTCGGTGAGCAGTACGGATTCAATGGCTTTGGCCAGGCACCGCAGATGGACACGTACGGGCAAGTGCCGAACGGTGGCCAGTACCCACCTCAGACCAACAACGGGCCTCCCCCACCTCCGAAACACGTCGCACAACCTGCGCCGATCAAGTTGACCAGCAGTTCGCCGCCTCCCAACAGCGGTAGCCCAAACGTGCTGTCGAAGAACGGTGGCGATGACAAGAGGAGGAGCTGGTTCAAGAGGCGGTTCAGCAAGGACTAGATATCCTTTAGCTGGGACTCTCCCGACGCAGCAAACGGTATAATATGGAAGAAGCATATGAGGGTACAGATCTTGTAGTCAAGTCGACTCTGAGATTTACATCCTCGAAAGCTGGTCTTGGGGGGAAATATGGATGGCTGCGCCCATATGGATTGGGTCATGACGAAATGATTGAGATATCCTCTTGGGCTTCGCGATAAGTCATTCTTATCCATCTGAGACTGGACAGACATCGCTATGGAGTTTGTGGGGGTTCTCTTTTTTTGCATTGAGATTTCCGTTAGATATCAGACTGGGAATTGTCACTCCTTAGGAAGCGGAGCTGGTTTTGATGTGCTACAGAAGCGTCTCTTTGGGGAGAGCAGTGGTTGTAGTAATCTTAATGTGCGACCGGCATTTTTATCTCGTCATTTTTGACTCGCTCTATGAAGTTTTTTGTGAATGGGAAAGTCATGATGCTACAATTCTTTCTTCGCCTCTCTTGCGTCTTCTGCCTGCTCTGCCTGGTCGTCTTTGAACGCCATAATCACGTAGGCAATCAAGACTACGTTTGCCATGATTGCTGCCAGTGCACCTGCATACGTTGCATTGCCTGGAAAGATGTCAATCGTAACTCTGCCAATGCAGCATACCGTGCAACATACCTCCGAAAACATAGTTGACAGTGAAGAAGTACGTGCCAATAGGCAGCGTAATCATGGCGAACGTAAAGCTCATGAGCTTCCAAATAACGGAGCTACATGATACATCAGCATAAAGTGATGCGACGTACAGCGAGCAGCTCACGCGGGCACCGCAGGCGAGATATTCGACGGCCCAGGGGGACCTCTGGGGTCGACATCGAGATACGTCTTCTCCTCCCCATCCTGCCCGATTATCCGTCTCGTCGTCATTTCGTATGTATGTGGTTGATGTTCGTCGGTCGTGTGAAAGCTTGAGCGCGACATGCACTTCTACCCAAAGTAGTCGTAATGGGCTCCGCACCGACCACCTCACCAACGCGAAGGCGCGTCGTCGGTAGACCACTTTTTTGGTGATCCCCGCCACAGGTCTTCCCTTTCTTCCCTTTATTCCACCGCGCCGACCGTGCGCTGGCCTTTGTCTACGTCGACCGGTGCTTGTTTGTCGGGTTTTCTCGTTGTTCGGGTTTCGTTGAGACTGGGACTTTTGCTATATCAACTCGCCGCACCGCACTGGACATTGGGGAGACGCGCAGCATTTCACATTCACATTCACATACCTACGCAGGCAATGTACCGTGACGATCCTATAGTCTCGTCTTCACCGCCACGCGCTCGATCGAATAGTGCCGAGTACGTCACGCAGCCTACACAGCCTATTGGCACGACGCGCTCGCCTTTCTTCGCTGCCCCCGCGGATTCTACGCAGCCTACGCTCCCGCTCACGCCGCGCGCAAACCAGCGATACCAGCCGCCCGCGTCGCAATTACAAGTCCCGCGCTCGTCGCCTGGCGCAGAGCGGTTTTCGTCACCACCCGCTATGTCGCAATCGCATTCTCAGGCGCAGCGCAATACGATGGCGCCCCCGGGCACGGCTTTCTTCCCGCCACAAGCAGTGCGCAAACCGGTTGTCGATCTGACGTCGGACGACCCCCCTGTCGAGCGCGACCCTTTTGAGAGCGACTCGGAATACAGGAGTAATGTGCCGCTGAGCAAGGTCGAGAGGAGCTCGACGTCGAGAGTCGAGGAGACGCCGCAGAAGAAGAGCTTTGACCTCTCGGGATACGCGTATAATGCTACTGCAGGCGCGGGCACAAATCAGCGGAAACGCCCATCGGCTGGATTGGCGGCATCGCCTGTCGCGAAGAAGCAGAAGGTGGGCGCGCCTCAGGGTGGGCCTTCGAGGGCGATGCCCGTCGATTTGACGCAGGACGAGGAGATGACCCTGGAGGATATTGCGGATCCGGAATTCAGGAAGAAGGTTGTAAGGCTGGTGGCGATATATCCCAATCTGAGCGTTAAGAAGCGGTTCGACGCCTTGATGAAGATGAAGGGCCACTGGAACGATACGTGTGATTATCTCGCAGCCGAGGATTCCGAGGATGAGCTGCTCAAGTCGCCGCAGTGGGGTGGTGTGCAGGGCGGCGCGGCGAAGAAGAATACTGCGCAGCGCACGCTGAAGCAGCCGGTTAAGAATCTTCTCGACAAGTATAGCAAGTTGCCGCCTTCTCAGGTCGTTCCAGCTGCGGCCAGCCCGGAGGTTGAGCAGCCGAAGCAAAAACGACGACTCATTCGAGGCCGCAAGAATCGCTCGCCTTCGCCTGAAGTATCGCCCGTACGACCAAAGCCGCAAGTGCAGAAGCGACCGCAAGTTATAGAATCGGATGAGGATCTGAACGAAGGCATTGTTGAGATCTCGGACGATGATTCGGCGCATGGATCGGACGTTGTGGAGCACGCTTTCTCTGAGGCGTCACTTTTGGGATTCTTCAACGACTCGTCTATTGCGGAAATGGTCGATCTGTCGGGCCACAAAGAGGAGGAGATCCGGGAGCTTTTCCAGCACCGGCCGTTCAAGTCACTTGATGCGGTCCGCAAGCTACATGTGGACTTGAACCAGTCACAAGAGAAGACCAAGAAGAAAGCCCGGAAGCCTCGCATCACCTTTGGCCAACGACTCGTCGACGCCGCTGAGAACATGTGGGATGCCTACTCGACTATTGATTCGGTCGTGAAGAAGTGTGAGAACCTTGGAAAGCCTATGGTTGCGGGCATGGCGAAGTGGGGCATCAACATCTTTGGAGCTTCTACTGAAGAAGGTGTTGAAGTGACGAGCCTGGACGACAACAGCGATGCTAGCTCGAGTCGCGACTCTGGATACCATACTCCTCATAGCGATGCTGGAGCGAGCGAAGTTCGCAAGCCTGGTCGTGGGAAGCTTCTGAAGCAGCCATCGATCATGAACGAGGGCATCGAGCTCAAGGACTACCAAGTGGTGGGTCTGAACTGGCTCAACATGCTCTGGGAGAACAAGATTTCTGGCATTCTCGCAGACGACATGGGTCTCGGAAAGACATGTCAAGTTATCGCCTTCCTCTCGCATCTGAAGCAAACGAGCCCAGGTGGCAAGCCGACTTTAATCGTTGTGCCTGGCTCAACACTTGAAAATTGGTGTCGAGAGTTCCAGCGTTTCTCTGAGACGATCAACTTCACGCCGTACTATGGACCGCAGGCACAGCGCTTCGAGTACCAGGAGACGATTCTCGAGAATATCCGCCAGGGCGAGTGCGATGTCATCATCACCACATACGACTTGACCTTCCGCAACCCGGATAATCACTTCTTGCGCAAGTGTAAGCCAAAGATTTGCATCTACGACGAAGGCCATGTCTTGAAGAACGCGCAGACGACGCGGTACAAGAGCTTGATGAAGATTGACACTGACATTCGTATTCTCTTGACTGGTACGCCTCTGCAGAACAGTTTGCAGGAGTTGATGTCCATCTTAGGATTCCTTATGCCTGAGGTGTTCTACGGTAAGGACAGCGATGTTCCTGACATGCTCGAGATCCTGTTCAAGCACAAGGCCAAGGTTGTAGAGACGGACTCGCATAGCACTCTGTTGTCTGCGCAGCGTATCCAGCGTGCTCGGACAATGTTGACGCCCTTCATTCTCCGACGAAAGAAGGCTCAGGTTCTGAAGCATTTGCCGAAGAAGACGTCGCGCGTAGAGTACTGTGATCTTACCAAGACACAGACTGAGTTGTACACCCAGCAGACTGAGAAGCATGCGCGCATCTTGCGAGACCGCGCTGCAGGCCTTCCCGTCAAGGACCATGCCAATGTTATGATGAAGCTACGACAGGCCGCCATCCACCCTCTCCTCTTCCGCCACCGCTACACCGACGATAAGATCCGCAAGATCTCCAAAGCCTGCATCAAAGAAGAATACTTCGCCGCGAGCGACCCGGCCACCATCTTCGAAGAACTGCAACTCTACCAAGACTACCAATGCCACCAACTCGCCCTCAAATGGCCCAAAACGCTCAAGAAATTCGAGCTCCAGAACCACGAATGGATGGACTCGGGCAAAGTCACCGCTCTCTTCGCCTTACTCAAGCAATACAAAGCCAACGGCGACCGCGCCCTCGTCTTCTCGCAGTTTACATCCGTCATGGATATTCTGAGCTGGGTGTTTGACGAGCACGCCATCGACTTCATGCGCATGGACGGCAGCACGCCGATTGCAGAGCGCCAGTCCCTCATGGACGCCTTCTACGCCGACGAATCCATCGGCGTCTTCATGATCAGCACGAAATCCGGCGGCGCGGGGATCAACCTCGCGTGCGCGAACAAGGTCGTCATCTTTGACTCGTCGTTCAATCCTCAAGATGATGTCCAAGCGGAGAATCGCGCGCATCGCGTCGGGCAGACGAGGGAGGTCGAGGTCGTTCGGCTGGTTACGAGGGGCACCGTCGAGGAGCAGATTTATGCGCTCGGCGTGAGTAAGTTGGAACTGGACAAGATGGTGCAGGGCGAGGAGGAGGAGGGCAAGGGGGGGAAGAAGAAGGGGGAGACGCTGAGCAAGGCGGAAGAGGCCGGGATTGAGGCGGTCGAGATGATGATGCTTAAGCAGCTCGAGGGGAAGGAGGAGAAGAAAGAAGAGGGGGGGAAGGAGGATGTGAAGGACCTTTTCAAGGATGGGTTGAAGAAGGCTGGGGTGAACATCGCGGAGTAGGAGAGGCGAGAAACACAGGGGACGGATTTGAGCTTTTGAATTACATGCAGACGGGTTTTGCGTACGGCTTTTTTTGAGTACAAAGCATAGCGTTGGCGTTGACGTCTAGAGATGGATGATTTTACCTTCGCCATTTTTTGGATAAGCAAAGAAAGAAAGAGCGGCTTTCGCTGGATCGCAATATCATACATACATACACCCAACCCGCTCTTACTTGTGATTGCATAGGTGAAGCTCACACGTTGGGCGAAGTGAGATATGCTATTAAATCAATCAAACATGCAACACAAGCTCAACCCTATCTAAAAACTCCTTCCATGCACGTCTCTATCTCCCACCCACACACATTCAATCTTCAACACTCTCCCCCGCCTTCTTCGCATCCCCCGCTGCCTGATCCTGCGTCTTCTCCTTCTCCTTCTCCTTCCCCGCACCCGCCTTTCCCTTCACCTCCGTCTTCTTCGCCGCCGTCCCCACCGCCTTCTTCTTCTCCACCGCGCCTCCAACGACCTTCTTCTTATCCTTCTCCGCCGCGCTCCCAACAACCTTCTTCTTCTCCGCTGCCTTCTTCCTGTCCGCCAGCCTCTTCTTCTCCGCCGCCTTCTTCTCCTCAATCGCCTTCTTCTTCTCCGCGAGTTTCTTCTTCTCAGCTGCGGCTTTCTTTTCGGCTGCATTTTTGCGCGCGGTCGCGGCGGAGGTGGGTTTTTTGTCTTTATCTGATGTTTTGGACTTGGACGTGGTGGTGGTCTTGGATTTGTCTGTGGATTTGGGGGCGGTGGTTGTGGTGGTTGTTTCCGGTGCGGCGTTGGGGTCGGCCGCGGGTTCTTCGGTGCTCTCTTCTTCTTTTTCTTCTGCTTCGTCGTCGTCGGAACCGTCTTCCTCGCTGCTTTCTGCTTCGTCGCCTTCCTTGACGCTCTCGCCTGCTTTGCTGGCGTCTTTGGGGTCTTGGTCTTGTGTTTTGACTGGTTTGTCTGCTTTTGTGTCTGTGTCCTTGTCTTCTGCACTTTCTGCTGCTTCCTCGTCGTCCTCTTCTTCTTCGCTGCTCTCCTCTTCCTCCTCGTCTTCTTCGCTGTCTTCCTCCTCGCTGCTCTCTGCCTCTTCTTTTGTCTCGGGTGTAGGTTCGGCCTTTGTTGCAGTTTCTGTGACCTCTTTGGACTCCACGGCTGATTTCTCCGCTTCCTTCTTAGGGCATAGCCAAAGCGGGAGATTTGCTGCCAGACGCGATGCCTGGCGTCCTTGGCAGAGGTATCGAGCGTGGAGATAGTATACTTGCGTCTGCCTTCACAGGACTCTTCTTGGGTGTTGCAGACGTGGGTGTATTGGTCTTCTGAGTCAGGAGAGGGTTCGTAGTCGAGATTTTCGCTGGCGCCTGCTTCTTCGCCGCCGCTGCCTTTGCAGCTTCCGCGCCCAGCTGGCGGATAGCCAGGTTCTGCTCGGGGTTGGGCTTGACGACATTCTCCTTCTTCGCCGTCACAGTCGTCGAGGACGTCGCGGTCGTAGAGGACGGAGCTGCGGCGGGGTAGGGTTTTGCGTTGAGGGCGGTAAACGTGGAGGTGATGCCGAGTGCTTCGCGAAGCTCATCGTACTCGTTCCATTCCTCGACTTCTTCGATGCCCTGTCTGGTTCTTAGCTCTTTCTTCTCGATACAGCGTCTCAGGGAATACACACTCCAAGCACATAGCCCTCTTTAACGAGGAAAGGCAGCTTCTTCCCGCTTGCTCTCCGCTGGAACAAGGCCTTTGCAGAGTCGTTGGTTGCCGTGTCGACGCCCTTGAATGGAATCTTATTCGCCTTCAGTATTGTCTCCATACGCGAAGTAGCTGTGATGATGTGTGTCGACCCGGCCGTCAACGACGTGAACAGGTAAATGGCTGGATCTGTGTCCCAGACTTTGAGCTCTGCCATGGTTGCTGTGATAGTGGGGCTGCCTAGAAGTTGGTGGTGGTATTGAGGTGGCCTGGCTCTGTGAACGACGGCCGCGTTGCTATGTGATGACGCTGAAGGGGCAAGCGGGCGGATTGAAAAGCGTCATATGCGATGTGACGCTCGTGAGACTGTTCCAGACGGGAATGCTTCAAGATGGCTGTAGTGCCGCCACACGGAACCCTGCGTGAGCTATGCGGGGTGGTGGAGCTATGACCCCTGTTCGGCAGGAGCCGAGGAGCACAACCAAGTACAAATAAGGAGCATCGCATAAGACAGACATTAACATGTGTACTGTGTGTATTTTCGTTATTGATATGGAGCGAGCGAAATTATGTATTACACAAAACATTTAAAGATCATTGTAGCGTAAAGTCATGTAAACCAGTATGCGCCCACGTTTCGTCCTGGCTGGGACCATGTATTATGCCGTAGGTGTCGGATTGCCATTCGAGTACTTGCCCGCGAGAACCGTCATCAATGCGTCGCTGACCTCAAATTCTTCGAGGACGGCACCAAAGCTAAGTCCAATGTCAGTTGTGCAACTAGAACGGATTGGTGCGACTTACCCGTAACAACGGACTTTGGCAAGCAGCTCCGTCTTGATGACCTCGATCTCGTCCTTGGTCAAATCCTGGAAGTTGGCATCCTGAATTATTTTCGCCCAGGCCATAATCGGCGTAATCTCCCCGTCAAGAGGCAGACGATTGCTGAGATCCAGCAGCTTCATCAAGTCTGGCATTGTGATATCCGGCATCTGATGCGGGTACTTTTCTTCCGGGCACTGCGCAATGTGCGAATCCGGTGGCGCCGTAGCCATCAAAGCGTGTCCACTGATTGTTTCCTCGGCGTCGTGCGCGCGTACCATGAGGAATTGCATGTGATCCATGCAGGGGCGCTCGAGACTGTGGACGCAGTGGTCAGCACAATGTCTTGGAGGCAAAGAAACGACAAACGTACGGGAGGCTCAAAAAGAGGAGAGAATAAGAGGCTATGGAAGAAGCGAATAGAAGAATTATTGCTGGGGTGGAGGAGAAAGATAGGGCGTTCGGTCGTACGTTAAGACGAAGTCAATCCCAATCTGGTCGTAGTCCAGGCCATTTTGTTGCGGACCAGATTGATGGACTTGTTGCTGTTGAAGCGCCATGGGTGGTTGGCCCATGCTGTCGTGCGAGATTGAGCCTCTGTGCTGGAAGCTTGGTGGAGACGTGTAGCCTGTTGAGGCAGATCCGGCGCCGTAGCCAGATACGCTGCCGTTGGAGCTCCCGTACGTAGAACTGCTCACATGTGGCATGCCGTTGTTAGGAGGGTTTGCTAAGTCGAATGCGATGCCGTGGGCCATCAAGAGTTCCTTCAATCTTCGATTCTCTTCTGCGAAAGCATCGCGTTCCCGTGTCGTAGATGCAAATGTCTCCTTCAGGCGGAGAACCTCTTGCTCGAGTGCTTTGATGTACATCTCCTTCCTTTCTCGGTGGGTCCTTCAATAGAGTCAGTGCGTGTTGTGATGTCAGAGACAAGTGTCTCACCTCTGCGCTTGACGATTGAGCTCTTGTCGTCTGGTCAGAGCCGGTTTGCTGTCAGGTTTAGGACCTCTCCTCTTCGCTGGTTGACCATCTGCGCTCAAATAAGATACTGCTTCTATAAATTCGTTGGAAGCGCAAACCTCGTGTCGTCTTCTTCTCGGTCAAGCCCTTGAAGAAGCCGAATTGCGCAAGTGGACTCTTGGATTCACTTCCTATTGATTGCCACTGCCCAGTACTCTCCATCTCCGACGCAAAGCCTGCCAGACTACCCCTCCTGCTATGGGTCATATCGGAAAAGCACTCGGATGCCCGCCGAGATGCTGCAGGAGACGGGTAGTCGGCGCCAGCGCCGGGTGGAGGGTAAACGGGCCCCATGGTTAGCCCCTCTGACCAAGACATATAACGATTATGGGACATTATGTAAAGTACGATAGTAGTGAGATAAAGAGATAAAAAAAAGATAAAGAAATTAGACGATATGAGAAATTACAGTAGCGTGATTAGATGGAGTTTTGACGAAGAAAGACCGGTAGCACTGCAAGGTATATGTAGTCCATCGACGACGGCGCAAAGATCGAGACTGGCATATGTTCCTATTGCCCTTGACGTTCATGCGTCGCCGCCAACGGCCGGCAGGCAAAAGCCCCGTGGTGCACGTGAGAGAAAATCATGCCGCCATGAACAGATCTTGCCTCGACAAGACCTGTTTCGCGCCCACAGCAAGGTAATGTCCTAAGGAAAGCAACGGTGCGGAGAAAAGCATTGTGGCGGAGCCAATGAGGGACTGGAACGAGGCATATGCCAAGCCGGTGAATGTGTTACAACGCAAAGACAAAACGAACTCGACTTCAAACATGGAGCAATTAAAGCGAAAGAAAGAGGCCAAGAGGATAGCGCGAACTTACCATTGCCATTTTGGTAATTCTCATCCATTTCAGATGGATCTGACTTGATAGTAGCCATGCTATGCACGTTGCATTGATCAACGAACACACCCGAGGACTAAACAACGGTCCTCACGGACGCTCTGGTCGTGGAAAGCTGTTGGTCTGAGGTTTCTACTAGACTTTGCACATGTCAGTGGACACCCGAAGACCCCTGTGCACATCCGAAACGTACTGATCCGCTGAGGATCCCACGAACAACGGTCCAAGACTTGGTAGCTGCGAGCTGGACGATTGCGCCGACACGCGCAGCGATAGCTCAATGGTATAGATATCTGAACTAGCTACACATGAACGAGCTCTTCTGTCGATTTGCGTGGCTACAGCAAAGAGCTGGTGGGAAGCGCAATGGGCGAGGGCGATTGAGACGCGAGATGGTGCTGTTCGTGTCGCAGATCCGGGGTCGAAGAGTACCACGACAGAGAGAACGGGATGCGGCAGAAAGGTCGCTTAAAGGAAAAGCTCTTACACTTACAGTGCGATATTTAGCAACATTCAAGCAGTATAGGGTTTTCGAGTAATGCGGAGCGGGACGTGGTCATCGATCAGAGCCCAGCACAGCCCCAACTAGACGATTTGGAATATCGCCTGGTAATAAGGCAAACGTCGAAGCACAAAGGTCGTGTGGTGCGCGGAACGAGCCGGACAAGCAACCTATGACGGCTCGGCAAGTGTGACCCGGACTGATCTTGTCGCCTCGTTGGTGTTGACAAACCGATCTGCTGCGGCTCTGCGGTCTAGAGCTGAGGCTGGACGCCGGCCATCGATAATCCACCGCGCGAACGGGGCCTGAAAGCAGACAGCAGAAACACTGGGTGCAGAGCGAAGATTTTGACAAAGTAACGTCGCTCAACAGCCACAACAAGGCTACCTTGATATGTTTGCGACCGCTGAGGTGATGCTGATGGACGAGGTGATTTGCCTCTGCGGCGTCTGCGCTGGTAGGAGGATCTTGCTCATGACTGGCCAAACTAGCGGGGGAAACGACGAGGCTCACGGTCCGACAGAATTCGGAGACGCCTCCGTTGCACGTTCTAGGTCACTTGCTGATTACTGAACCAAAATACATCGCAAACCACTCTGCTGTTTGCGTCTTTTGATCGAGGACGTACGGATGGCGTTCCGCCAATGCCCACAGATCTGCATATACCTACACGACGCTTAGGTACCGTCGCATTCGCACCTAAAGACCTCAAAATGCGATGCGCCGCACGACAGCCACAGCACACTAGCAGGGACCTCCTCAGGATTTCTCAAGGCAACTCCTGTTCAACCTCGAAATATGGACAGCTTCAACGCTATAACAAAGTTTGTGAGAAAACCACCTCCCTTTTTCAGCTTCGCGTCTGGAATAGACAGCATGCCAGTTTGTCAAAGTTCACAATTGGTGCTGGACTTATGCAGCCACATCGAAAATGAGAGACGTAATAGACTATGAAACATACACTGCGAAAGCCATTCAGTGACTATAAGATCGTATTATTCTTGATGATCTGCTATATTCCCCGCGTCACATGTAACGCTCTATGGCTTGTTGCCGAGGATGTCCTCGATCTGCTTCATCAGGTCATCTGTCAACTTAGGCAAGAGCTTCATAGCGCCGCAGTTGTCGACAATCTGCTCTGGCTTCGTTGCACCCAAGATGACAGTCGAAACATTGGGGTTCTTTGCGCACCAGGCTAGGGCCAGCTGAGTCGTGTTTCCTCCCAGTGACTCGGCAATCTTGGTCAGCTCCTTGACCTTCTTGATCTTGCTCTGGCCCACATCGCTCTTCAGAGCCTCGATCTTTGATTTCATCATGTCAGAGTTGTTGGCGAAGCGCGAGCCCTCCGGAATGCCATCGTTCTGGGTTCTATCATTAGTGGTGTTGCTAACGAATTGTCACTTTAGCCACTCACGTATTTGCCAGTCAACATGCCAGAATCCAGTGGGGACCAGATGGTCGTACCGTACTGGTACTTCTCGAACAAGGGCGCGTACTCCTTCTCGAAACGCTCGCGGTGGAAAGCGTTGTATTGCGGTTGCTCAGCGGTTGGGGGGATGAGGTTGTACTTCTCCGCGATGTCATGAGCCTCCTGAATCTGATCCGCAGACCATTCGCTAGTGCCCCAGTACTAAAGACATAATGTTAGAGCATAATAACTGCTGTTAGGTTTCAGAGCTACTCACGTAAGCCAGGTTCATGTGGATCGTTTGAGTGAAGGCTTCCACAATCTCCCTCATTGGAACATCAGGGTCATGCCTATGTGCGAAGACGATGTCGACGTATGGTGTCTGGAGCCTGGCCAGAGAGCTCTTCAAGCCTTCGATTATGTGCTTCTTTGATAGTCCTCTACCATATGTCAATTACTATGTAGATGCAATGCGCATTCAAACTTACCTTGTGTTAGGCTCCTTGCGAGACGTTCCAAAGAAGACCTGTTTGCTGTGTCAGCTACTAGCAGTCACAAGTCTTGCCATATCCTACCTTCGTCGTGAGCACGAACTCATCACGGGGCCAAGCCAATTCCTTGAGGGCCTGACCCATTTCGATCTCGCACTGTCCAGCTGCATACACTTCAGCAGTGTCGAATGTGTTGATGCCATGGTCCCAGGCTGCTTGCATGCAGTCCTTGACGATGGAGCCTTTTTGGGTTCCACCGTAGGTCAACCATCCTCCTAGAGAGAGAACGGAAACTTTGAGGCCTGCAGAACCGAGTCTCCGGAACTGCCTAGTGTAAAAAGTCAGTATGATGGCTCGGGCGTTGCCCGCATTCCACGGAGGCTACGTACATGTCCTTGGGGTCAAATTTGGTCTCGACGGCAGGCATTTTGAGTGGTATTGGAATATGTATCTCTGATGTGAGAAATCAAATGAATTGGGTTTGAATGGCAGGTTCGACGGCTACAGAATGAGGGGCAGCCTATATGAACACATTTGGTGGGGCAGTTGTGTGTTTTGTAATCGACGTCATGAAGCCGCTATTATCCCCGCGGCTCCTCCACGCGGCGCCTTTGCCTGAACAATAGCACACCTCGAAATCGCTTTCTTCAATTCTGAGAGATAGTACAACGTTGCGAGCTTCACACAAATTAACACGCAGCGGCTTTTCTCGGACGGTGATGCAGTTTTCCATGAATGCATTTGACAATTGGTGGACAGTGCTGTACGGAGGTGAAGGACCTCGTGCATTCTGTCGAACGCATAAAGAAGGTGCCCGTCCCGCGATTTGTCGCCGGAGGCCTGGACTTCACGCAGCCAATACTCAGCCGAGTGCTTGAACAGGGAGCAGAAGGCAAATATCACGGCAGCGGGAGGCCTTAGGCGGGGTACGCGTTTTGCGTTTCCGGGCTATCCTCTCCCTTCCTGTAGGCGGGATCAGGAGCAAGGCCAGCACCTTGCAGCCAACGGCGAGGCGCTCAAGCCGACCCCACGAATCTCGGCCCTGTCAGCCTCATCTGATTTGACAGATGGGATTGGACGTTGGCAAAAGCTTAAAGTGTTCAACACAAAGGCGTGTTTCGAAACGTGGATGTCGCAGAGTAACAGCCGCCCCTGAGGCATCCAGCCACTCACAGCTGCAATGCGTGTCATCACGTGAAGCGCTACGGACAAACATTTCATCACGATTGGCAGGCGATCAATCTAAACAGCCAACAGCTGAAGCTACAAGCTGATCGCTCGGCCCCTTGACGGGCCACGCAACATTGTACTATGGAATGCAATGCGCGTCGCCATATAACCTCAAGGCTTGTGCCTTCCCTTGATTTTTGCACAGTGCTCATTCACTTTACTCGCTACCCACGTTCATTGAATCTCTTTGTCATTCCTGGTGAATATCTCAGCCCGGTCTGAGACCTTATTGCTCTTGTCCCCTTTTTGATACCCATTTAAGAGCTTGTGCTTGTTTCTTCCCCGCTTGCCTTCTAGTCAGACAAACTTTCGAGATCCCTATACACGCCAGTCAAACTACTTCATTCCGAGAAACTTTTACACATCGGTTGAACCGATCCTCAACGTACCAACGCGCAACATGTTCTTCCAAAAAGGTCTTCTGGCAAGCGCCCTCGCTCTATGTGCCATCTCTGCGCCTTTGCCAGAATGCGACGAACCACGATCTTCCACCCTCAGCGTAGCACAACAACTCAAAGCTCCAACACCTCCACCACCAGGAACTCTGACTGCCGAAAAACTCATTCAAATTGCACCGGCCACAGCATCATGTAGCGGCGGTGACTTTGCAGCCGAATGCGCAGACGCAACCCGCGCTACAGCCGCCATCAACAAAGCCTTCTCCACCTACAAGATCACCGAAAAAGGTGAGAAAGCCGCACTCGTCGCATACATGCTCTTTGAGAGCGGAAACTTCAAGTACAACCGCAACCACTTCCCCGCGCCCGGACGTCCTGGCCAGGGAACCCGTATGATGGCGTAAGTCCCCCATCCATCCCCCAACTCTCCTACATCGAAACGAGACTAACATAACCCAGTATGCCCCCCTTTATTTCCAAATACGCCACCGCCGTAGCCGGCGCCACGGCCGTCGGAGCCGCAGAAGCGCAAGGCCCTGACGCCGTTCTCTCCCTGGTTAATGACGACGACGAGAAGAGCTTCGGCAGCGCGCCGTGGTTCTTGACCGCGACGTGCTCGCCTGAAGTCCGCGCCGGCCTTGTCGCTGAGACGACGGAGGGATGGCACAACTTCTTGACGGAGTGCGTTGGAACGACTGCGGCGCCTGAGCGTGATGCGCCTTGGATTGCGGCGAAGCAGGTTATCAATGGATAGAGGGTATGCGTGCTGAGAGACTTGTCGGGTGATGTTTTTCTCGACGGTCGGGGCGTGGGTAATACACATTCTAGTGTGCTCTAGGTAGCGTGCGAAGTTCGTATTGTAAATTCTATTACTTCACTTTGTGAGCATATTTCGCTTGTGAGATGTGGGTGATGTAGACATTATTGATATTATTCTTCAAGCGCGTACTGCAATGCCTCTCGCTCGCTCGCTCGGCTCAGTCCTCCCACTTCACAATGCCATCCTCGGCAAAAGCAGCCATGTCATCGTAGCTTATCAACTCTCCACACTCTGGACAATTACAGTGATCCCACCCCTGTGCGGTGACGCACCGTTCAATGTGTGACTTGAGGCACTGAATGCAGGTTGCAGGCTCGTGCCAGCAGTTGCCGGATATCTGATGATTGATAAATGCCGAGAGATCCTGAGAAGTCTTACAAATAATGCAAGCTCGTTCCAAAGATGGTGTGGCTCCTCTGCGCGATGTAGGCCTGGGGCTCGTCGGTGCGTGTGTTGGTGTATGGGGTGGCGGGGCGAGGGTGGTGGGCGATGGCATACCGAGACTGCTCTTACGGGAGTGTGACTGCATGGACTCAGGGCGCCTTCTCTTGAAATTATCAACTGACAATCGTGATCGAATTCCTTTCTTCGATGGTGACAGTGAGTTGTCGCGCTGCTCTTGGGAAGACACTGTTGGGCTGAGCGGTTCATCTGCCCAAGGTGCAAATGGCGGTGGCAGACTTTGGTCTAACATGGTGTGCTTGAGTTCCAGGGGTGAGTGTGTCGGTGTTGGAAGGAGGTTCACACCAAGAGTCGATGCCCTTGATGGTGGTACTGAAGTGCGTTTGACCTCGCCTTGGTATCTCGTCAAATTATCTTCTGTTAGATTCATTCGACGGAGAGCCTCCATCGTCGTCTCTGGTGTTGGTGGATCCTGTGTGGTGCCAGAAGATCGTCTACTCGTCGTGAACTTCTTAATCGACTCTGGAATCGCTGACCACCTCTTCTTTGGTTTCTTGTCGTCATTGCTCTTGCCATTATCAAAGCCATCCAGGATTGCACGAACTGGGAAAGACGGCGAGGGAGGACCAACTTCACACTCAGTCAAGCGATTGTAGGTCGCGTCATGCTGTTCAGGTGCTGCTGTTGGACCCGCCTCTGAGATTGGGCGTGAAAAGTTGGGGTAACTATTGTTACGTAGTCCTCTAGATGATGCGATCTTACTCTTCCTGCGTTCGCGATGGTGGTATGTCGCGAAGGAGGTTGGACGAGGGCGTGAGTCGTTCACGTGAGAGCCACCAAGTGGAGAATAACTGCCGTCCCGTGACATTGCGCTGGGCGGTTGATACGAAGCTGGTCGTCCTCTCTGGCCATCTGTCCGTTGTTGATGTGGCTGTTGAACTGGCCATGTCTGTGGGTGCGAAAATTGTGGCATTGAGTCTGAGTTACTGCTGCTAGACGAAAAGCTGCTCCTGTGCATGCTTGGGCTAGCGGGCTGTAGTGAATTCGGCCGTCGATAGCTGTTTGGATGCATGGTAGCTGGCGACGCCGTCCAATCAGGCGTCAACAAATGTTGCGAAGTATAGGAAACAGGGCGCAAGTTTGTGAGCGGCCCGGGACGTGGCTTGTTGAACGAGGCATCCAGCTTTGTCTTGGGCTTGAGTGAATTTCGTACGGCATCCTCGGAGCTAAAAGATGTGGGTCGGTCGGCCCAATGCTCCAACAGATGCGCGTCCTTCTTGTCAACGTTTCTGCCGTCAACGGCCGCACCAGGTCTCTTCTCGAAGTCTTCCTCCTCTTTTCCAGATTCGATATCTGATACGTCCTGATGAGCGTAGAAAGGTCGTTCTAACCATTTTGTGGTCTTAGACTGTGCACGATGTAATCCATTTGATTTCTCTTCCGTGTCAGCGATCAGTCCCAGCATGCGCTGAGCTTTGGCAGAGTCCCTTGTGATTGGGCGCGGGTGTCGTAGCAGAGGGTGGACATCATGGCTGGAAACTGGCGCCACAGCCGTCATGTTAGCGAACTACTCCTGGATGGAGCAAACGTGGAAAGAAGAGACGACGAGACGTGGGAAGCGAGCGTGAGATAAACACAGCACGAGCGAAATAACAGTGGACGGCGATCAGTTGCAGAAAAACATGGGACGGTCCCAATTATCAGCGGTTGCGATACGATGATGCCGCGAACGTACCGAGCCCCAGTAGTGTAACCCAAGATAGCCCACAGCAGCACAGCATACGCAAACACAACGATCTTTCGTTTCATGCCCTTGCTTGAATGCGTAGATTATCCTCAGTTCGCCTAGCACAACGTGCGCCTCCGATAATTCGTTATCCAGGTCGTCATACGAGGCGCGCCATGGGTACGCGATCGTAATCGGAAGTTTGCTGGATTGCCTCCGCTCGTGAGGTCTAAGAATAGTGGTTGTCTAGGCATGCATTAGGCCTGGCTTGGGCTAACCCATGCAGAATGCCTCCGGTTGTGGCGATGAGAGTCACGTTAGCAGGTTAACGATCTCACAATTACAGGGATGCGCGCTTCTCTGATTGTGAAGTGCGGAGCTGACGCAGCAGCTAGAAATGCTGACGCCCGAATTCTTCGAAGTTTGTCTGCACTTTTTGAACGAAGGTGTCGTCTTCGCAACAAGACCCACTGGCACGAGCAGATCGGACCGGCCAGCATCAACCATTCCGATTGCAAAACACCGTCGCTCCGGTGTCTTGGTTGCTGAGACGACGTGTAGTACACAAGAACTCCGCTCCGTGGAATGAGACTGACGACGACCGCAGGGAGCCGGAGCCGGTCTGCCGGAAACTCTCCTCTACAGGTCTGACCCGGCAGCAATGCCGGTGAACTATCTTGGCTTTCTCTCATGTGTTCCTCGCCCAGGCTGAGTCTTGCATGCCTTGACAGGAGAGCAATGCCCAGTGGGACGAGGCGGAGTGTCTTGTGCAAGTGGGACACTGAGTGAATATGATTGGCAGCAATCGTTCTGCAAACGCCGCGTACCCTGGGGAGATCCAGTTTACTGAAGTTTTCAGCCTCGTCCTCGAAATGTCTGCGTTCGGCCATTGAAGGCGCCCTGACGGGTAAGTGAACTGCAACAGGGTGCAGGCGAGGCTCAGTCGATGAGCCACACGGCGTAGCATATCAGTTTGGTGTAATGCCGACGGAGACATGATCGAAGGGCAGTGCTGCGAACTCGTCCCATTGTGCGCCCTCACGTGCAAAGTAAGCAGTCTGCGCGTCGAGGTGCCCATCAAACGTCAACGCGCGACACGTGACGAACCTGACGCACTAGTCCCAGACAGCGATAGTAGCATGGCGATTCTTGGCACTCATGAAGAATCGCCCTGCTCAACACGACGGCCATCGCCAAACCAACCACAACCGTCCAACAACCTGCAGCAAAATGGCCGGCCCGCGCGCAGGCAAGAGGTCACAGGCCAACGGCTCTGGCGATGGAGACACGTCCAACAACAAGCAGTCTCTCATGGAGGCGTCCGACAAGGAGCTCTACGGCAACGGCGTCGACAAATTTGCGGGCTACAATTCTTCCATTGCCGTCCAGGACCAGGATGACGACATGGAAGGCGTAGAGCTTAACGGCCGTCGGCTCACCGGCCAGTACACAGCTTCCAAGGAGATACTCAACGAGTACGCGCATGGCGACACGGCTGAGGCGGACATTCTCGACAGCCGCGAGAAGCAGGCCCAGATTGCATCGCGCGAGACCGACTACCAGCGCCGACGATTCGATCGCGCACTATCGCCCGACCGTGCAGACCCGTTTGCAAAGGATGGACAAGAGGGCGGACTCTCCTACAAGGAGATCATGAAGGAGCGGGACTTCGAGCGCGAGGAGGCGCGTGTGCGCCAGCTAATCGACCAAAAGGAGCGATCAGGTGGCAACGAAGTGCTCGACCACAAGCCGACCCTCAAGGACGGCGCGGATGCCACACCGGTCAATGGCGACAAAACCCCTCCGATGGAGCCAAAGAAGCGCAAGAGGCGCAGGTGGGACGAGAGCGCGGCAGAGGGTGCGCCAGCTGTCAAGGAGGAGGCCAAGGAAGAAGTCAAGGAAGCACCGGAGCCTACTAAGAAGCGCTCGCGATGGTCACCCGCGCCAGTGTCACCCGCGCCAGAGCAGAAGGCCCCCGAAGCCGCAGCTCCCGCGCGATCACGATGGGACACAGCTGCGGTGGCTCCCTCGGGCGGAGCGACACCAGCTCCCACCACCAATGGCTCCCGACCAGGCAATATGCCCCCAGTTGCTTTCGGTACAGACATCTCCAACAGAAATGCGCCCCTGTCGGATGAGCAGCTCGACCTGCTACTGCCTGGCGAGAAGGACGGTTACAAAGTGCTCGAAGCTCCTCCGGGCTACGAGCCAGTGCGACGACCAGTCGGCATGCCTGCACTCCCTACAGGCTACCAAGGCTTCTTGATCCCCGAAGCCGACAACAGCCTGGCTGCCATGGGCAAGCAGTTGCCAACCGAGATCCCCGGCGTGGGCGACCTACAGTTCTTCAAGACCGAGGACATGAAGTACTTCGGCAAGCTCACAGATGGTGCGGACGAGAACGACATGAGCGTTGAGGAACTCAAGGAGCGCAAGATCATGCGCCTTCTGCTCAAAGTCAAGAACGGAACGCCGCCCATGCGAAAGACAGCTCTTCGACAGCTTACGGACAATGCTCGCCAGTTTGGTGCCGGCGCTCTCTTCAACCAGATTCTTCCCTTGTTGATGGAGCGTAGCCTCGAGGACCAGGAGCGACATTTGCTCGTCAAAGTCATCGATCGTGTTCTCTACAAGCTAGACGACCTCGTTCGACCGTACGTTCATAAGATCTTGGTCGTCATCGAGCCCCTCCTTATCGACCAAGACTACTACGCTCGTGTAGAAGGTCGCGAAATTATCTCCAACCTTGCCAAAGCAGCCGGTCTAGCACACATGATCAGCACCATGCGACCAGATCTCGATCACCAGGACGAATACGTACGGAACACTACGGCACGAGCCTTCGCAGTCGTCGCGTCTGCACTCGGTATACCAGCACTCCTTCCTTTCCTTCGAGCTGTTTGTCGATCAAAGAAGTCATGGAATGCTCGTCACACCGGTGTCAAGATTGTCCAGCAGATTCCTATCTTGATGGGATGCGCCATTCTACCACATTTGAAGGGTCTCGTCGAATGCATTGGCGAGAACCTCAACGACGAACAGCCAAAGGTCCGCATGGTTACCGCGCTTGCGCTTGCCGCACTCGCAGAAGCTGCAAGCCCTTACGGTATCGAGTCTTTCGATGACATCCTCAACCCGCTTTGGACTGGAGCCCGACGCCAACGTGGTAAGGCTCTCGCCGCGTTCTTGAAGGCGGTCGGCTATGTCATCCCCCTCATGGACGAGGAATACTCAAACTACTACACGAGCCAGGTCATGGAGATTGTTATTCGAGAGTTTCAATCCCCAGATGAAGAAATGAAGAAGGTTGTGCTGAAGGTAGTCTCGCAGTGCTCGAACACAGCAGGTGTAACTCCTGTCTACCTGAAGGACAATGTCCTGCCAGAGTTCTTCAAGCACTTTTGGGTACGACGAATGGCTCTTGACAAGCGGCAATACCGCCAGGTTGTTGACACGACAGTCGATCTTGCGCAGAAGGCCGGTGTCTCTGAGATCGTTGGCCGCATTGTTAACAACATGAAAGACGAAAACGAGGCATACCGTAAGATGACCGTTGAGACCATCGACAAAGTCATCAGCACACTCGGCGCTCACGATGTCGATCAGCGTCTCGAAGAGCAACTCATTGATGGTGTTCTCGTCGCTTTCCAGGACCAAACTATCGAAGATCCGATCGTCATTGATGGTTTCGCTACTGTCGTCAACGCACTCGGCGAACGCACCAAGACCTACCTCCCACAGATTGTGGCCACTGTGCTTGCGCGCTTGAACAACAAGTCTGCCACAGTTCGCCAGCAAGCAGCAGATCTCATCTCGAGAATCACCTTTGTCATGCAGAAGTGCGACGAGGACCCGCAGCTGATCAAGCTTGCACAGGCACTGTACGAGTACCTGGGTGAAGAGTATCCTGAGGTGCTCGGATCCATCTTGGGTGCTCTTCGTGCCATTGTCACAGTCGTTGGTCTCCATGCCATGCAGCCGCCTATCAAGGATCTGCTGCCCAGGCTCACACCCATTCTTCGTAACCGACATGAGAAGGTACAGGAAAACACTATCGACTTGGTTGGACGTATCGCTGATCGTGGTGCCAACTACGTCAACCCCCGAGAGTGGATGCGAATTTGCTTCGAACTACTTGACATGCTCAAGGCACACAAGAAGGGCATTCGACGTGCTGCCAACAACACTTTTGGTTACATCGCCAAAGCCATTGGTCCTCAGGATGTCCTGGCAACTCTTCTCGGTAACCTTCGCGTCCAAGAACGTCAGTCCCGTGTCTGCACTGCTGTTGCCATTGGTATCGTCGCTGAAACCTGTGCGCCATTTACTGTCCTCCCAGCACTGATGAACGAGTACCGTGTACCGGAGCTCAACGTCCAGAACGGTGTGCTCAAGTCACTGTCCTTCATGTTTGAGTACATTGGCGAGATGGCAAAGGATTATGTCTATGCTATCACTCCACTTCTCGAGGACGCCCTCATCGATCGAGACCAGGTCCATCGTCAGACTGCCGCTTCAGTCGTCAAGCACGTTGCCCTTGGCTGTGTTGGTCTCGACTGCGAGGATGCCATGATCCATCTGCTGAACCTGTTGTGGCCAAATTTGTTCGAGACCAGCCCGCACGTCATCGACCGAATCGTCGAGGCCATCGAAGGTGTCCGCAACGCCGTCGGTACCCCGCTGGTTCTCAACTACCTCTGGGCCGGTCTGTTCCATCCCGCTCGCAAGGTCCGACAGCCGTACTGGCGCATCTACAACGATGCCTACGTCCAGTCCGCCGACTCGATGACTCCCGCATACCCGATGTTCGAGGAGGAGAACCTGAGGAGGCATGAACTGGATATATTCATCTAAGCGTAAGATACAACCCCAGTACCGCAGGTCTCGTCAACCTGTTTTCCTTTCTCTCTTCGTTTCCCCCCTTTCATCTCGTGTATCATAGTTAAGCGCATGGGGTGGTTTGGCAACGGCGTTATGGTTGGATCTCATAGGACCTGCAGGATGGCATCATTGCGAGTTCGCAACTGAAGGATGATATCTTGGCCGTTACGGTAATCAGAAAGATAATCTGTGACCTCTTTACAAGCTGATCTCCCCTAGGCATCGTGACGTGCATCATACCCTTTGTCGTTGTTACCTCCTCGGATTTTCTGAGGTAAGTCTCCGCTTGCGGTTGCTTTGTGTGCTGAACTCTTAAAGCCAACCTGCCTCATCTTCCGTTGTATTACCAAGCCTCGTGCATGTCATTGATGTGGTAAGTTTGTCTACTCGCTGTATGTGATGTTCGTGCCTTGCGTCCAGGTTCAGGTCGTTAGCATACAGTCTGTAAAGGGACACCAAACACTGCGCATGCCCGACAGCCTGTGGTCCGTAGGCCATGATACCGACGGCACAGTGTGGCTGTCTGGGCAGGCATTGCACAGGATGAACATGTGAAATTCCCAGACGGTGCTCAGTCATAATGATGCTCGAGCTGCACAACATTGTCCTTTAGAGATCATGTGGTAGACTACTCGCCAGTCTCCTTAAGGTTACTTCTGGTAACATCTCGGCCTGCATTACTCAAAGCAAATGATGACTTTGCCAATTACTTAAATTCTCCAATAAAAAATACATATCTCCAATAGTCCGCATGGCTCCCATGTCAAATATTTCTCGTACAGCAATGCTGCTATGGAGCCCTGTGCTCGTGTCTGCAGCTTCATCGCCGCTTGACAATAAAGCATTCGACAAGCCAACACCACCTGTCAACAATAACCCATCCCAAACTTCTGCTCGAAAGCTACCAATCTTGTTGGCCTTCCAAACACACCCCTTCAACGCCCCAACACCCGACGCTGGCAGGATAGATATCGGATTGACCTTCCGTCTTGACTCGCGCTGAATTTTTGCCGGCCTTGCATTTGGAGCCCATGGTTCTCAACCAGAGGAAGACATGAGGGTCGAGAATGGTGAGATCAGTTGCAATAGTTCCTGGGCAAGAATAATTGTCAAGAGTATCTGGCTTTTGTTTCTCGTTGGGTATGATTCTAGGGTTATATGAGAGCGTAGAATATATGTACGGGTTTCTGATGTTTTAATGATACCCATAGACAACTTGAGTGATGATGTGAGGTCTTGGCTTGGCAGCTGTCGTATTGATATGCTACGGTTATGGGATCATAGCCTTGATGGCCTACCTTAAGAGGAACTTAGGTCAAATCTTCACACCGAAGTGAGAGAAAGAGATTAAGACGTGTAACATGGCAAGGCAGCGAGGTGAGAGAGGAAGACTTAATGATGATAGCAGATCAAAAGCCAGATGGCGTAGAGCTGAGTAGACGGGGCATGTGAAAACACATTTGTGTTCAGACACGCAACATGTGAGCATCTTTGATATGAATACTCTTAGGTTCTAGTACAATTTTGCTGGGCTGCCCCTACAATATGGTGTTGATTTTTCCGAGTTTTGACCAATTGTCTTGAAAAGAGTGCCATGAGAAGACATCAAGCTGTTCACTGAGGCTCTGGCTAAGTAAGTTACGAACTCGGTCAAACTATCCCCGGTATAAATCAAGAGTCGTATCTTCAGGTGGCGATGTCATCTATTTGTGGTGCAGGAAGTACGAAGAGTGCTTGCAGTTCGTGAGCCGAGACTGGCCCGCAATCCCGCCCAATCGCCGAATATCAAGCTTCACGAAAGCTCTCCAGAGCTCCAAACACCACCCATTCGCGTCCACTCCACACAACACCACAGCGCAAAACACGCCAATTCTCACGCGTCAAACACTCCAAACCGCCAGCACACCCTCAAAACCCTCAAAATGAGCGAACCATCCCCCAACCCCGAGCAACAAATCCTCGAAGAATCCACCTCCACATCCACCCCCCTCGCAAACGGCACGCCCCTCCCCGCAGACATAGAAATGGCCGACTCGGCACCAACTCCAGCTGCAGAAGTACTTATCTACCCTCCCTCTCTTCAAAATCATCCCATAAGCTAACGCTATAACAGCAACCCACCCCCACCGTGCAAACCGCGCCGCCCACCCCAGCACCCGTCGAGCAACGTCCAGCGCCGCCAGTCTCGTCGCGCAATAGTCCACACCCGACAGCGCAGGCGCCTACGCAGCCGATTCCGCATGGGAGCCCGACGAGGGTGTATTTGAATCAGTATGTCACGCCGCATTTGCTCGAGGCGATGAAGCATTTGGCGACGACGGAGCCGGATAAGCCGCTCAAGTTCCTAAGTGAGTTTTTGGCGCAGAAGAGTGCGGAGCTGGAGGGGTGAGGGTGAGGGTGAGGGTGGGTGTGCTTGTGGAGGAGGTCAAGGAGAAGACGGGAAGAGGCGATGGCACGTAGGAGCGGAGTATGGCAGAGCGCTGGAATGGACGGGGCGCATAACAGGCGTTCAAAAGCATCAAGCATCAAGCATCAGTGGGAAAGGTTCGGGAAGATACCCAATTCAGCGACATCACGCTCACACGACCCAAATGGCACAGTTTGCAAGTTTTTTTCATGTATTGAATTTAGATGTAATGCTTTTTGATTCATTCCAGATCGTGACCTGCTAGGTATCCGTGAAGCATCCATGCCCGTAAAACTCCTTTCAGATGTTTCTCCTTCACCATGACGACCCACTCGCGACCAAAGCGCGCTTATGCGACCAGGGTAGAGGCAGTGGCGCTCTCGTACCTCCAGGTAGGGGGCAGGACACCGACGGTCTTGTAGTAGCGGGAGAGACGGTGGATACGGGACTCGATGAGAATGAGGCGGCTGGGCGATGTTAGTGTCAAATTCTTCCCTCGAGGCGTGGAAGCAACGTACAACTTTCCGTCACGGTCCTTGCGGTTGGTGGAGAGGTGCTTGCGGACAGCAACAGCCTTCTTGATGAGCATGTAGAGGTCCTCTGGGATCTCGGGGGCGAGGCCTAATGGCACAATGTCAGCTTTGCACCGACAGAGGCAGATTTGTATAGCGCGACAGGTGCACAATGGCAGAGCTGCTGTTGACGTGCGCTTCAGCTGGGGCAGGCTATCGTACCGTTGGACTTGAGGATACGGAGGATCTTGTTTCCGGTAACGACTGCAATCTGTTAGCATGCGCGATTCGTAGATTCGGCGTTGCAGAACTTACCCTTGGTCTGGGCGATACCGTGAGAGTCACGAAGGATCTCGCCAATCTGGGAGGGAGTGGCGCCCTTCTTCGCGAGCTTCTGGATCTGCTCGACGACCTGCTCGGGAGTGGTCTTGAGCCACGCAGGCGGGCTGCGGGAGTAGGGGATGGCAGAGGCTGATATGCCCTTTCCGTTGCTGTGAAGACGACCCATCTTGAAGGATTGTACTGACGGTGACCTGGTCGATTAGTACGTTGGCGGAGTGGTGGGCTGGAGACGTTCAAAGTTCAATCGCGAGAGTCGAAAATGGGTTTCGCCTATTGTGGCGCACGGACGTGGTCCATGCTCGGCAAAGCGCGAGCCCATAAAAAGTTCGGCGCCTGCAGTCCTCGCTCCTCCAACCTCGCCGGTCGAGAAAATGATTTGGTCGACTTGACAGCGCGTCTCTACGCGCTGCCGCAGTTCAATTAGCTGCAGATGCGTATGCGCTTCTATCTTGCTCACTCAGAAGTAGTTCCTCCGTCGCGACTGCAGTTTCAAGGTACGTTACACCCTCGACTTCATTTACGTGCATAATGATGAATCTTCCATACTTATTTTCTGGTACCTCTTGTTTTAGTCCTTTATGGACGATGAACTCAACGGACATTCTGATATGCTTCGCATTCTCTTACCTTGTTACTTGTTCTTCTTACGATGCAATTACTAATTGCAATCAGGTTGCTCGATAAACTTGTCAGGAACGCTCTGGATGTAGTTGTTGCCGCACAAAAATGCGCCTGCATGTTTCCTCGTGTGGCTCCACGCAGTCACGACTCGCATGATCACAGCGTCCATAGCTATTTTGATTCTACTCCTGTAGTAATATACACCGATACCAATCAAGCATATTGCATTTACTTCCACCACGAACCTTACCTCCCATTGATCGCCGTCACAACATTAACATGAGGCACGCTTTACTCATCGCAAGCTTTGCTATCCCATCCACCTACTGCAAAACGTCCGGCGAGCTATGTCGAGGCACAGGCGAGCGAGCACCAGACGGAAACTAGTATTGCTCTGAGGTGTGGGCCATCACCTACCGCAACATCAGCCAAGCTGGAATGTACAATCGCACAACATATGTGGATCCGAACAAAGGCATTTGTGGCCATGAAACGGTTGGATATGGTGGGACTGACGAACTCACGCCACTGTTTGGCGAGGTCGTTCTCTCGGTCGCGTACAGACATCGGAGTGCTAAATCTAGACAGGTCTCGATGCATCTCCGTGGACCGATGAACGTATCGCAGCTTGCCGTGTACCAGCTTCCCGGTGATATGCACACTCTACAGAAGCGGCACACCGTCCCATTTTACAATCGGCAACGGGCGACAGAGAAGAGGAAGACCAACACTAAGAAGCTTCTCCAGCAATCAGCTCTCGCCAAACCATCGCACCGACGTACGCTTACGGTAACCTCTGAACCAAATGAAGAGCCACAAGGCACACCTACCACGAAGCAGGCAGACACAGCACCAGGCCGGGGCTCCATACGCAGAGCTGCTGATTGGAACCGGGTGGCCTACTATACTTCAGCATCGCCTGCGGACGCAACAGGACTGTCCTTCCTTGCCAATCTTGGTGATCCTCGCAAGTCGGGCACATTTGACTAGTACGTCGATGCTCATCACTACTAGCATAACGCTGACTTGGTTCAGCGCATTTGGCAATTCACTCAGCTATGTGTCAAGCAATGGCGGCGTTGTGGCACCAGAGAGCATGCCGTTTGATGGCACGCTGGCTACCTCTGAGCGAGAAATTGCGGTCTTCTCTGACAAAGCGTGCGACCAAGACTGCCCGTACTGGCGACCGAATGCAACGTCACACTTTGGCTGGGCCGGTTCTTCAAAAGCCTTCTTCATCGAATTTCAGATGGACCACTACCAGAACACCGGCACTGACCAAGGAATGATCTCTGACGCTCCAGCATGGTGGTTCCTGAACGCAGCGATACCTCGGATTTTGCAATATGGCAGTGATCGCAACAACGTCCCTTGTTCATGCTGGTCAACAGGCTGTGGAGAATTTGACGCTTTCGAAGTGCTCGGCAAAGGAGAGGAGCGTGCGAAGAGTACGCTGCACCGACAAGGCAACCTCGAAGGAGGTGATTCCAATTATTTCAGGAGACCTGTGGGAAGGATGTTGAAGTTTGCTGTCATCTGGACATTTCCCAACATCACGGCTTTGGTGCTCGACGACGATTTTGACTTTAGCGAATCTCTCTCTGACGACCAGATACGACAACTCGTGTCGTACGATCCCGACAGCTGGGTGCATTCGTTGTTCGCCATTGGAGACTGAGATTTTTTAGGGTGGAATGCGTTATGGGCGCTACATTTCAAAACCAGGCATGTGTAGCAAAATATGATCAGCGTTCTAGCACCTTCGTTGTTGCGATGACATGTGAAAAAAAGCGGCGGGCAGGGGCGATGTGTGAGCGAACGGTGGCAAGGTAAAATGCTGACTCGCGGCGGCTCAGCATGTGGTTGCCCGAAAAAGTAGCCCGATGCGTAGAGTGAATCCGACCGAGGTTCGCTGCAATCCAATTTGTGAAAGCGTTCCGCGACCCGAGCGTCGTTCGCACGGCGTAATCAGCTTCTCCACACCACCCGTCACCCTCTGTCAACGCACTCGACGTCCTCAACATCGCATTCGCAGCGTGCAGCCAAGTTCATTGTTGACGCGGATCCGCCCTGTGAAACCCCGGCGAGCCCCGCAAGCTACTTCCGCTTCCGCCGATCGCCAGCCTCTTTGACGTCTGTCGCGCCTCATCGACGACATCGGCACCACAGTTTGCAACGACTGCCATCTCGACTTTCTATCGCACGAGGGTGCAGTGAGGAGGTGCGTGCGCAGTAATGTCTTCACCATCGCCACCAAAGCCATGGGAGACGAGCGGCGGCGCGACGAGTGCCTCGGTTGGTCAGTGTTCGCGATACGGGAGCTCAGCCGTCATCATGGCTAACAACAGCGCAGGCCTCACAGGATCAAGCAGCACAACACCGGCGGGAACATCAACGTCAAGTCCGCCTCCGCTTCCATCAGTACCTGATTCTCTTTCCACGGTCGCCAACCGCAATGCGACCAACTATTCAGGCGGCATGAACAACCGAGTGTCCCCCTACAGCAGCGGATACGGAGGCGGCTACAGCAGCTACTCCTCGCCATACTCAAGCATGGGCAGCGGCTATGGCTCCATGTATGGCGGAATGGGAGGTATGGGTGGCATGTACGGCGGCATGGGTATGGGTGGTATGGGCATGGGAATGGGAGGCATGTACGGTGGCATGGGCGGCATGGACCCGAACAACCCAGCCAGCCTGACCCAGTCGTTCAGCCAGAGCACCGCAGCGACGTTCCAGCTGATTGAAAACATCGTGGGCGCGTTCGGTGGCTTTGCGCAAATGCTGCAGAGTACATACATGGCGACACACTCGTCATTCTTTGGTACGTTCAAGTCACTGCTCCAAATTCTTCAAGCTAACGTGCAGTAGCCATGGTTTCAGTCGCAGAACCAGTTTGGAAACCTACGACAAACGCTCGGCTCGGTTCTCGGAATCTTCACACTCATGCGGTGGATACGGACGGCGATGGCGAAACTCACTGGACGACCACTTCCCGCAGACGCCATGGACCTGACTCCTGCAAGCTTCGCTGCCTTCACTGGACGAGGTGCCGACGGATCTCCCGCGTCCGCGAAGCCGTCGAAGAAGCCTTTCATCGTTTTCATGATGGCAGTTGTTGGTCTGCCATACCTCATGGGCAAGCTTATCAAAGCGCTTGCCCGGTCACAAGAAGAACTCGAGAAGCAGAAGATGCTCGAGAACCCACAGGCCGGTCAGCCCATCGACCCCACCAAGCTCGAATTCTGCCGTGCCATTTACGACTTCACGCCCAACGCCAACATGCAGGGCATGGACCTTGCCGTCAAGAAGGGAGACATGGTTGCAGTGTTGAGCAAGACAGATCCAATGGGCAATGCATCAGAGTGGTGGAAGTGCCGCTCAAGAGACGGTAGGATGGGCTACCTTCCAGGCATCTACCTGGAGACCATCCAACGAAAGCAGCCTGCGCAAATCACGAGTGGAAGTCAAAGCGGAAGCCCGGCAAGTAGCCGGGCGCAGACAATGACCAGCACTAGTCTTGGAAGCCGGACTGGCACAATGACCGAAAGCAAGGTACCAGAAATGGCACCAAAGGTCGAGAGCAAAGCTGGCGACATGGGTGTAGAGTCGTTCCAAAAGGGCGCATTCTACTCGTGAGCTTGAGACGATGCTGCAATTTCTTTCACATTATCTATATTTCTACCCTGATACAAGCGCTGTATTTTATGCTGGGTATGGGTTAATGGTCTAAAAAGACCTCGGTTTCTACACTGTTGGCTGGGAAAAGCTGTGTGGTGCGGCGTTCAGCGTATATCAGCGACGAGATATCACTTTGTCAAGCATGCATTAGTTAATTCGAACAATGTCCAAATATGGGAAGCACTGCTCCAACCGAAAGCCCTGGAGTGACTGAAGAGCTGACACGTGCCAATGTGGCTCAGCGCGAACCTGGGTAAAGCTGCGGCCTCACATCGCTTCGGACGCAACCTCGAGACGATGCTACGTAGCTTTGACCTCTGCGCACCCTGATCGCAGTTCTCACCTAGTGTTCACTTACCACTTGTCTGCTTACCTTACGCCACAATCGAGCTTTACCAAAGCAAGCACGTACCTTCGCTGCCGCCCTCGAACCGCCCCTCCCCCGCTATAAGAGACCAAGCGTCCATCCTACAACTCTCAAATCGTACACCACTACACCACTCAGAATCAACCTTGGATTTCTTTCGACTCTGGCTTGCAGCTGTACTAGTCTGCAACAGAAGCTCGTTCGGTGGAGTAGCAACAAAACTTGCGTTCAAGATGTTCGCTACAAAGCGCTTGGGCAAGGTATGTCTCAGACCCTCGATATCTTCAAGCCATGTCTGGAGGAGTATTCCATGGTCGCACCGTATATCATGCTAATACAGAATCGTAGGAGCTGCATAAGGTACCGTACCACCGCCCATGACCCTCGAGTCGCTTCAATATCCTCGACCCATGCGCCATTGTCGCTCTCTACACTCAAATCCATGCGGCATAGCACAAGCAAACCACCCACTCACACCCAGGCAGATGCACGACAAGCTACCACCAGGCATAACCCTCATCCAAGCCGACGACTTCAAAACCTGGCTGGTCGACATTTCAGTCGTCGACTCCAACCCGCTCTACCTAAACGAAACCTACCGCCTGAAATTCGCCTTCAGCCCACAATACCCCATCGAGGTAAGCCACCACCATTCCCTCCCTCCTTTCAAGACCCCATACTGACACCATCCCCCCGCAGCCCCCAGAAGTCACCTTCGTCCGCGACGCCAACCACCCCATCCCCTGGCACCCGCACATCTACTCCAATGGCATCATCTGCCTCGACCTGCTCGACCGCTCTGGTTGGTCGCCCGTGCACAATGTCGAGAGCGTCTGTGTGAGTCTGCAGAGCATGCTGTCGAGTAATTCAAAGAAGGAGAGGCCTGAGGGAGATGAGAATTTCGTCAGGTATAATACGCAGAGGCCGAGGGATATCAACTTTGTGTTTCATGATGATACAGTCTGAGCGGGGATAGGAGAAAGGGAAAGGCGCAGAGTTGATGCATGGCATTTGGCGTTTGGGATTCTTTCGGAAGAGCATATTGGAGGGGAAATGGAGTTTGGGGGCATGCGGGGACTATACCCAAGGATGGTTATGGATAATGTGACATGAAATATGATATCGCTGCAAGCCATTCAATCTTTATTCTTGGAATAGATGTTTACGATCTTTTATAGGGCTTTTGCAGTGCTCGAGCAAAGACCACTTTATTCTCATCTGTATGTAATCTAGTTTGCGAACATGCAAGCTATGTACGCAATCTAGGCCACCTTACGTGCAACCCTGCGGGGAGTCTTTCTCTTATGCGACCAAGAGAATGTGCCGCAACATGGAATTGTCATGTATCAAGATAACACTTATGTGAACCTGACATCCTTCGGGGAAAACTTACAGTAGATTCACATACTCACATAGCCAAAGCCTCGGTCTTGGAGATATTCAGTGATTCCCATCCAGAACATGCTCATGTTGAAGAGAACGGTACCACGTTAGAAAGCCGAGGCATATATAGATCATGTAGTCCGCTTAATAGACTGAAGATGAATCACCTCTGTGAATTATCGTAGTGACCAGGTGTGGTAACAAGACCTTCCCCATCGACGAACCGGCGAATGTAGATGCATGATGCATTTACTGTACATAGCTTAAGAACATCAATTCATCCCGTCAGCAGGATCTTGTTTGGTGGTTTCTCTCGGCGAAATCATCGTTAAAATGCTGTTGACTTCACGCGACAGTGACGAGGACATGGCAGACGAAAGGGCCTAAAGTTACAACCGGATGCGACGTTCCAAATACTCCGACGGGGATGCGAGAATAGAGATGGTAATGGTAACAATAAGGGCTTTCAGAACATATCAAACAGACGAGACTAACGTTACTAAGCGAGGAACAAGCATCTTAATTGGGCTGCCCTTTCCGGTTAGAGCCGATTTCGCCAGACTAACAACCTTTTTTCATTTTCTGCGCTGCGCTCGCCAGCCCGCGTTAAAAGCTCCACTCCCACCACTCCTCCCTACTCATTCTTCTCTTCCAGTTTCTCGTGTAGTTCCTGTCAAAAAACACACATCATGAGCGACGAAGTATACGAGGGTGCCATTGGCATCGATCTTGGTGCGCATTTTCGCAAAATAATATTACCCCACAGTGCGATCGCTAACACACACCCACAGGCACGACCTACTCTTGCGTCGCCAACTACGAGGGCACCAATGTCGAGATCAGTATGCGCCCGCCGCTCCAACGTCGCCATGAACGCATTTTAACGATACTTGTCTAGTTGCCAACGAGCAGGGTTCCTTCACCACCCCCTCCTTCGTCTCGTTCACGAGCGAGGAGCGTCTGATTGGTGAGGCGGCCAAGAACCAGGCTGCTATGAACCCGGAGAACACCGTCTTCGATGTCAAGTACGTCTTGGAATATTCGCTGGCCGATTGGCAGTGCGTGTACTGACAGTCACAGGCGTTTGATCGGTCGCCGATTCGAGGACGAGACCGTCACCAAGGACATCAAGTCATGGCCCTTCAAGGTCATCGACCAGGGCGGCAGCCCCATGATCGAGGTTGACTACCTCGGTGAGAAGAAGCAGTTCTCCGCCCAGGAGATCTCCGCCATGGTCCTCGTCAAGGTACGCTTAGCAATGGAATTTTTCGAGGAACCCCGCTAACGCCCCACGTAGATGAAGGAGGTTGCTGAGGTCAAGCTCGGCATGAAGGTCGAGAAGGCCGTCATCACCGTGCCCGCCTACTTCAACGACAACCAGCGTCAAGCCACCAAGGACGCCGGTGCCATTGCTGGCCTCAACGTTCTCCGTATCATCAACGAGCCTACCGCCGCTGCTATCGCTTACGGTCTCGGTTCCGGAAAGTCCGAGAAGGAGAGGAACGTCCTCATCTACGATCTCGGTGGTGGTACTTTCGATGTGTCTCTTCTTCACATTCAGGGTGGTGTCTTCACTGTCAAGGCCACCGCTGGTGACGTAAGTGATTGCAAGAAGACGTTTTACACGACCAGCTGCTGACATTGACGTTTCAGACACATTTGGGAGGTCAGGACTTCGACACCAACCTCCTCGACCACTTCAAGAAGGAGTTCACAAAGAAGACGAAGAAGGACATCAGCGGCGATGCCCGTGCCCTTCGTCGTCTCCGAACTGCTTGCGAGCGTGCCAAGCGTACCCTCTCCAACGCAACCCAGACCACTGTTGAGATCGACTCGCTGTTCGACGGTGAGGACTTCAACGCCAACATAACCCGTGCTCGTTTCGAGGACTTGAACCAGAAGGCTTTCGCCGGCACTCTTGACCCTGTTGCTCAGGTTCTCAAGGACGCCAACATCGCCAAGGAGAAGGTTGACGAGATCGTTCTCGTTGGTGGTTCCACCCGTATCCCCAAGATCCAGAAGCTCCTCAGCGACTTCTTCGGTGGCAAGAAGCTCGAGAAGAGCATCAACCCCGACGAGGCTGTTGCCTACGGTGCCGCCGTCCAGGCCGGTATCCTCTCCGGAAAGGCCACTTCTGCCGAGACCGCCGACCTCCTCCTTCTCGATGTCGTTCCCCTCTCTCTCGGTGTCGCCATGGAGGGCAACATCTTTGCTCCCGTTGTTCCCCGTGGACAGACTGTTCCTACCAGTACGAATCCCCTTTTCTTTTCCCTCTCTCTCCCCACGAGTTGCTCGATAGTGCCACGAGTGACTTCACGCTCCTTTTTAAGAAATCTGCTAACATGCTGTGTCCTCTAGTCAAGAAGCGCACATTTACTACGGTTGCTGACAACCAGCAAACCGTCCAGTTCCCCGTCTTCCAGGGTGAGCGTGTCAACTGCGAGGACAACACCTCCCTCGGAGAGTTCACTCTTGCTCCTATCCCACCTATGCGCGCTGGGTTAGTACCACTCTTTCTCTGTGTAGCCAATAGCCACTAATTCCTTACAGTGACGCCGTTCTCGAGGTTGTCTTCGAGGTCGATGTCAACGGTATCCTGAAGGTCACCGCGACCGAGAAGACCTCTGGCCGCAGCGCCAACATCACCATCTCCAACGCCGTCGGCAAGCTCTCATCGACTGAGATTGAGAACATGATCAACGACGCTCAGAAGTTCAAGACCAGCGACGAGGCCTTCAGCAAGAAGTTCGAGGGCAGGCAACAGCTTGAGTCCTACATCTCCCGTGTCGAGGAGATGGTCTCGGACCCCACCACCTCCATCCGCCTCAAGCGTGGCCAGAAGGAGAAGATTGAGTCTGCTCTCTCTGACGCCATGGCTCAGCTCGAGATCGAGGATGCTCCCGCTGAGGACCTGAAGAAGAAGGAGCTTGCGCTGAAGCGCGTCGTCACCAAGGCTTTCTCTACCCGATAAGCGTGATATCATCCGCGTGGACGGGACAAGGGAATTGCGCAAGTGACAGTATACCCCAGACTGTGCGACTGTGTGCGGAGCTGCGAACGGAGTTAAATCTTTGCGGCATCTAACGATAGACTTTGGTGTGTTTGGGACTTCCATTTTCTTCCTCGGGGTTTTCTCTGGCATTCATGTGGGGGCGGAACGCAACAAAAGTATTGTATGTACCTCTCATGACCATGCCTGACGTTACGATCGTAATGGATGTCTTATGTACTGGCCCAGCCTGGGTTCGAGAGAAGGACAAAAGGGAAAATTGAACGAGTACGACTTCAAATGTTTTTATGCAAACGTGATGTGCTGTGTATGTAGATGCCTAAGCCTTGAACTGAGCCTTCTCAATCGCACCGTCCAGCAGATTCTCGCCTTTGATCATGTTCGTTGTGCACACCACGATGCGACTTCCCCTGCCCTCTCCACCAACCTCCTTCAACTTGCCACCCACGAACCTCAACGCCGCAATCTCAGCCCTCGTAACCCCACCCAGGAAGAACACGACAATCGTCTTTTGCGCATCCCCATGACTCCCATTAAGCAGATTTCTCGCCTTAACCGCCTTCTCCTCGCCACTCTGCGTCTCATCAAACGTCGCACCCCTAACATACTTGCTCGCATCGTCAAAGATCCGCAGCCCCTGCGCCAGCGGATTCGCCTGCGCCGACGCGCCATTACCCGGAGGCTTGATGATATTCGCCAGCGTCTGTTTCTGCACGACGCTCTGCACGAGTCGCACACTCAGCGGCGCATACCCGCTGAACGTGTAGCTGATGTCGTTCGGCGCAGCCTCATTCACCTCATCGTCCCAGATGGCCAGACTCTTCCGCAGCGGGGTGTAATTCGTCACACTGCCTGGTTTCGCCTGCGTGCCGCCAAGCCCGACACCACCTCTGACACCCAAGAGGCCCATTTTCTCGAGCGCGGAGAGAGTGAGGATGTGCTGGGGTCCGTAGGCCTGGATGACGGCGCGCTTGAAGGCCTCGAGGTCTTTGGGCCGGATACCGGCGTTTGTGGTAGATTCGAGACAGATAAGGCGCAGGATGATGGGGAGGGGGATGGCGCGGTTGATGAGCTCGAAGATTGTGTCGTGTTGGGTGGTGGGGTCTGCGCCGGACATGATGTTTTGCTGGACTTCAAGGGAGCGGGTGAAGGTCTCGTTGCGTGTGTATTTGATGATTTCCTCGGCGAGGGCGGTGTGCAGTTTCAGGCTTGCTTGTTCGGCTTGGAAGCCTGGGAGTTTGGCGACGAAGTCGCGTAGCTCAGAGGTGGTTTTCGCAGCGATTTGATCCCGACCTGTGGTGCTTTGGAGGCGGCGAGCGGCTTTATTAAGGAGGTTGCCTACGATGGCGAAGTTTGCGTCGCCGAGCTCGCTGTACAATGCGTCTTTGGGGTCGATCATGATCTTGCGCTTCATGCTTGTGGATGCAGAGCCAGTCTGGCCTTGCTGTGGGGTCGCGTTACCAATGACTGAAGAGTCAACCTCCGTCTGATTTGCGGTGATGTTGAAGACCTCGTCTATAAGACCCTCGTACGTCAACTGAGTAAGTAGGACAGTAGGGAAGTCGACTTCTCGATCGACTATAATGAGGCTGTCGATGGTCGAGCTTGGAGCCAGGCCTAGAAGCGAAGGCCCAGAGGTGTTCGACGTCTCGCCAGCAGTGACTTCGGTACGCATGCGGATGAGAAGGTCAGCGAGGCGTTTGCCATTGTCACCTTTGCCAATGATGCGCGGAAAGAGACCAGATTTCTGTTGCTGCAGCATCAGCGCCTTCGCTGCAAGGTAGATGGATGTTGGGTCCTTCTTCTATCAAAGGGTCAGTCACAATGTACATCGTCTCCGATGCACGAAATCATACCAGGTAGAGATCGGATACGGCATCTTCCAGCTCAAGCGACAACACATCATCTGCGAGGGGCACGAAGAACAGCGGCCATTCGCTCACACTGGCTTCACCAAGCACGCCCGCCTCTTCGAGCAGCTGGTCAGAGACCATAGTACGGCGGGGCGCCCAGAAGATTGAGAACTCATGTTCGATTTGACTGTCACGTCTTATGCGCTTGATTTGATCTACGGAAGTATGTCAGCACCGTACAATAGAGTATCAACGTATAGAAGATGACGAGTACTCCAATAAAAGTGCTTATGTGTCGATCTAGGGATCAAGACTGACTAGACAGAGTGGATGCTATCTGCCTAGCCTACTTTTCAGATCCCAAATTGAGCCGTAAAGCTCCCATGATAACAAAAATAATGTGACGTGAGATGTATCACGTACCAGCGACAGCCATGACCGTCTTCGCCTTTTCTCCTCTGACGAGGAAGACGACATTGCGCTGCGACGAGTCGACATTGTCGTTCTCCAGGAAGAAGGGCTTGTCTACGCCATATTCCTGCAGCGTGGAGAACTTGACGAGCAGGTTCAGAGGGCCAGCGAGCGCTTTCTCAAGCACAAGATTCTTCTTGCCTCTGATCTAGACGCGTCAGCGTGAGCAGCACGGCGCGCTGATCATTTTACCTTACACCCTCGAGCAGCAGAAGCAGATCCCTTCGCGCCTTTTCGGTTATGTCTGACGCGCTGAAGGGCGACATGGGCGCCATTCTCAACAGTCAATCACGATGTGTCAGGGCAGTATGTTAGTTGTGGCTGCATCGCGGGGTCGATTCAAGCCATGACGGAGAAGGTGGTTGGAAGAAAGAAGCCTGAGCTCCGATTGATATTTGATGGCACGTGCTTTGGCGCCAGAAGCTTGGCGCGCATGGCTCTTGAACGTGAATCGCGGCGATGAATCTCACTACAACTTGAACCAGGTCTATAGTATTAAACGACAGTGGGGTAGCTTCCTGGCGTCAAAAGTACCACGAGGCTCTGGTTGTGGCTCATGCATATGTTTGATTTTTTGGCTCTTTTTATGTGCCATATCTACATACAAAACGAGGGGTATACAGCATCAAAAACCTTCTACAAATCCGTTGCAAGATCTCCAGCATACAGGGATATCGTAAAGATATGTTTATTAATTCGCACCCAAGGCGCTCAGCGCGATACGCAGTTCTTTGACCGCGGTTGCTGCATCGTCGAAGTTTAGGGCTGAAATAGCCCACTTTGCGTGTTTCTGGGCTTCTGCAATGGAACGTTCATCGTCTCTGAATGGGCCTTGAGATGATGCTGGATGCGGCGCAGATGGCTGGGCATATGGATTTTGCGGGGGTGCCTGCGCGTATGGCGCGGGGGCTTGAGGCGTTTGTCGCGGCGGTGGTTGAGCAACTTGCGGTGCCTGTGGAGGTGGCGCCGCGTACGGGTTCACGCCAGGAGGTGATCGGTAAGCGTTTTGTGGAGGCGGTGTGGGGAAAGAGTTCTGCGGAGGTTGTTGAGGAGGTTGCGCCATTGGTGGTGAAGAAGCCGGATTCTGGTAGAAGCTTGCTGGGTCTGGAGCTTGAGGTGCTTGAGGTAATGAGGAGTCAGTGGGTAGTGTGGACTGCCCTAGACCTGATGTTTCAGGGTCCTCCGTAATCGAAGGCGCGGTCGGGAGACTTGGCGCAGTGTTCTCTGCGGTGAAAGTTGGCGGAGTCATCCTAGGAAAGTAGCCCCCGCCGGCCGACGTGGCAGAAGCGCGACGTGATGACGCAGGTTGCGACATGGGAGAGACATCGTTGTGTGAGCCATGTGTATACCCCGTGGGCGCAGATGGGAGATTGGGTGGAGGCGAGACTTGCGGCGCAGAGATGGTCGGCGATGGTTGCGCATTGGTGTTCGGCGCCGTTTCGACGTAGGGTTGGTATGGGTTCTCGGGGGGCGCCTGTGAAGCGCTGTGGTTTATGCTTTGTACTTCTGGGTCATTTGGATCCAGCATAGGGGGTGAGGCCAACTCTTCTGATGTTTCCTTGACGGGGTTTGTGAGGTTTGGGTCTTCGCCGGCTTTGATGGCCTTGAGGATGCGCAGAGCGTGGTACTTTGCGTACTTTGTCTTGGATGTAATCTCAGGGTCGTCTTTCTTCCATATGGTCAGGATTTCGAGGAACGTGGAGGCAGCAAGCAGAGTGTCGACGGTGTTGCTGCAGTTCAGTCAGTACTCAACTCGCACGATTGCATACTCGTACGCACTTGGTGGCCTTATTTTCCGTCATATCCTTGTCGCCCTTGGCGAAGGTCTGTAGTGCGAACTGCTCACAGTATGCGCTCGCAGCGACATCATCTAGAAGGGCATCTTCACTGGGGTTCTGGGCTTTTGCTTGCTCGAGTTTCTCCATGAGGTCGGTTGTGTAGGCGGTGCATTCTTGGTCGGCTGAATGCAGTCCGCCAGCAATGATCTTCTGCACCATATGGAATCGTACTAAGTGAAGTCAGTCTGTGGAGCTGAAGGTGGACATGTTAAGACAACTCACACCAGTACGTGATGATGGGCTTGAACTTCTCCAGCTGCGCCGCCCGTTTCGCAAAGGGTGCGAGCTGCAGGCCCTTGAGTTTGCCCGGAATAGCGTCGGCCATGGTTGCGGTCGCGAGATGTTGGTGTTGGCGGTCCGATGTGATAGAAGAGTCGAGATAGCTCGAGGCAGATGTTGGAGCGCGGTGCCGTCATGTCGCATGTTGCATGAACCCTGTAACCCCACACTTTCGAGCTATGGCCACTTGGTATGGTAAGAGCATCACGTCGTGTGAAGATGCCACCTTTCAAATCTAATTATGTGAGATCCCGTACATAAGTCCGCCGCTGTCGCCTTCACTTCTTCAACTCCTCTTCTCGACCACATACTGTTCTAGCCTCAACGACGACAATGGTGCGCACCACAGCTCTGCTCGCGGCCACGGCTGCGTTCGCTCTCGATGTCAACGCCGAGAGCATGTACACCAAGAAGTCGGGTGTGCTCTCCATCAACGGACCGGACTATGACCGGCTCATCGCCAAGTCCAACTATACTTCTGTGCGTGTTTCTGTATACGAAAATGTGTCTCCAACTAACAGTGGCCCAGATTGTAGAGTAAGCTCGTCCGGCCCACGACCGCTTCCACTCTAACAACCACAGATTCTATGCGCCATGGTGCGGTCACTGCAAGAACCTCAAGCCCGCATACGAAACCGCCGCCAAATCCCTCGCCGGTATCGCCAAGGTCGCCGCCGTCAACTGCGATGAGGAGATGAACAAGCCCTTCTGCGGGCAGATGGGCGTCCAGGGCTTCCCTACACTGAAGATTGTGCGCCCCGGCAAGAAGCCAGGCAAGCCCATCGTAGACGACTACCAGGGCGAGCGCACTGCCAAGGGCATCGTCAACGCCGTCAAGGACAAGGTGCCAAACTCGGTGAAGCGAGCGACCGACAAGGACCTCGGCGCATGGCTGGAGGCAAACAAGGACACCGCAAAGGCTATCCTGTTCAGTGACAAGGGGGTTGTGAGCGCTACCCTGAAGGCCCTCGCCATCGACTTCGCCGGCATCGTGTCTGTCGCCCAGGTCAAGAAGACGGAGAAGGAAGCGGTCGAGAAGTTTGGCATCACCACCTTCCCAAGCCTGGTCCTCCTGAAGCCTGGCTCGGAGGAGCCCATCAAGTTTGACGGCAAGGTCGAGAAGGAGGCCATGGTCAAGTTTCTGTCGCAGGTCGCCCCGCCAAACCCCGACTGCCCACCGCCGAAGGAGAAGAAGCCCAAGGCGAAGAAGGACACTAAGAAGGACGCCAAGGCTTCCAGCAAGCTCTCCAAGGCTTCGGCCGCACACAAGTCTGAAGACGCATCCTCTGCTGCTGCGTCCGCCACCGAAGAGGTCGTTGAAGAGCCCGTCGTCCCCACCGAGTCGCCCGGCCCCAACGTCAAGAACGAGGATGCGCCCGAGCCCATCGAACTTCCCACGGACGATGTCCAGCACACCCTTCCCTCCATCGCCGACGCTTCCGAGCTCCAAGCTCTCTGCCTGAACGAGCAGAGCAAGACCTGCATCCTCGCTATCCTCCCCAAGGACGAGTCTTCAAGCACAACGGGGGATGTCATCATCGCACTCGCCGATATCCACAAGAAGCACGACACCGCATCAAGCCGCTTGTTCCCCTTCGTCACCGTCCCCGACTCGAACCCTCTCGCAGCGTCGCTGCGCTCGTCCTTGAGCCTGGGCGGCGACGACCAGACGCACCTTGTCGCTACCCACGGCAAGCGCGCGTGGTACAAGAAGTACACTGGCAGCGCTTTGACTGCGGCCGAGGTTGAGGCCTGGGTCGATGCAATCCGCATGGGCGAGGGCAAGAAGGAGAAATTGCCCAAGGAGCTTCTCGCTGAGGCTGAGAGGCAGCCCGAGCACAACGAGTTGTGAGCGTTGGCTTGGTAGAGAGCGCGGATTAGAGCGAGTTTAGTGTATAAAATGGAATAAGTCCGTGATATGGTCGTGCATCGTGTATGTCCCCACTTGATTGATGTATTTCTCTGATCGTCCCATGCATTGCGATTGCGAGACATATAGCCACAAAACCTACTCAACGCGCGAGGAACAAGAATTGACCCTCGTGCAGACAAAGTTTTTTTGGACGTGGTGGGAATCGAACCCAACTAAGAGAAAAACTGCTTCCTACAACCCATCTCCCTCTTATTGTGGTCTGGGATACTTGCTCTCGACGCGTGTGAGCTCTTTTTCCTGGTGCTGCAATCGCTCTGTCCAGAGACCCTCAGGGAACTATCGGAGACCAGCGGGCATCTTATATACCAGCCTGGCTAGACTCGACAGCGTATTAGGACGTTGTGAAGGGCTAAAATAGCCTTGAAGGTCGACAGCCTGATTGAATTTGCTGCGCCGGGCGGCGCGATGATGGGGGGGATAAGCTGTTCTCAGCAGGAGTGGGCCTTCGACCTGAGATGCTTGTGCAGTTGCGCCCTGTTCCACTTCTTGCTTCTCGCCTTTGCAGTGGAGCTCGGATCCAAGATGCACGTGAGGCCCGAGGTAGGGCACTCGTTGGCTGCAATGTGTTGCAGTAAGAAAGCTTTCCGAGCATCAAGTGCATCGTTAGCAACCCTGCCTTTGGCTTCTTTTTGGTCTTGACCTTCGTGTCCGACTCCGATCACGACAACTTCTTCGTTGTCTTCGAAGAACTTCCAGGCACCTGGTTCGCCTTTCGGGTTCCTAATAGCCTCATCTTCTTCAACCTGGTCTGGATCGATGTTGAGATCAGATCGCTCGTCGACACCCTCATCAACGACAGCACCACTGTCATTCTCTCTCAGCAGACTATTGACCGCAGCTAGTCTCTTGTTTGTGACGAGGTCTATCTCCTTGCGAGCTTTCTTAGCGTCCTCGTTCACGGCTTTCGGTGCACCGCCCGAGTTGCGGTAATGCCTCCACTGGCCGACTTGTCCTTCAACAGCCCCCTCATCTCCTCTGCAATTTCCTCCAGCACTTGGCCACGAAGCTTTTGCCGTATCTTCTTCGGCGCTGGTTTGCGCTCACATGACGCAGCATCGAGATTATGCAGTACTTCGGCGGATTCTGGTGTATTCAAAGCCTTGAGATGTGCCTATGGACAGTCAGTGATACCGTGCACATAGTCTTGGTAGCTCGAGCGTACCTTGAAAGCGCCCGTGAAGCTGTTCGTGTATCCACGCTTTAGGGGAGTAGTTTTGTCGAGTGTGTCATGTAAGAAGGCATACGTGGCATCATTAGCCTTCTTCACACACAGCGGGCTGAAGCAGCAAGCTCCGGATTTGTCCTCTCACGATCGAAAACTCTGGCGTCCGTCTCTTTGCGCAGATTGGTTTGGTAGTCTTTAGGACTAGAAGTCTGGTTATACAGCGACTGGTTCGCCTGACGAAACATTTTTCGTGCGTCCTCGCGCGACATGCTTTCTCTACAAGCATTGTAGGCTTGAATGTCTATATCGCCAACGTTTACAGTGTCATAATGCTCGTGCGCATTTGACCCTTCGACATGCCCAGCGATTGTTTTGGCTGCTTCGGTGCCGTATGTATGCTTCGCGTGAATGATGCGCTCGCGCCGAAAGCAGTACATTGTATTTCTTGCCGGCAGTCCTGCATCGATGCACGCCATGCGCAAGCGAGGATTGAGAGCACTCGTTTTCATCGGCTGCGCTAGAATAAGCCTTCCCAAATGGGTGGCTGCCACAAACACTGCTTGCTCATCGATGTAAGGTAGGGTCGGTCATGAGACACGTGTTCAGCACATACTCTAAGCCACCTGAGTAGAGGTTTCTCCGGATGGCCTGGTCGAGTAGTGTCAACGTAAGATCTAGCTCAAGTAGTGGCGAGTCTGTTGACGGGAGGCAAAAGGTCTGGACGCGATGGGAATTCAACCCACGAAAAAAAGGCACCATCCGACTATGGTGCAAATCAGCCTCAAAATGCACGCGATGATGTTCGCCCAACACCGCAGAGTCTGTGAAATCAATCGCGCGTGTTGCGACATCGTTTTGCTGGCGTAGTGGTTCAATGCGCATCCGAGTTGCACCGTCAGTGACGGATATTTGCACCACCACCAATTCGATCACCTCCAAAAGTTGCCAGAAGCTGGATAAGATATAAAAGAATGACACTCAGGTGTCAAAAAAGTAATACTGCCGCCGTAGCGGCCAAAAAATTGGACGCTGTGGGAATTGAACCCACGACCTTTCACAAGTGGGCATTGCGGTAATGCGAAGCGAACTGATGGTTTGTTAGACATGGAAGAAGGGCGGGTGTGGTGGGAGACTCGTACAATCATACCCCTAGACTAGGAATTATTAGACAAGGACGGACAACTTGGTGATGGAAGAATCTTACCCAAGCGCCCGGTTTATTGAAGGATGAAGAAACCGAAAATTAATCAGATTATAATCGTACAACACTTATGTGCAAAGCGGTCTAACCCATGCTTTAAGCGTGGGATGTGGTTGAAAACAAACCGGCAGACAGAGAAGTGGCGAGCGGGAGGGGCAAAAGCAAAATGTTCTGGTCATGCGGGGTAGCAGGTCAAATCCACCCGCCGAGGATGCGCAGGGCGGCATGAGTTGAGAACATCTTCACAGAATTGCTAGGGAGTGGTGGAAATTTCATGATATGCATGTGTAGATTTTTGAGATATTTATGGTCTACTCAATCATGCCTGGAGCTGCACTGCTCGCCTCGTGCAGCCTTGGCTCTCGATGCCATCACTATCGACGGAACTTCCCTGCTTTCTTCAGGAGTTGCATTTTTCAATTGACTCAGAATTCGATCCCCAGATGCAGGCTCTCAGTTCTCGTCAATCTCAAATAGGCTATCAAAGCGATTGTCCCTCGCCGCCGCATACGCGTTCATCTTCTCGTCGGCACTGTCACTCTCATCACTCTCTTGGCTGGGCCCACTAAGCCTTCCCATCTTCTTCAGTACATCCTCGACGTTCCATGCGATGCGCTCTGCACCAATCCTCGCTCCCACCAAGTTCGGCGCGCCCGGTCCTAGGCGCAATCCAGCCAGCCTGCCGGTGACGAAGAGAGGGACTTCATCGTTCCACATCAGATCGTCGTTGAGACATGGCAGGCCGCCGATTGTTTCGATCGGATGCTGCTGCTGGATGGTCTGCATAAATGGTATTGTCTCGATGTTCGATTGAATGCCGGTTGCGAACACAATGTAATCAACCGATGGAATGCACACGTCAGGCGTCGAAGTCTTACACGTCCAGGATTTCAACTCCTCATCCCAGGATGCAGACTGCAGGGTAGTGTGAGTATGGAGAGAGATCTTGCCGCTTGCTACATGTGCATCGAGGATTTTGCGGTACCGCGGTGTCATACTACCGCCATTTCTGGCTTGGGAGATCATCTCGAAGCGTTCTGGAGAAGGTCAGTACAGGTTGAATGACTCTAGGTTGAGACAGATAATACCTTCGTCAGTGTCTGCAGTCCAAAACTCGGCTTGCTTGAAGTTGCGAAATTTGCCCACCCAGTCCAGATCCACGTCAAAGTACTTGACTTTCAATTCACCTCGGATCAGAAGCCAGACCTTGCTCACGCCTCGCTTAAGAGCAAGGTCAGCTAGCTGGATACTCGTCAGGCCGCCGCCAACAATGAGCATCCTCGTCTGCCGTCGAGCGTCAATCTTTGCCTTTACATGCGGCGGTGGAAACTGTTTGATCTGCATCGCATGTGTGTAGCCCTCGTGCGGAGTAGGCGTTGGCAGGCCAGGTATTGAAGGTATACAGGGTCCATTTCCAGGACCTACAGCAAGGATAACGACTCTTGCAAATCGAACGCCCTTGTCAGTCGTAACACGAAAGACTTTGGCTTCTTCGTCTGCACCGTCATCGGAGATGACGCTTTCGACCTCTGCGTCCGGGAAGGATATCACTGTGTTGTACTCGATGTTTGTAGCTCGTTCCTGTCGTAGCATTTCCTTGCCTAATCTATAACGCTGTACGACCTCGCAGCAGTGAGATGCAAACAAACCTGTGCTTGGCGTGAAGTAGTCCTTGCGGTCCCTCTCATCGATGTCGGGCGTCCTTCCCAGAAACCTGCCTTTTGAATTGATACGTTTCTTCTTCTTGTGTTTGCTCACTTCTTTGCCAGCACATCCCGGGAGTGCTTGCAGTTCTTTCGCTCGGTCTTGCTCGTATGCATACGCAAGTAAGGCATCGCGGTCGGCTGGATCGATCTGGAAGAACATTGGACTGCGCAGATAGTTGATTCCAAAGGTCTTGAATAGTCGATTCCATTTCGCCATCCACTCGTCACCGTCGGCATCGAGTACTAGCATATCGAGTGCCTCACCCGTGGCGTGACCGTCGCATCCGCATTCCGAAGTCTCTGGACTTGATGGTGGCGTGGGCAATGAGTTCTTGTTGGTCCTATAGTTCTTAATATTCATTTTTCGACCATGCTTCTTGATCCAGTGGTAGCGTTGATGCTCATCGTCGGTGAACGTCGCCGAGGGAGTGTGCTCGTGTAGTCTTGCAGCAGCTGCCAACCCGGCAGGGCCCGCTCCAATGATGAGGACGTCGTGTACGTGCATTGTGCTTTGCTTTCCGTCCTCTAAGCAGGAATTGAGGTTTCAGGCATGAGATATTGTTCTCTCTGTCATGTCATTTACGAGGTAGTCACCACATGTCGCACCCTGATGGCCAATGTCCATTCTCGGAACAACCAACATGGTGCTCCTCACGTTCAATCGCACTACGAAGCCTTTTTGTGAAGACTAGCGAGTTCAGTGCTTCCATCAAGATGGCATTGGAATCAGGCGTCGGCAAAACTCTGACCCGCATCTTCCCATCGAGAAGAGGTGACGAGGTAGCCTGTACATATTCAAATATCTCTATAGATTAAGGTAGAGTATCTTATAGCTGTGTATGCGTTCAGGCTCCCCTAAGCCTATAAGAAGTATATCTGTAAAGATTATTAGCTCCCATTGTGTAGGCGAAGAGCGGACACGAACTTTGCTGCAGCCTGGTGTTGGTAGAGTTCCGGGTTGCCAAGCGATCGAGCAAACCATTTTTCTATTTCGGTACGAGTTGATGATCTGGAAGTTATGGAGAGAGTTAAGACTAGCAGCAAGCTCTAGAAAATCCTACACTTTCCACGAAAAAGTTTGTCTCATTCATTGACGAGGCTGCGAGGGCGATGTACTGGGCACCTGGTGATGTTTCACGGGCAGTATAGACCGCCAAAGTGATTCGATGAGATGACTCCAATGTCGAGTGCATGTCCCTTGTAAATTGGAGACTGAGGCGGAATTACTATGATATTGAAATCGTGCCGAGACTTAACCCGAAATCGAGCCTCTCTGTACTGAGGGCTAATTGAAATCATCGTGTAAGGAACTGTCAACAGATGCTGAACATTGATTGGGAGCGTCTTCTTTGCGCATGTGTTGCTGACATGTGACATCTGGTCGAAACATGATATGAGCAACTAAAGAGGAGGCGCGGAAATGGCTCACAGAATGTTTGTACCTCGGTCGGCTTGGAGTGAAAGTCGCGTGCGACGCGTTTGCTCGCTCTCAAAGCGTTGGTGCACGGACTTGACGTCACCCGAGTCACCCCGAATTTCGGAGCTTCGTCCACTACACCGAGACTGGGTGCTCTTTTCCACTCGCCCGTTGCTCCTGGTTGGACTCAGCGCGCAATTGAACGATTTTGGAGTGAGGTGGATCAATCCTTAGCCTTATCGTCGCCGGCTCGCGATTCGTCTGGTTTTCGGCAACCCGCATCGAGCTCGCATCTTTCCGAACCTGCGGAACGATCAACAAAACACCATCGTAACACGGGCTTCAATGGTTTCAGGCGCCAATGTGGGTGTGGTCTTCCATCATCATGTTCAAACTTGCTGACTTTGTGTAGGATGCGAACACACCAGCAATAGTTTCGCTCGCCGCGGGTGGAGTTGCTGGTGGTGTAGAAGGATTCATATCGGTGTGCAGCAACGGACCCAATTGAGAAAGAGATCGCGTGACTGACAGCTAACCAAGTATCCTCTTGAATTCGCGAAAACAAGAGTGCAATTGAGGCAAGAGAAGGGCGTGCCGACACCACGTAATCCATTTTATGTTGTTCGGCAGGTCTACCAAAAAGACGGTATCCGGGCTGTATACAAAGGTTGTGGGCCTCTTGTTCTTGTGAGTCATTCTTTCTCTTATCTTTTGGCATTTTTGTAAGGTTGCATTCTCTATTTGCTGCGGTTGTGGTCATTGTAGGAGGAACTTGATCACGTGTCGATCCCTTGAACCAACTCTGTTGCGAACAAGGCCAACGCGTATCACAGGGCTCAATAGGCAAAGATGGCGTCCGGTTCCTCTTCTTCGACCAGATAAAGGAAGCTTTCGCAGATCCCGAGACCGGCTCGCTATCACCTGTGCGGAACTTATTAGCAGGCATGACTGCCGGGATTGCTGCGTCAGCAACAGCTGTAACGCCATCAGAACGCATCAAAACAGCAATGATAGATGATGCACGGCATGAGAAGCGCTTCAAGTCCGGTTGGCATGCTACCACCACTATCTGGAAAGAGAATGGCATTTTGGGGCTGTATCGTGGTTTCATTGGAAATACATTGAAGCAGGCATCAGCTACCGCTTTCCGTATGGGGACTTACAACGTTTTGAAAGGTACGCTCGTCCGAGAATTGACATAGAGCCTTCTGCTTACCAGGTACCTAGACTTCGAGAAGAAGAGAGATATTAAGCAGTCCACCGCTGTAAACTTCGCAAACGGATCTGTTGCTGGCGTAGTAACTACTCTTACAACCCAGCCTTTTGACGTCATCAAAACGCGCAGTCAGAGTGCTATCGGCACAAGTACCACCGAAGCCGTGAAGAGTGTTATCCTAGATTACGGCATGCGAGGCTTCTGGAAAGGCACGACGATGAGGTTGGGTCGAACTGTGTTCAGTGGTGGAATACTGTTTACAAGCTACGAAGCGGCTGTTAAGCTGATAATGCCGCTGTACGGTGGACATGGCAACTTCCTATACTGATACCCGTGTTATGGAAAACACAATTCAAGCCTTTGCGTCATACTCATCTATCACACTGATCGGTTTCACAAATGTGCCAAGAGGCTTGTACTGAAGATGATCCAGACCGAAACTCTTTGGACCTCCAATCTCAATGCCTCGCGGGCTTGTCCACCTCTCGCTAGCAGTGAAGGCGAGAACCTGCACGAGTAGACCGTATCGATACTCTGGCGTGCCAACCGCTTCACCGTTCTGCGCATCAATGACGGCAATCAGATCTGGAACTATGGCCAGCACATCTTCGTTCTTTTCCTTTCCGGTCTCGCTGTCGCCGCTTTCTGGTATGCGAATCGCTGCAATGTTCTCGTTCTTGAAGGGGATCTTAATCCTGCCTGCGTACGCTGCTTCTGTGCCTTCGATGATGACCTCTCCATATACATGTCCCATGTAGAGCTTACGCTCCACACCGACAATCTTGCCTTTGAACAGGACACGTCCGGCTTTAGTACCGCCTACAGCGTCGATGATGCACTCAGCAACATTGTCGATCCTATTCTCTTTTCGGGCACGTGCGACTTCGCGGCCGATACGCCACGACAGCGAGATCGTGTGTTCAACTGCCCACCTTCTTGTCTCGGCGCCTGTGACAGGTGCATCGGCTGCTCCCACTGAGCTTCCCATCTGGCTCAGGGCAGCTCTGATGACTTGTTCGACCTTGAGATCGCTCGCAGCAGTGCCCATATACAAGGTGTTGCCATTACCGTCTGCTATAGCTACCGGCGCAAAGATTATGTCACGCTCGCCGAAGACCACTGGCGTTGTTTGCCATTTCGTAGGGTACGCTCTACCCATCCAATCTGCATCGACACATGGTACGTCCATGTTTTGAGAGGAGCCGAGGACCAGACCCTGTAAACCGTTCGAGCCGCCAATTTCCAAAGGGATGACGTGCGTCGCACGGCCACCTTTGAACAAATCATAGAGGTGGTTCTGCGCATCCATCATCTCGTCTGCCGACAATTTCTCGATCCCAACTGTTGGGCTGCCTGCACCACCACCGCACCCGACTCTGTCATCATCTTTCAGGTCGTCTGGACTGACGACGCGGACAGTATTGCCAGATCTCAGTATACCACGCACGCGTAGCATTGTCGAGTATGGGGAGCCACCGCCGCCTGTCCCCAAGATGTAGCAACCGATGGTGATCCAAGCAAGGTCGACTTCAGAGATCCACCATTCACGATTGATGACTTTTGGCACGTACGTCGCGATCTCAACGTCCGGTGTCTCATCTTCCACAGAGTTGTCATCGGCCGCAGGTGCAGCAGCAGGATCATTAGAGTCTTCTGTCCGTGTTGCTGAACCGTCCTCCTCTTTCTTGACGTGGAGGTCTGCAAAGTCGCTCGATCGCGAGAAGTCAAAGTCTCCAGCCGCCCTAACGATGAAGCGCGTTTGGTTTGCCACGTACTGCAGAGGCAAATCTTCGACTTCTACAATCTGAACAGATGCTGGAAGTGCTCCGGCCTCGATTGTTTTCTGTTTTGCAGCCTCGCATATGTCTGCTAGGATCTCTTTCGATGTCTGCTTTTCTGTCGACTTGACTGTGTCCACAACAGCGCTCACGCGAGCCATTGCGGCGCCTATGGCATTCGCCACTCCTGACCATTTTGGTTTGATAACCCTACTAGCCCCTCGAAGGGTATCTGGAGCAACAATAGCGCCACCGCCGACCAGCAAGACTGGCAGATCCTCGGGAGCCGTCTTCATCGTGTCGATAATGCGCTCAAGCATGCTTTTGACTTCACTCTGGAAATCCTGTATGTCATTCTGATCAAGCTTTTCCCTCACTTTCTCAGGATCACCAATCTTGAGCTCCAGAGATGCCGCGACCATGTAATCAGTAGTTGTAGGTGTATCGCCCCCAAAGACAAGCGCTTTTTCTGGCAGCTTGTAGCCAACTGATTCTGGTCCAACGTGCAACTTGCCTTGGATTCTCCTGACCAGACTCCCGCCACCCAGACCAATGCTCTTTACGTCGGGGTATGAGAAATTCATCCTGACACCCGAAAGCTCAGAGTATGCAGCCTGTTGTCTAGGAAAGCCGTTCGCGAGTAGCAAGCCAACATCGGTGGTTGTACCACCTACATCCACGACCATCATTGCTTCTCCCTTCTCATTATCTTTGCCGATCAAGAAGGCTGCGCCGCGCATACTGTTCGTTGGGCCGGACGAGAAGGTTCGTATTGGCAACCGACTCGCGGCTTCACCACTTAGTATTGTGCCATCGTTTTGTGTGATGAACACGGGACAATTCAGGCCAAGCTCTTTCATGGGATCCTGGAAAGATGCGATGGTCTTTCGGGCGAAGGACAATATCGATGCGTTGAGAATTGCCGCATTCTCGCGCTCCAAGAACCCCAGGTTCGCGACTGTCTTGCTGAGGACTATGTCGACACCGTCTCCCAGCTCACGCTTGATGATCTCCGCCGCACGTTCTTCTTGCTTTTCCATCGTGTCTATCGGACTGAAGACACCATTCACCACGATGCTCTTGATATTCTTTTCCTTGATGATCTTGCACTGTTCCAGGATCTCGTGCTCTTTGATGTCCGATATAAGACTACCATCAACCTCCAGGCCTCCTTTGACTAGCGCGTAATGTCCTAGGATGATCTTTCGCAAAGAGGCAGGCCAATCTACGCCCGGAGGTGCATGCTTGCTGAACTGTCCGGACAATCGAATTACTGCAACACGAGACAGACGTGTCGAGTCGCGAGTTACGACTGCATTAACAAAATGGGTAGTTCCTATTGTCACACTGGCCACCGAAGATGGGGCAACGGAGGCCGACTTGAACATGGTCGTGATCGCGTTGGCAATCCCATGGCTTGGATCCGTCGTCGTTGGTGCTTTGTGCCTACGAAACGAAATAAGCTTTTGTCATGATTGTGAAGAGCTCAGATACCAGCTGCATGGTAGTAAAGACGAAGAGTCGCAAATTGAGGACGCAAATGACCCCTCAGGTGTCCTACAGAAAAGACGAGATCAATCGTACCAAGCAACAATTCCTCTATCATCGTCTTGCGACCGCGTAGGATCTATAATCACACCATCTGTGTTGGTTCTACATGAGCTCTTAGCTATGGTCTTTGCAGGCAATCAGCGTTCTCTTACCCGCCAACATCAACACCGATTCGCAAATTTCGAGAGGTCGACATCTTGCTACGTGTAATGTAGATGTTGACATCAATTCACAAACGCTGCAGAAAAGATCTGATAAGCGGGGTTAGCTCCGAAAGCCGGACGAGCTCCGCTGTCGAGGCAGCTCCCACCCCGATCCTCTCCACCACACTGCAGTCATCAGGCAATTAGGCAATCACGCAACCAGTACCGGCACTTTGAGTCAGCATTTGCTGCAAGATGGGGGTGTCATGATTTGCTGCTGTGGAGGCACTCGTCCCGAGATCGTCTGATAAGATAAGGTGCCCGGTCTGCTTTACCCCTCACTACTCCAACCTGCAGTTCGCCATGCGGCTTTCCACGTATCATGCTCCAATATTGCGCGATGCCATGCCATTGGCACGCAGTTACATTCGGACCTAATGAGGTTCCCATGTAGAAGATGCATTCGGTCCGGTTGATGAGCCTGAGGCGGCACATCTAAAACGGTCGGCTTCGCACATATGCGCGTCGGTCTTGACTACCATCCACACGAGGTCGGCGCAACCATGGGAATACGAAGCAGACTGGCTGGGCTCGGCCAGCACGTTCGACTAAAGGGCAATGAAGCTAAACATGAGCAGACGGATGCTTGGAGTAACCGCGATTTAATACCTTTGCCGCCGGATAGACGAACATGGGGATCCTTCAATTACTACGGGTTCTGGGCCATTGCTAGCCTGAATGTCGCCAACTGGCAGACCCCAAGCACTTACCTCAGTAAGCCACTATGTCCCTGCAACAGGTGCCGCGTAACTCGTGCCCCGCCCAGCGTACGAACTTCGAAAATGTGGACATGTATTTTGTATAGTGGTGAGGCTATACAGGCGCATGTATGACACGTAGTCTATAACGACAAGATCGAGATCGCACAGGCGGACAATGGATAGAACGCTACATGTTACCGCACCTTGTTGCTCGCAGGGAACTACTTGACTAACGCAAAACTAGCAATGGGACTGTCAGTGCCTCAGGCCATGTTGATCATCGTCGTCAGCCGAATTCTCATCGCTCTGTTTTCGACCCTGGTGGCATGGATCGGACTCACATGGCACATCGGCTTTACTGTGCAGAACAGATACAGCTGGGGCATGAGAGGCAGCTATGTTCCGCTTCTAATGCGGATCTTACTCAATTTTATATGGAACGCGGTGCAATGTAGGTCACAACCAAGTCAGGGTTTTTGATTGCCCAAGATGCTGAGATGTCTAGGCTGGAACGGTGGTCGCCTCCTTGCAGTATGCCTCACGGCTCTTTGGCCGTCCTTCGCTCGCATGAAGAATACCTTCGGTCCAGAGATGCCAGCCACGACGGACCAATTCGTCGGATTTGTGGTATTCTGGTTCCTTTCCACGCCGTTTCTCTGGTTGCGCCCCGAGAAGTTCAAGATTCCGTTCCTCATCGTGTGTGCTTGGTGCGGCGCCGGCATGTTGTCCTGGATGATCTGGGCTTTGTCAGTTGCGAAGGGCGTCGGCCCACTGTGGAATTCTGGACAAAAGCTTCCAGATGGCTCGCCGTTTGGTGCATCATGGCTCATCATGGCTGGCATCAATCAGGGCATCGGCGGTCTTGCGGCTGGCATAACGAATGGTTCTGACTTCTCTCGATACGCGAAAGCGCGAAGATCCTACATCATTGGCACCATCACAAGCTGTCTCATCACAGGTGTCTTAGTGTCTTTGATAGGGTTAGTAACGGCTGCTGCCTCCCAGAAGATCTATGACGAGGTGTACTGGAATCCCCCAGACCTGCTAATGCGGATGATGGAGAACGGCAACGGCTCATCCAAAGCTCGCGCGGGAGTGTTCTTCCTTGCTGCTGGCTTTGCTTTCACTGCAATGTTCGAAAACATATGCGGTAACACCATAGCTGGAGGAATCGACTTGGCCGGATTGTTTCCTCGTTACATCGGTATGTCCATCTTGGGAACCATCAAAGAAGGCACTATTGCTAACATGTGTGCCAAAGATATACGTCGTGGAGCTATCATCACGTTTGTTGCAGCCTGGATTGTTCAGCCATGGCAGCTGATCAACAAAGCAACGACCTTCATCACGGTGTTGTCGTCGTTTTCCGTCTTTCTTGCGCCTATCATTGGTATCATGGCCTGCGACTACTATGTTATCAGAAAGAGAAGGATTCGTTTGAGCCATCTCTACCGGACCCACGACTCTTCCTACATGTTTTGGAATGGCTTCAATTGGCGAGCCATGCCCGCGTGGGTTTGCGGATGGGCACCGACGATCGGTGGGCTGGTTGTGTCGGTCCGGGGCGATCTGAATCCTCCCAGGGCGGTGCTTCAACTGTACTACATGGCTTTCATGATCGGTCAGTGTGTTTCCGTTTGTCCACGTGTTCGATTACTGACTATTTTGGTAGGCTTCTTCATCAGTGCTGTGGTATTTTATGCATTGAACGCCTGCTTTCCGCTTGAGCATATGGATCAGATCGATTCGGTGGACCTATACGGCACGTTTACGGAGGCTGAAGCTCGTAGAGTGGGTGTGGATCCGCTTGAAGAAATTCATCAGGACGGACTGTCAGAAGGAGGACTGTCAGAAGGAAGACACTCGGGAGATAAGGATGCGACTTTACAAGGTGCCAAAGAAGTCTAGATGGTTGGAACCGGTTGGCCAGGCTTTACGACTTGAGCTCTACTGAGCTGCATGGCGATCTTCACATGATCGCAGCAAGATGCTCAATGTTGCGACCACTCATTTGTGAATTGATCCGTTTCGAGACAACTCGTCATCACAATTCTAAGACTGTCACTCCAAGAATCACCAAGTCTTAGCAACGTTAATCCAAATTTGATCAAACGCTATTATGATTATGATCGTGACTGATGATATGTAAGGTTTCAAACAAGGCTGAATGACTGGACCTCCTTGTGCGATTGTGCCATGCTCATGGAACTTGCCGTGATCATGTACAGCGCGAATGCAGAGCGACGAGCTCCACAGCGCATCTCAAATAGCTACATAACTGTCACTTGGCTCCACTTGTACTGACATCGCGGCGTCTGAGATGGTTTTGTTGATACGCCAAGTATCTCGGCGAAAAGGCAACCTGTGCACCAGCCACCAACGCTTCGTCATTCTCGCCTGCGCCGTGCGCTACTCTCCTTTCTTTTCTGCATCACACCCTTCATTGGGCCCGGACTCGACGTTTTCATAATTGTATACGCGCAACGATGTGGATCCAACGATGGAGCCCTGTACGCGGCCCGACGCTCACATGCAGCAGCCCAAGGCGCCGGTGCTTGTCACGATTCAGTTTGTGGTACATACCACGCACATCAGTTATCATCAATTTCTCAACGAAAAGGGGCGCAAGAAGAAAAATGACTACCCAACCAATCGCAATAGACGTCGCATGTTGTGTTAGCCCCGCGCTTGCACAACGGGAGTCGCCGTCTGTGAACAGTACCGCCCCTACAGTAGCACCAAGTTTATGCGACACGCCCTTTCAACTCCGCCATAACAAGTGCAAGTATACACGAAAATGTTTCTGAACGAGGTAGAAATACGCTTTTTGCCTAAGGCTTGGGCTTGGCCAGAGACAGGGTGATACTCCCAAGTGGACCTTTGGCGACTTCTCTCGCATTGTTGAGACGACATCGCTTTTTCGCCATCGCCATGGATGAGACGTGCCGTGTCCTTGCAAGGCCACTAGCGTAAAGGCTCCGTCGTTCTTATCAGTGGACAGACCTCCCTGGGGCACCTTGAGCTCCAAGTCGGTGGGTCCTACTGTTTTGCGCGGGATGCTTGGGTGCTTGGCATCAAATCCGACACAGAGAGGTCCGCTTCTGGCGTTTCGTCACCCGTTTCAAGCCTCACCCTCGGCGCGAATCACCGCATTCCCACGTTTTGAGCCGCACCTTATTCCATTCGCTGTGCTCATCTCCCGCCCTTGGGTTTTGCTTGGCCGCGCTTCGGAGGAAATGGAGCCTCACCATCTTACTGGTGCATCTGTTGGGAAACACAAACTACAACACCTGAACGGTAGCGGGCCCATGTAAGGTCATCGTTGTTACGGTATTATTCCCGTGTCGTTCCAAGCGCGCAGCGTTCTCAGAGCTATGTTCTTCAGACTAGGCCAAGATGCTGCATTTCTCCGAAACGAGCGGGAGATTTCGACGTCTGTTGTCGACATCGTGTAATCTATCCGCGGACCACTACATGTTGCGAAGTGAACCTATAGGACTTTGGCGCAGCCCTTTCCACGTCAAGTCGTACGTCACATTGTACGGACGTAAGTCCACTAGCCAAACTAAGTGCAGATCCTACAACTTCGAGAAGCACTGCCTCAGGGCTTATCACGAGCTTTGACGGAGGCAAGCCCGTTCAAACACCTTGGCGGAGCGGACAGTCGCCAAGTCCGGTTTCCACATCTAGCATGCATCGAGGCGAGGAAGACGCTTGTGTCTCCCAGGAGCACGGGCGCTAGCACAACAGAAGAGCTTATTCGGACTCGGGTTGTGGGTACCTAGGAGAAGGTACGCAACACTTTACCTCAGCCAAGCATTACGAGATGCCACTGCACCCCTACATCGCCTCTGCAAGATGCTCCACTAACCGCCAGCAGATTTTAGTGTCTAATGATGGTACAAGTCGCGAAACGGGACCGGGGGACAGTCCACCCCCCATGTTGATCCTAATGTGTGCTTGTTAAGACATGGCCTCTATCTTAGATCCTACATTCCCGGCGTCCCTACTTTGACCCACGGCCCGTTCCTAAATTAATATTATAGCTGCCCGACGGTCCTCAACACCTTTCACTGTTGATTTATACGTCGGCGCTTCCTTTCAACTCCACGGTGCAGGACACCTTTTCCATAGACTTCAGCCATGGACACTCGTTACCAGCCCGAAGGCCTGTCATTTGACAACAAACCAGCCTTCAACCCAAATTTCAACAGCGGTGATCAGAGCCAGTATCCACCATCAAATGACCAACAACAAAACCAATATGCCGCTCCTTCCGCACCCCGACCAAACTACACCTCTCCTCCACCACCACCAACCATGACTCCATTTGGATACCAGATGGGACCTCCTCCTCCAGCTCCCATGCCACAGGGACAGTATGGTCTGCCTTCAGGACCACGTTTGTCTGGCGCAGAACCTCGCTCGTACACCCCCCAGAATGCACAACACTCGCGAAACTATTCGAACTTTTCACAACCCCAACAACAACAACAACAACAACAACAGCAATCACCACCATACACTGCTCCTTATGGACCACCACCAACTGGTCTAGTCCCAGAGTCTGGAGAGACCACTCGCACAAACACCTGGGTGCAGACACCTGCAGGACCATACCCGACAGGTCAGGGCTACTTCCCTGGCCCGGTCGATGCCAATGGATACCCCATAGATGTCAAAGAGAGGGAGCCACGGCCAGACAACCCTTTTACTGACCCAGTTCCACAATCAAATCCCGTTATGCCACCTCCATCCATCGACCTCGAGAAAGAGAAGCACGATGATGGTCATGGCCATGGCCACGGAGGCTGGGACTACCACTCGAAGATCCCTCACAAGAAGGATCCCAATCAGCCATATCTTCCTTTCAGTGAAAGGCTCCGCCACTTCACATGGGCTTGGTACACACTGACTATGGCCACGGGTGGTATCGCGACCCTCATCTCTATCCAGCCACACTCCTTTCCTGGTCTCATCACTATTGGCGCAGTCTTCTTCATCCTCAACTTGATCTTCTTTTTCGGCATCACTGGAACAATGATCCTTCGGTTCACCAAGTTTCCCGGTTCTTTCAAGGCTTCGATCACTCACGAGCGTGAAGGTCTCTTCCTTGGACCTTTCTTCCTCTCCGTAGCCACCATCATTACAGGTACACAGAAGTACATTATCCAGGCATACGAGGTAGACCACCCCAACCGCTCTTGGGCGGTCACCAGCATAGCGGTTGCCTTCTGGGCTTACACTTTCATGACCTTCTGTCTGGCGTCCTTCCAATATTCGTTCTTGTTCTGTTGCCACACCTACAAGCTGACTAGCTTTATGCCATCGTGGCTCTTGCCTGTCTTCCCAGTCATGTTGGCTGGTACTATTGCTTCGGTCATTGCTCAAGATCAGCCAGTAAGCTCAAGAATGCCAATTCTCGTCGCTGGTCTAGGTTGCCAGGGCCTCGGCTTCACCATGGCTATCATCATGTACGCACACTACATCGGACGCTTGATGCAGGTCGGTTACCCTGGACGTGAACACCGAGGAGCCATGTTTATTGGTGTTGGACCACCTTCCTTCACCTGCCTTGCTTTGATCGGAATGGCAAACGCTCTCCCAGACGACTTCGATCTGCAGGGTGACGGCCTTGTTGACGCCAAAATGCTGCGAACATTGGCGCGATCGTTGTTGCATTGTTCCTGTGGGTTCTTGCTATGTGGTTCTTCATGATCACTCTCGTTGCTGTAAGTCAAATACTTACCACTTCTCCATTCAGACACTGACTATTATTGAACAGGTCATCCACTCATGGGCTCTCTACTTCCATTTGGGATGGTGGGCTATGGTCTTCCCTAACACTGGGTTCGTCATCGCTACAATCTCAATTGGCAACGCTCTTCAGGACGAGACGATACTCTTCGTAGGCAATGGGCTCACCATCGCAATCCTGTGCATGTGGGTCTACGTCCTGTTCAACCACGTTCAAGCTGTGATTGTTGGAGACATCATGTACCCCATGATGGACGAAGACAACGCGGATCATTGATTACTTCACTACACATCTTTGCTCTCTGAGCACATGGCTTCATCGCCACAACCTGGATTTTCTTACCTATGTCACTCGTTCTTCCTCATAATCTCCCCGCGCTTTCAAAAGTTTTACGCTCTTTATACCCCACATCGCGTGTTGCTTTCATCCTTCACATTCTCGAAAGCTGCCAGTGGAACCCCACCTTTCCAAATGTACTTCTAGTCTCAACCACGTTATAGAATCAGGGGCGGCTTATCAGCGGCGCAACATTTGTAGATACCACTTTCTTTTACTTCTATCACTATATTTTGGCATAGCGCAGGCGTTGAAAATGGGAAGGGCACACAGATACCACGGGCAATTTTCTGCGCGAAAGGAGGCATATAGAACGATGACGAGGTCTGGAACGGGATCAATGCTTAGATTCACCATTCAAATGCACGCGCGCGCTCTGTGGCCCTTTCTATTTTCGTAAAATCATGGCTCACTGCTTCTCCACTTCACCTAGGTGCGAACATTGAAAAAGCCAGCATAGCATTCACAACATGTGAACAGGAGAGAGCAATGACGAACAATCACATGCAAACCCCAAGACACGAACACCAAGAGCCTCATTGAAAATCATCATTATCTGGGCGACTAAACTATAGCACACGAATGAAACATCCCTACCGTCTCGCCTTGCCCCCCGGAAGAAAATAAACCGGAACAAGCACCGTGGCGGTAGACCCAAGCACGACATAGGCGCATGCATATTGATCCTTTGGAATGCACGTTTGACGCACGAACAGCCAAGGTCTTGGTGTGTTTTGTGGGAAGCAAAAGCCCAAGCGAAACGCCAACGGTTGGCAGGCGATTGCACAATTAGAGTTATGTTGGGCGCCGATCAGACACGATTGCATCTCGGAGCTTCGCGGCTGTATTGTGGAGTTGCGTCACCGTGCAAGGCGGTGTTGTAACGACGACGCACGTGCGTGGGGGTGTCTGTGCCCGGGTGGGTACGGAAAGGGATATGAGACGCGGAATTGTTCGGGTGCTTTTCTTGACATTGGGCGGTGCTGGTGAACGACGGCGGGCGGACGGTGATGCATGTCGCGTCTGGCGGAGGGCGAGTCCGCTGTCATAGCGAGCTGCGCGGCGCTCCTTGCTCTTTCATGGAGCGCACTTTGGCCAGGGCGGCGTCTAGCCCGCGCTTTGTGTTCTCAAAGTAGATGTGCGAGAACTCGCTGCTTGCTTGCCCTGAGATCGTCCGCGCTTGGATTCCATGACTGATGGTGCTGCCCTAGGGATTGTCAGTGATGGGCAGAGAATAGGGGAAGTCGGTGAGCATACCCTCATGAGGTGGAACACTTTTGCAATCTCCCACTGATCTTTCCTTGGGTCCCAGCCTGTTATCCGTGTGTATTCGTCCATCAACTCGTCCATGCTCGGCATGCCGTTCTTCGCCTGGTTCTCTGGATCGTACACTTCGCCTCCCTGGTCATCTCTGGCTTCTACCTTTGGACCGCCAGACATGCCGCTCGAGCTCGCACGATTCCAGTACGGGCCTACGACATACACTGCGTCCATGAGGGGATGGCCAATGGTGCTCAACTCCCAGTCCAGAATGGCAATGACCCGTGGCTCCGTCGGATGCAGAATCACATTGTCGAATTTGTAGTCCCCGTGAACAATGCTGGTCCGGTCCGTCGGGACGTTCTTGCGAACGTATTCCACAATCTCGTCGAAGTTGGGATGCGCGCGCCCCAGTTCCTTCCCAGTCTTGACATCCTTGACTTTGGCCTGTTGAGCCTCTATATGTGAAAAGGTATTACAGTGGCGTGTGTAGAAGCCAGTCTTCTTGCCAAAGTTGGAAAGACCAATGGTGTCTGGATCAATGGAGTGAAGCCATGCCAGTGTCGACACTAGAGAGAACCAAGCCGAACGCCTTTCTGTTGGGGAAAGTGTCGACAGGTTTGGATCGGTAATGATGCGACCTTCAATATACTCCATGACCTATCACATCTTAGTACCACGGTGTAAGTCGGGCAGTAAAAGACGTACATAAAATGCGGTTCCGATGATCGAAGTATCCATACTGAGGCAGTATACTTTTGGAACTGGGAAGCCTTCCACGCTCCCTAATGCCTTGAGCACTTTGTACTCGCGGTCGACTTGATGTGCTACAGGTGAGATGATCGTCCCGGAAGGCTTCTTCCGGAGGATAAACCTATTCTTGCTCGCATCATCAACGAAGTACGTTGGGTTGCTCTGCCCATAACCGATCTTTGTCGACACAACCGGTAGCTTGAGATTTGGCAAGTAGTCCTTGAGGTATTCGCCCAGCTTAGCATCATCGAGGTCGTGGCGCGCCTTCTGTTGTGCTTGTTCCGGCATGATTCCCTACTCTTTACTTGAAAAAATAAATATTCGCGGACTTTAATGTTCGGTCGAAAGGTTATTTTCCTGCATTTTGATGGGTGATGCTAGTCGAGTAAGCTCCTGCGGAGTGAAGTGTTAGCCTCGGTGAACTGAAGGTATCTATAAATGGCTAGCGTGTGCGGGGTTGTTACAGCCGTGCGACCACCATTGAGTAAAGTGTGTACCCTCTTGAACGACCGTATTGAACAAGATTAACTTACAATGACGTTACTTGCGACTAGAAGTAGAGATTGGGAAGACAGAATTGGTCGTACTGCACTGATGTGACACTTTACAGCTGATTGCAATCATTAGTCCTTACTCTTTTATAGCATGTGTTGTCACAAATCAAGGATGCATGGTATTGTGGCAATCCTGAAAGACCTTCTTGATCCATTGTGCGCGACACCAAGTTCAAGTCATATCTCCATTCAGAAGCTACTCGTAAGACATCTCTTGTGATGCCGAAGTTTGTGGTGACTCTTACGCCATCCTTGGAGTCCTGTATGTCTGATGCACTTGCGGTCCGCGCTTGGCTGAGGCTCGATTTCCGAGATTCCCTGAGTTCTCGAAGCACCAACTCTACTTCGTCGTCGCCAGATGAGCCTGGCTTGACCATATGATCGCGCCGCCCCAGGGAGGCCATTAGACTTCCTCGAATCGGCATTCTTGTAAGCGCTGTTGCTGCGGTCTGAAGTATTTAGAGGAGTGATGCGCATGAGAAGAGGTTTGAGCATTGGCAGGGAAACGACGATGGTTGCCGTGCACATCTCAGCAGTACACCACAAGTCTGCAAATGGTCAGGACTCAGTTCGTGAGGAGAGGAGGTCGGCACACTGCCAGTGTAGACTTACTGCCAGACGCGTCATCGATGAAGTTGTCGCCTTGAGGGAACGCGACTTTGATGAAGCGTGTCAGGCTAATGATGATTGTGATGAGGCCGAGAGAGAAGATTCCGCAGAGAGCGAGCTTTTGACGACCGCGTAGCTTCAACGAGGGTAGAACAAAGAACGGAAGCACGAATACTGTGCGTGGTCAGCTACTTCAGTACCGGACTATCAGGAGTGGGGTCGTACACAAAATGTCTGTAGACCAGTTCAAGGACCAATTTACGTAGAGGGCCTCTGCTGAGTTCCAGAGAGAAAGTTTCTGGTTCTCGACCGACCTGGAGATATCAATACGAGTTCCAGACGGCTTTAGAAGAGCGGACTGAGCGGCTTACCAGTTATTTGATATTGGCTGCGCTATCAACGTGTTCATTAACAGTGAGGTTCCACAAGCGCATGCCATATACACCGTCGCGACGTAGATAGTTATTCGAAGGCTGCGAAAACCCAGAGGAATGAGCCACCAGTAGAAAGCCAATAGCGAAGCTTTCGGAAAGTATAGGCCAACATCAAAGAAGTAGGACGACACAAAGACTGTCTAGAAACAAGACAGGGTTGTCAGCGACGTCTGCAGCATGGCAATTTTGTAAGGCGTACCGTCAAATACTCCACTGAGTCTGACAAGAGTTCAGGTCCTGTCAGCGGACGGTCGTGTTCAAGGCGAAGAGCCGTGACAGAGCATGCGAACCACCCTACAGTGCAAAACCAACCGACAATCACTAGGTAATCAGGAAGCGTGATTCGATGACGACCCAACTTCACGCGGACCCAGCATCTCAACACAGTCGTGGCGAAAGCCAAAATAACCAGAAATGCTTGTAAGGCCTGCCAGAGTGTCAGTAAGATCAGCATCCTCTCCCTTCGGTTCTGAGAAACCTACGATTGACGTCACAATCTTCATTCTGTCGCTGGTCGAAAGACAGAGGTCGTTCTTACAATGAACACAACTACATCTTAAAGGCTGGGGATGCTTTGAAGACAAGCTCATGCACAGTGTGGCTGCGCCAACATGACTTGAGTCGAGCTCCTGCCGGCTCGGGAAGTACCTCCCCAAACGAACCTTACTCTGCTTGGAATGGCTAGTTCAGCCACTTGTGAGTGTTTCTCTCTATCAGACAACGTGTTTTTTGCATCAGTCTTAGCCCAAGCGACGGATTCGCTGGATGTAGGGTATCATTCGAACTTTATCTACTAGTGCTCCTTCCGAACCAGACAGTGCGCAGGGTTCTCCAAGCCGTGGTTCTGGGAATAATCGAGATGATGACTGAGGACGCGGCCAGAGAGGGCGACTCATCCCTCGTGCGCATCTCCGCGCCCAATGTTCAACATGTATATCTTTCGGGTTCCACTCATCGCGTCGCAGGAAACCCGATAATAACTGCGGAAGTGGACTCAGATTGACAGCGACATGCAGCAACGGGCGAGCAAAGGATTCCAAGTTTAAGGTTTCTTCCCGCGGACTGATCGAGCATTTACTTCCAACTAGCCAGAACGTTGACAGTCCAGACATGAAGTCGATCCAGTCAAAAAGGTCGCTTGATGTTAGCATCTCCGTGCCGTCGAGTCGGCGCAGATCCCCCCAGATTGGTCCCCACATATTTCTTCTGCGGGGGTCCGGGATTGGCAGCCCACGCAACAGCCCTAACAGGCACCACATCACGCCACTAAGAAGACGCCCTGGAAATTAATAAAGGCCGCTTGGGCGCCAAACCCAAGTATCCGTCGCGACGACCGGGACCCTGGAGCTGCTCACCCGTGATTCTTGGTACTATTACGCCCTGCGGCGGCACTTATTATAGGCCTGGAAGTTGTTTCCAAAGACTATTGGATCCCTGAAAGCGAACGACGTGTCGCAAGATAGTCGAGAGACCTAGAGAATCGAGCCTAAGTCCTCTGGCAGGTATAATCTACAATAGACAAGTGCGAAGAGGCGCTGAACACAGCGTCATGGAAACCTCGCCTGCCCGTCTTCCCATCTCAGCAAACTCAAATTCAAGCCCAAACTTGGCATGTCAGTGAAGCGAAATGTTCTTTGTATGTGCTTTTACTCCGTTGTAGATAAGAGAATTGTCTATACATGACGAACGCGTTTGTTCGACTCGGAGCACTGCCTGTACGTCACCGGGAAAGCTTGAGAGCAGGGATACAATCCCCCATCTGTTAGCCCGAACGCTCAAAGCCATGCTTGACCTTCTCGAAACATTCAACGGGTAGATCCCTCGTGTTCGAATCCAGAGACCGCACACACGGTATCTGAATCCTCACGCCACTACCCTTGCAAACACATCACCAGCCAAGACCAAGCCAAGTTATCAACGCAGCAGGGATGAGGAATCGTATCATCGTTTCATGAGACACAGATATCACGCGACTCTGCACATGAAAACATGGCCGCAGAGTAGAACAAATAGCTCATGTTTCTTATCCCACCTACGACCGTGCCCGAAGTAAAACGGAACGCGACTCCGCACGCTGCAAGAACGCCTCCGCATGCCGTTCTCTGCAAGCCCCAGGAGCTCGCAGCGCCCACGAGTCAGCATCAGCCAACACTGCAGACTTAGCGTGGGACTCTCGATTCGACAGTTGCATAGCGGCACAGACTACGAATGAAGATAACGCTATGGCTGTGCCGCGTGAATGAGTCAAGGCTGAAGCCACGTAGGATATGTCTTTGAATGGTCGGACGGTGGCGTTCGGTGTGGCATGCCGCTCCCTTAGGGTGCGGGCTCTCAGTAAGTGACTGACTGAGGACCGAGGCTTTGATTCTGCGCCATATTTGAGGTGTAGAGGTTGATGTAAGGGAGATAATAATTGGGTATCATTGGAAAAGGTATAGCCAAAGTCCATATAAACAGACAGACTTGTGGTGCGAACGCCTCTCTGTAACGACGGGAATATCCGTCGTGGCAAGTAACAGCATTTGCTGTCCCAGAACATCGCGTCACCTCCCACCGTACTCATTCTCATCATCGCTCTGCTCGTGACCTTCAATACTGTCTTCAATCTCCTCGTTCAGCAACATGCCCAACTCATACGTCTTCTCGCGGATCTCCTCAGCTGCCTGCCTGTCCACAAGACAATCTTCCATGATCAACATGATCGCAACCTCAGGAACGAGCACCGCTTGCACGAAAGTAGCCGGTCCAGAACCCTGTACGACTGGGTCTGCACATTTCTTGATTTCGTTCTTGAGCACCTTCATGACCGTCTCGGTGATGAGTCGCCTGCCGTGAGGTCCGTAATAGCCCGGATACGTTGATAAATCGTCAAGAGCGTGAGATTCAAGCTCCTGCTGCACATGCTCGGGAAGGTCTTTTCGTCTCGAAGGCACTGCTGCCGCCCTCCCTGTGAGTGCGATTGGTTCGTAGCGGTCGCGATATGTACTCGACTGCTCATTGTGTAGTATCTTGTATAAGTCCATGCGGCGCTTTTTGATGCGCTGAGGAAGGTCGTCCCAAACGATTTCCGGATACTCTTTCCTGTACTCTTCCTGCGCAGATTTCGTCCTGTGAGAGCGACAGAATTGGTTCTGGTTCTTGACTGTTCTGTTCTTCCCTTTCCAGTAGTCCCAATAGTCGTCTTTCTGTACAGGCGTCCTACAGATAGGACACTGCGACCCCTCTTCCTCTTCTTTGGGCAGCTGTTCTAGGTAGCTTTCCAAGTCGCCGCACTCTTCCTTGGGCGCACTTGAATCAGGCTGAGACGACTCGGGAGCCCGATCTTGCATCCAGTCACCTAACTGACCATGTAGAACCGTGGGCTTGGCCCTTCGTGATGTCTGTCTGAGCTCCTTGTCTTCGAGCATATTTTGTCGAACAACAGGAACAGGCTGTGACGACGAAGATTTCAGAACATCGTCAAGTTCGTCTTGGTCAAGCATCGAAACTTCCGAATCGCTGTCTCCGCTCTCTACAGTCGGTCCTGCTTTGCTCGCCTGTTTAAAAATGGTCCTGTTCTGTCTGGGAACACTTATTGCAGGTGCCTTTCTTTTAGGTGGTGCTGCCTTAGGTGGTGCTGCATGTATGTTCTTGATACCACCACCAAATTTGGCAACTTTCTTGCTCTTGTTAGAACCTTGACTGGCATACTCCATCCCAAAGTCAAACGGATTATCTTGGGTCGATCTTAAGGAAGACTGTGATGAGGCTGCTGAATTGTTCTTCTTATTATTGTCCAGCGTCCTATTCGATTTGCGTGGCTGACGGAGTTCCTCTTCCTGTGGAGATGCTGGCCGTACATTTTGGACTTTACTCGGCACCTTCCTCTGCGGTTTTCTCAGCTCGTCTGGCTCAGGTGCGCTGGGCGCGAGAGTAATGTGGGGACGCGGTGCTCGTGGTTGAGGAGTATTCAATTCCTCATCGGTCGACTCGGGCTCCGCGTTGATATCTTCTTCGTCTTGCGGGTTCTGCTTCGCTGGGATTTGCCTCCGCTTCGCGATTGGCTCCTCATGGACTTCGTCGCCTGCATGCTTCATGCCGCCTACCGTGCCAAGTAGCTTCCCAGCGCGTCTCGACAATAGCGGCATGTTCAGTGACACGATTTTGAAGGTCGTGAAACATTGAGCTAATAAGGACGAAAGCGAGATAGAACAGGGCGGCAGCGTATGCGCGTGCGGCACTGTGTATGAAATCGTCGTAGCAACGTTGAGACTCGAAGATCGCGTGGTGGGACGCGACTCGACGCGTAGGTGCAGGGTCCACCCCCACACTATTCACCGAACAGTCACCGCACATCACGGAACGGTCGAACAAGGTTGGGACAGATTGTTACAGCATGAGCCTGAGCTTGCTTGCTACGATTCGCTGATAAGAGCTCCTGGATATAACCTCCACGAATTACCTCTTGTGTGATACAGTAATTGAAGCAATATACACTCTCGAGTCAATCTAGAACGCAGTCTCTGGTATACACCAGGCTGTGGTTTGAAAGATAATCGATAATAGGGACTGATAGATGGTGCCAATTAAAGACCTGATATACCATCCCCAACTTATGTAAGCCGCAGGGATCTGTGGTGAACACCCTTATCGATAAGAAAAGTTCGCGACCAAAAGTTCACCATCTTCAACCCCATCGCAGATCACATCGCGCAATTCGTACCTCACCCCAAAAGACCTCAACATGGCGACCGACGAATCCCCCCAAGCTCTCGTCCAATTCACTGGCCACCGCCACCTCACCACGCGCCTCCTCCTCGCGACCCTCACCGGCCGCCCCGTACGCATCTCCCAAATCCGCTCCACATCGACCAACCCAGGTCTCACACGGCACGAAACAAACTTCATCCGGCTCCTCGACGCCGTCACAAATGGCTCGCAGATTCAATTCAGCATGACGGGCACCACGCTCGTCTTCCGCCCCGGCCTCATCACCGGCTCTGCAGAAGGCCTCGGCGCATCCGGCGGCGTCATCCGCCACGAAATCCCACGAGAATGCGCGCGCAGAGGAGTCAGCTGGTGGTTGATTCCGCTGTGCATCCTCGCGCCGTTTAGCAAGGGGAATGTAAACGTCACCTTCCACGGCGAAGGCTGCGTCACATCTTCAACTACCTCCGGCGATCCCAGCGCCGACACAGTGCGCACCGCCATCCTGCCTCTATACAAATCCTTCGGCATCGAGCGCAACATCGAACTCCGCATTCTCAAGCGCTCGTGCGCGCCGCAGACGGGGAAAAGCGCGGGCGGCGAGGTGCAGTTGGTCTTCAACCACCAAGTCCGTCTGCCCAAGACGCTGCATCTGCTGAACCCCGGCAGAGTCAAGAAAATCAGAGGCGTCGCGTACTGCGTCGAAGTCCCCAAGACCAACAACGAGCGCATGATCCACGAGGCAAGAGGCATACTCAACAAATTCGTCCCTGATACATACATCTTTAGCGACGCGAGTCCCGCGCCGCTCGTGCCGACGACAAACAACAGAGGCCAAGTGGGCTCAAAGGTCAAAGGCGCAGTGGGATTCGGCCTGTCACTCGTTGCCGAGTCCTCCACAGGCTGCATATACTCTGCAGACGTGTGTTCGCCGCCCGAAGGCGGCGTGCCCGCGGATGAAATCGGGAAGCAGTGCGCGTACCAGCTGCTGGAGAAAATTAGCCAGGCCGGGTGTGTGGAGAGTGTGGCGGCGCCCACGATGCTGATGCTCATGGCCATGGGGTCGGAAGACGTCGGGCGCGTTGCGCTGGGGCGAGACGTACTCGCGAGCGAAGAGGTGATCCAGCTAGCGAGAGATTCGCAGGCATTTGGCGGAAGCGCATGGGGCTTCCGCGAGCAAAGCGGGGAGAATGAGAGGGGCGAGGTCGTTGTCAGTGTTGTAGGAAGGGGCGTGGGAAATGTGGGACGAAAGGTTGCGTAGTCACTTGATTCTGCTGCATCAGAACGGCGTTTAGGATAGGAAAAAGCATAGCATGTAGAGTAGACGATATGATACCCATTTCATTTCCCTGCGCCTATGTATCTACCATCTGGGGGCCATGTATCTACCGATATGTTGGTCTGTACTTGGAAAACGCCACCCAATGACCGCTCATTTGAGCGAAGACATGAAATTGAACAAAAAAAACGATATACCAGTCCCGCAACCACCGTTTTTTTACTGCCGCTTGCCTGCCGAGCTACTGCTACTACCAGTGCCCTCGTCACTTTCATCCGCTGCCTCGAACTTCTCGTTGAACCTGTCTCCATCGCGATCCCTGTACGGGCCTTCATCGCCATCCTCATCGCTCAGCAAGTCCTCGTCCGATTCGCCAGCAAACGCATCATAAAGCTCTCCGCCCCTCCTCGCATGCTTCTTGCGACCCGCAGCGGCGCCCAGCATACCAGTATCTTCCCTGTCCTCGATATCATCCAGAACCTCGAACTCGTACGAATCTCTGCTATCCCTGAGTCGCTTCCGGCGGGCGATGAAGAGATATGCGCCGAGACCAATAACGAAAACGATAATAAGAGCAAGCGAGCCGTAGATCCAGATCTGCGTCCGTTTCGAGACACCGAACGTGGGGAAGATGCTTGGTAGGAGGTTCTCAGCGGGAGTGGAAGATGCCGTGGGTGCCGTGGGTGAAGAGGTAGCCGTTACTGTCTGTTGCACATCAGCCAAAGTCTGAGATGGCTTCTGGTTCACTGGACGATCAGGGTGATCAGAGGGGTTGCCAGTCATGGTTGGCTTAGTACCCGCAGGAACAGACACTGAAGTAGTGTGCGCGGGATGATCTTCGATCTTGTCGTGGTCGTCATCGTCGTGCTCGGTGGGGATAGGCAGAAGCTTGGCTTTCGCGGCATCAATAGACTCGCCCCAGAGACGCAGCTTCCAATCGACGAATGTGCCCTTCTTGTTGTTTCCGGAGATGACGTCCTTGATGATCACGGTCCAGTTGCCCACGCCAGATTCGCCCCAGTGAGCAACAGACATAAAGGTCCAGTCCTGGTAGCCGCGGATGTCTTCGTCGTCTCGTCGAGCTGTAGACAAATGACTGATCATTCCAGTAGGTGAGTGAAGTTGGACAAGCAGATCGCCACGGCGCTGATGCTTGACGTTCATTGTGAGTGTAATGTGCTCGACGCGCTCGAGGTTGGCTTCCTTGAGCATATCGGCTGTGACTTCAAACACGCTGGCGAGACCGTGATCGCCTTCAGGAATGGCCTTCTTGACGTGCATCCAGGGTGACCAGAACCATGCTTGTGGCTTGACGAGCTTCCAGTCTTTTGACTTTTCGACAATGGCCCATGCATCGAGCTTTCCGTATCCAAACTGATGGCTGTACATGCGATCGAGGGCGGTCTTTGTCCAGTCGCTCGGGGTATCGAATGGAACGGCAGTCATGACTGTGAGCCATTGAACGTCGCGCCATGTGAGATCGGGACGCGCCTCAAGCAAGAGCGCATACACTCCAACACCAATGGGTCCAGCCGCAGACGTGCCTCCGTGCTGGCTTGTGCACTTGTTTGCACCGACGTCCGTGGTGTGGATAGAGTCACCGCCGCCACTGCTGTAAGTGACAACCAACTGGGCGGAACAAGCTTCAGAGTAATACGGATGCTGGTTGTTCTTATCGATTGCGCCGACCGTGATGCTGTAGATGCTGTTGGTGTAGCCGTCAAAGTTGCAGTTGTCGTCGCTAGCAGCACCGTTGCCGGCAGCGAACACGTAGATGGAGCCCTTGCCCCCGCGTCCTTGTTGTACGGCAGTGACCATGGCCTTCTCAATAAGAATACCTGGCGCCTGCATAGTCTTGCCATCGTCTGGAGGACCCCATGAGCACGAGTAGATGAAGTTCTTCTGCATCTCGTAGTTGATGGCCAGGGCTTCGTCCATGTCCGTAATGTCGCCTGACAGGATGCGCACACCCGAAATCTTCGCGTCGTATGCCAGTCCGACACCACAGGCGTCGTTTCTTCCAGCAGCGATCTCTCCAGCGCATCTGGTACCGTGTCTGTCGTCGGACAGTTTCGGGGTGGGCAGGTCTTCGTGGTCGTTGTAGTCGTGGGAGCCTTCGGCAAAGAAATTGTCCTTGAGATCGTTGCTGTCGTAGTCCAGACCATCGTCAACCACACAAGCCGTCACACCCTTGCCGGTTATGCCTTGCATCCATACATCTGTTACGTTGATGTCGTTGCCTGGTGTCCTTCACGTTGAAGATGTGCCACTGTTCCTCGAAGATGGGGTCGTGAATCTCGAGCTTGCCTGCGATCTCGCGTTGCGTCCTGATGGCATCCGTTATTTGGATGCCAGCTCGGTCCTGTCGCTCAGGAATCACACTGCGCTTCCAGTGGCGAGGCTTGATCTTCTGCTTTTGTGTGAAGCGCACGCTGTCGAGCGGGTGGCTCTCGTATCCAATCTCGCGCTTCCGTCTTCTCCGCTTCAGATCCTGTCTGGCCTCATCTATGATATCGTTGTCGTGCTTGGGCGCTTTGAAGACATGGTGCTCAGCGAGCGAACTGAGGGGGCCTTCGTACGTCAACCCCAGATGCGCGGCAACGTCTAGCGGCGACGAGGTAGGGTCGATGTGGACGGCATAGTAGTCGTGGCTCGAGTAGTTTCGGGGCGGGAGGTGCTGGGCTGCTGTTGCCAGACTCGCAGCCGACAGCAGGTTCCAGAGGTTGAGGATGCGCATGGCGACGGCGCCGGAAGGGAACTATGAGCAGGCGGCAAGCATGTGATGTGGTGGATCACGGCGCGCGGAAGCGAGAGGGTGGTATTGAATCGTGCAGTAGGTGAGGTTCGCCGGTGAATGGTGGGGTGAGGAGATCTGGCGGGTGAAAGCGTATTGTAGGCTTATTGAGGCAGGAGAAGGGTCCGACAAGGATGGGACAAGTGTGTCCAGAACGGATGTAATCGGCCCAATAAGTGCGCTCACAAGGCAGACGGTAGCAATGAACACGTCGTTGTTTTGAGGATGCTGTGGGTGAGAGAAGAAGAGAGAATAGCAGCAGCAGGTCTGTCTTCGGCGACGATGTAGTGAATATCTCGGGGATCGAGTGTCACAGGTGTCCACACTGCATCGCCGCACCTGCAGCGTCGGGAGTGCCAGAGATGCCGCTTCAGCCACGCACTAGCCACACGGGGCTCAAAGGGAAGGAACGGCCCATGGTGGCAGAACGGGAAGGCGGTGTGGAGCTATTTCGTGCTAGCTGGGCCTTCCCAACCACCAACTTTCCCAGGTTCCCAGCCCCACGCGCGGCGCTGCTCATGAGCTGACCGTCATGCATATCATCGAGTCTTCCCTGTATATCGCACCTCCATTCCTTGTACTATCCTGCCCTTGATTTCTTGCAGCGCACTTCCGTCTCTCGCCCTTTTCGCGCCGCGCATTGCATCTACAGTTCTCTTCCAGTCGCACATCCCCACGCTGGCATCGAACTCCGCAGCATCTCCGCATCATCCACTATTCTTAGGTAGATTCCACGAATCCAGCCCGTTCAAGATCTAGCCTGAGCAGCCAATGTGACAGTACCACTTCGCATTTTTCCGGCCATTGCGATTGCATCAAATTGATAGGTGTCGCCTAACATTAGGTCACCACAACTGGACACTGCACATGTTCTCGTCGCAAGATGGAGAATAGTAGTGCCACCCACTCCTCGAGAGTGCCCAATTCCTCCCTCCTGAAAGCCCCCGACAATTTTCCACAAAAGCGCGCCTCATCCTACCGTCGCCCGGTAGACGCGCAACCAACATTCGTGCCAGTCGAACCACCTGCCACCGCGAACGCCATGCCCAGCAATACCGCCCGGCCAGTCGCCACAGCCTCCAATGCCAATGGCGTCTCCAGAGGCTCTTCGCACCGGCGGCGACAGAGTCAGCACATCCCTCCTCCCACGACGGGCGCTATGAACGAATCGGTCCCGGCTGCGCCCGACGTCCCACGAGCACCGCCCATGTCATACAAGGACCCCTACGGATCCAAGGCAAGCGCCAGAGGGCCTCCCCGGCAACAGTCTACCCGAGCAGGAGATCCAGCAATCCAGCTGAATCCCAGCAGACAGCAGCCAATTATTCAGTCCGCCGCCGACAGACTCATCAGTTTGCGATCGCCACCGTATGCGCCAGTCGAGCCATTGTCTGGAGCAGTGGAGCGACGAGGGTCCCAGCGCAAGCCGTCAGTGCCTGATCGTTCGCCTTTGCAGAAATTGGAGGGCAAACTAGACGACATCAGCAAGGAAGAGAGGAGAGCGCGCATACTGGAGGCAGAGCTGATAGCACAAGAGAAGGCCGAAGCCGAAAGGAGGGAACGTCGTGCGCGAGAAGCTGCTGAAAAACAGCAGCGTGTGGTTGAGTTCCATGGACCGTCGGAACCAGAAGCGCCTAGCAATGCTGCTCCTCCTGTCCGAAAGGCAAGCACGAGGCGTAACGTCTCGATGCCTGTACAGAACAGGACAATGTCCCCCGCCATCAGCGACATGGAATCTGAGATCGGTTACGACGTGAGCGAGCCATGGGATCCATCCGCCGGTCAAACCGCCACCGCCTCCGCTCGTCAGCAATTACCATCGCAAAAGCAACGCGCATCGTCTGGCTCGTACACATCACCGCATACAAACACCAACATTGCGCGAAATCATAGCGTCAAAGGAAAAGAGCCAATTGGCGTTGCAAGGGGCAGTGGCAGCTTCCGCGATCGAAGTGCAGGCTCTGCGCAAAACATTAGTAGGAAGCCAATCGCAAACGCCGCTGGACTTGGCTTGGAGGGCGTCGGCGACACTTCAGGAGGTGCTGAAGTCTCACGCGCGAATAGCAAAAGAGTCTCGTCGGCACCTGTTCCAGCTGGAAGGCCCGTGAGCAACGACAGGAGAAGAGACAGCAGGGGTATCATGGCTGCACAAATGGAGATGCAGCAACAGCAGATCGACCATAAAAACACTGAGCGAGGCCTGAACCAGCACCCGGTCCACCCAGTACAGCCACTGCAACCAGTACAGCCATACAAATCGCCCGTCGTTCCGACAGTTCCAATAACACGCAAGAGTGTTAGCTTCTCCGGGCCCGAATCTGATCTGCAACAGCAGCCCTCTCACGAATCTCACCATCACCATCATCATTTCAGACACGACACTAGCGACGATGGCTCAGAGAGGAGATATGTTGCACCTCCCATGTTGGAAGAATGGAGGAAAGCTCCAATAGGCGCCCTGGTCGCGGAAGATCTAGACCTGGATGCACCAGCCAGGGCCAACAACACGAACAAAGCGTGGTGGGAGGAGAGCCAAGCTGCTCGACGACGGCGTTCTAGCAGCGGCTACGCAGAACCTACGTACGATGGCTATGCGGACCAGCCCGCGGCGCAGACATCTTTCAGCCCCGCTTTGTACCTCAAGTGCGGGCCACTATTGCGCTACACTGGACTTCGCAGAGACAAGAGTCGCCCAGGAAAAGAGAAGGAAATATGGCGGGGCAGTGTCATGATTGTGACTGTCGATGCGGAATCCTCGTACACGAAGCCACCCACCCTGCGGTTGTTCAAGCAGCCTATGGACATTCTCCCACCGCCGCCCCGAGAGGTCGATGACCATGATCTAGATCCCGCTTATGTTGACCCCATCGAGGGACAATACAAGGTTTCGCGCACTGGCAAAACTCTTTACGTGAAGCCAGTCGATGAGATTGCTGAAGACGAGGATTTGTCGCGCATCGAGGACGACACCGGCATCTTCTGCCAGACCCGAAGCGCTTATGGTCCTAACGGGTCAGGCGCTAGGTCCTCTCGCATCCACAAGAAGGACGGCGAAAAACTAGGCAAGTTCCGTGAAGTACCTGGCGTACGTCTCCACGCTGAGCGCGGAGTCACATTCTGGCGCTTCAACCTTGAGATCGAGCTCGGTACCAGCCAGGCTCGCGTCGCATACAGGATCAACCATGGTCCTGCTGTTGGCTTCTGGGTGCCTGCCAAGGGCGAGTCGATGAACATTATGTTCCACAGCTGTAACGGGTTTTCCTTCAGCGTTGACTCGAATCAGTTTTGTGGGCCTGACCCTCTGTGGCGCGATGTCCTCAACACCCATCAGAACACACCGTTTCATGTCATGATTGGTGGAGGCGATCAAATCTACAACGACGCTGCGATGAGACAGACAACATTGTTCAAACAGTGGACAGAGAACAAGAATCCACTACAAAAGCACAATGCGCCCTTTACCGAGGAGATGCAGAATGAGCTTGAGCAGTTTTACCTGGACCGTTATTCCATGTGGTTCTCACAAGGCTTGTTTGGAATGGCCAACTCCCAGATCCCGATGGTCAACATCTGGGACGACCACGACATCATTGACGTAAGTCCCACTTCATGCCCCTAGAATATCTCAGCTAATCAAACTAGGGCTTCGGATCATATCCTCATCATTTCATGCAGACACCCGTCTTCACTGGCATTGGCGCTGTTGCCTTCAAGTACTACATGCTCTTTCAACATCAATCAGTATCAGCCGAAACCGAGGCAACGGAACCGTCTTGGGTGCTTGGTAAAAGCTCAGGTCCATACATCAAGGAGCGGTCTCGCAGTGTCTTCATGCAGCTAGGCCGCGAGGTGGCCTTCCTCGGTCTCGATTGCCGCACTGAACGGCAACGTGACGAGATCCTCACAGAGGACTCTTATGATGTTATCTTTGATCGCGTGGAAGCAGAGGTGATCAAGGGCGAAACCAAGCACCTCATTGTCCTTCTAGGCGTACCGATCGCGTACCCACGATTAAACTTCCTAGAGAACATCTTGACCAGTAGGTTGATGGATCCGATCAAGGCCATGGGCCGTGCTGGTATGCTAGGCAACTTTGTCAACAAGTTCGATGGAGGCGTAGAAATCCTTGATGACCTGGACGATCACTGGACAGCCAAGCACCACAAGGAGGAACGCAACTGGCTGATTCGCGAGCTGCAGCATATTGCATCGACCAAGTCCGTTCGTGTCACTATTCTTGGAGGCGACGTCCACCTAGCAGCTGTAGGCCAGTTTTTCACCAACAAGAAGCTGAACGTCCCCAAGGATAAGGATCATCGTTACATGATGAACGTCATCTCTTCCGCTATCGTCAACACTCCGCCTCCTGATATGATGGCCGACATCATCAACAAGCGCAACAAGATTCACCATATGGATCATGAAACAGACGAGAACATGATACCAATCTTCACCCATGGCGTCGATGGCAAGAAGAGGAACAACAATCACCTCTTACCTCACCGCAATTGGTGCAGCATCCGAGAGTTCAAGCCAGGGTCCACACCTCCTGGCACGCCTTCGCCACCCCCCACACCACAAGACGCACGACGACCTTCTCTGGGACAGATGGTGAGGCGATTCAGTAGTGATCAAGGTGGTCGGCCTGGTCGATCCCGTGGGCCTCCCGTGTCGTACTACAACAACCCATCGAATGCAGCCGCCGACGAACTGCAGACAGGTGCACACCATCAGCCACAATCATCATTTTCGCCAGATCGATCAGAGTCCGAGAGGCCTCGTTCCCGTCGTAACTCGTTGACTTCTCTGTTCAAGCGCCGCGCATCTGTCGACAATGTTCCTCGTCCGACTTCTGCAAAGAGCGTACCAGGCGTTGGCAATCGCGGTAGCGCAGATTACGGACCGTCAACCTTCCATCGTCGCCCAAGTGTGCTGGGCAAGTCAGGCTTGAAGCAGCAAGGCGAAGGCGATTTTGTTAACCTGCAGGGTGGGCTTGAGATTTGCCTGAACATGGAGGTTTCGCAGCACGATCCTGCGGGTATCACTGCTCCGTACCGCCTGATCGTCCCAGCCCTCAACTACACTGCTCCTGTAGACGGTGTGGTGGAGAAACAACCTCGCAAGTCAGGCATGTTCGGTGGCATGTTTGGTGGTGCCAAGCAACGAAAGAGAGCGAAGATTGGCGACGACGGCTACTCCATGTCAGGTAGTGAAAGTGGTAGCGAACTGGGAGAGGTCTCCTCGGAGGATGAAGAGGAGCGTGCGCGTGAGAAGCACAAAGTCGGTCCCAGGATCGTCATTCCAGGGTTCGGGTCAAAGAACAAGCGCAACTCGTTGACATCTGCAAAAGCCGCCCCTGCTGAGAATCGCTTGAGCTCAGGCTATTACACCAATAGCACTCAAGACGTAGTTCCTCAAAATGTCGACATGTCGCGCAACCTTGCGCCACCGCCACCCCAAGATCGACGGCAAAGCATGGACGTCGCTGGTGCTGCCGCGAGATCCCCGGTTTGGAACTCTGTTGCGGCCAAACGGCACGTGAGCGCTCCTCACCCAAGCCAGACATCAACTCATACAACCGCCGACACGTCAGGGTTGCCGTTCCGATCCAACACAGTGTCCCGCAAACAGCCGACGCACAATTCCTCACATAAATCGCAGCTACCAGCACTCGTCCCGGATCCTGATCCAAAGGTGCACAGGAAGTCCATGGGCGGTATTCTCAATCAACATGGAGGCGAACAGTTTGAACAGGAGGCTCATGTACTCAGCCATACACCCTCGCGCAACAAGCGCGACTCGTACCCTCCTCATCCCGCGATCGTAGGAGGTGGACCCGGCTCGCCCTATTCCCGCAACGGAATGGGTATGCAAGCCAGGCAGGACACTGGTCCCGGTGATTACTTTTCGTCGGGAGGCCGTGAGGGCCAGCCTGCGTATCCTGTACATCCTGTACATCCTGCGCATGGCAGTCGAGGAGGCCACGCAACGCCTGGCGCCGAGCAACGCAAGCCTAGGCCCATCACAGCGGAGTATGCGCAGATGCCCAGAGCCGGCTATGACCGCACGGCTGCTTACCCTAGCTACCCCAGCAGCAGGAACGGCAGCGCCGGCGTCGGGGCCAGATACCTTGGTGGAGGTCGATATGAAGACGACGACTACGACAGCCTGGATGACGACGAGGACGATGGAAGCCATAGTGGAAGAGGAGAGGAGATGAGTCAGGAGAGTTTTGTTCCGCCCAAGAAGAAGAAGTGGCAGATTTGGAAGTAAATAATGGGCAGTAGTGGCAAGGCGTTTTGGGAAGGGTAGAATCTCGAGCCAGGCTAGGCTTGGAATTTCACGATTTATGATTGGAAAGTTGTCCTGGGAGAGGACATGTACACAATGATGGCGCGGCGCTCAGGAAGCAGCGGTGGTGTTTCTTTAGTTGTTCAGCATAGCGTATATTCCCCCTCTTGTTAATCGCATATTTGGTATTCGCACTATCATCGTTCTTTCGAATGACCCGTCTTGTTCTCAGCTCCCGTCCTCCGTATTGCCGTTGGTTGATCCAACACTCACAATAGAGACTCGCTAGGCAAATAGCATCTAGACGCCGCATATTCACAATGCTGTTTGCCTAGTGAGTCTCTATCTCTAGTCTTCCAGGTGAAGGAGCTTGTGTGTTTGACATTGTTAGGAACAATCACCTCTCCTGGCGCTCACCATCACTTCCCTCACTATATGACACCTCCTTATCGCGTTCCTTAACCCACTCAACACCCTTCCACGACTCTCGACACAAACAACATGGCCCAACCAACAACGTCGTCAGACCAAGTCTCCACCACAAACCATCCGCAAGACAACTCCAACGAGCAACAAGCGCCCGCCATGAAACCTCAATTCAAGCTCAAACAACCCTGGGAAGCACCCATCTTCCACCAAGCCTTCAAAACCAAAGCAGGCGAAGACCCACCCCCAGACCCAACCCCCCTCCTCACACCCGCACCATCCATCGTCTTCGTCCCTGCCGCCAACACCCCCTTCTCCACCGCCATCCTCGCCCTCCCCGCCTTCCCTCCATCCTCCATCATCGAATTCCGACACCTCCCCCCAAAAAACATCCCGATACCAACCACCCCGAATATCCTCCCCACCACACCGCAAGTCTACGCCATATCGCCTTCCCACACCCTACCCCCAGGCTCCACATACCACTGCAGCACGCTCTTCGACCTGCGCCTCATCCTGCCGCACCTCACGCCCACGCAGCGCCGCGCGATTCAAACGCTTAAGATCCCGGTGGGCGACGGCGGAGTGCGCGCTGTGGGGAGTGCTATCACCCCGAGCACGTGAGTAAGACGTGTGTCAACGTGTTTGCGCTGCTAAAGGAGTTGAAGGCGATTGTGGTGGATTGCGAGGGCAGGGGGGAGGAGGAGGTACGGGGCGTTAAAGAGGATTTGGAGGGGTGGGTTGAGGGGTTGGGGGTGCGGGTGGAGATGGTGGGTGAGAAGGTGGAGGAGAATGGGGGGAAGTGGTGGGAGGGTAGTGTTGGGTGGATGTTCTGAGGTGACGGGGGGGAGAGTAGGGGTGTGTATGGAACTGGTAGAGAGTATATTGGGGGAGATGTATACGGCAGGAGTACATCAAGGGGTGGAGGGAGTGTTGGCCAAGGAAGGTTGAAGATGCCTACCGAGGTTGATAGTGGGGATGAGAGAAAGCGATTTGTCGGAGCCATTTCCAATTTTGCTCGTGAGGAGCGTGAGCGCATCATATTTTCCAAGCTGGTAGGCGAGGTTGACAGCGAGAATAGTGGAAAGTCGTTGGCTAAAGCCATGTCTATTTCCTAATGAAGTGTTTTCTCTTGCTTGGCAACGAACGCTTCAAACGCTTCCGCTATCTGACCTGCTGATTTCCGATCTTCCTGCTGCACTACGAGCATGTACTGCATGACGAGATTCAATGTGTCCTTAAGGACTTGGCAACATCTCTTGTCGCTTCGTAGAGAATGTGCGTAGTCTTTCACAGTTGCTCGTACTTTTGCACTTGTAACCTCGCTCTCTGAATAGTCCTGCATAAAGAACTGATCATCCTTGAAAGGCAATGTCGACCCCGGCGTGGCCATGATCCTCTCCTGCGCAAACTTCTCCAAGCCTTCAGAGCCACGTAGGAGCCACAGCACAAATTCCAGTATGACGCATCCAAAAGACCATATATCGCTAGCTTGAGTCACTTCTTCCCAGAGCTGTGTTTCTGGTGCCGAATATGTGCGAGTCGTTATTCTGGGTGGGGATCCGCCACTCCAAGCACTGAGCTCGAAGTCGTTCCATACCAGCGTCTTGTCTTGCGTGACTAGGATGTTCGAGGGCTTGATGTCGCCGTGGAGGAATCCCGTTATGGGGTGAGCCGACTTAGATATTATCAAGTCATGCATGTCGGACAGGGCGCTGGCAAGACCTTTCGTCTCACGTAGGAACCAACGGATATCGGCTTTGAGCTCTTGGCATGAGTCGGTTCGCAGCCATAGTCCGTCGAGGTCGGTCTCTGCGATCTGAAAGACCATGAAGTGCTCTTTGCCGTGTGTGTACGTAGCAAGAAGCTTGTTGATGTGTTTGTTGTGTAATTCGTTGAGGTAGCAGAATGCTTGACGCTCGTGTAAGAAATCGTACAGTACTGGCGCAGCATATCTCTTCACTGCCACCACTGTAGCAGTCTTTGGTCGCGCAAGACAGAACTGTCGAATGTATTTACATGACAGACTGCCGCCTAGGATTGATTTATCGCCAAGGTGCTTCACAGTATAGTACTCCGTCAGTGGAGCGTCTTCGTCACATATATGAACATGCTTCACCCTGTCATCTAGGTGTTCTATCGTTGTTTTCATCATATTTGTCACCCTACAGCTCTCCTCAACCGTCATATTTATATTTGAGGCGGCTAATCTCTTGCTTGACTGTTTTAGGCACCTAACTTTATGTTATGGATGGATCACACCTACCTCAGTGAGTTTTCTGGGAACGTCCAGTATCCATGTATCCCTAGAGAGCTGCAGTATGGTTGTCAACAGTCGTACCGCAGATGTGGCAAAGGCTCTTACTGTGGCGCCCCAGTCAGTCCCAAAGAGCTCTCTGAGAAGCTCTACGAGGGCCTTCTTGCTGATGTAGCCCGAAGATATCGCTTGCTCGGGCATGTTTTGGAAGAGATCCCCGGTTTCCAAGAGTTACAGTCTGGGCTCAGTGAGTCGTCACGCTAGATGCTTTTTGTGTTCTTGAAGATGGTCAGAAATGGTGCGGGGTAAAAATCATGTTGTTGGGCACATGCATGGCCGCCTGACTGAGATTGATGGTCAGAACAGGCTAGGCCAAAATACAAATGGGGACAGGCTTACCATTCTCTTGTACACAGATATCGTCATCTGCGGCGCTCTCGCGTATCCGCAGTCTATTTATCCGGTCTGTTTCACCACGCTTGCTATCTTTAGCTTACGAGAATGTGACCCCAGGACATCAGCAATAGAGCGCACATAGTTTATGATATCTATCCTCGTCCTGGAAGACAGGTAGCTTCAGTCGGTATGCCGTCTCAATCTCTGGTGTGGTGAGAATAATGTACGGTGTCCGATATGCTGCAAGAAGCAAAAACTCAGGTAACCGGTCAAGCGAGTTTTGCTCAGCCTAGGTGACAGTAACCGTAGATCTGTAACCAGGCTTTCTTACATGCGTGACTGCAACGTCGATAGGCTGTACAAGCTGCGCAGCTGCGGGGTTTATCTTACCCAATTCCCAAGCACTCGTCTGCTTCTTTGCCCACGAAATGTGAAGCCTACCATACCTAGTCTACCTAGGTGTGTAGTGTATAGCAAAATATGGACATTGAGCAGAGGAACCGAGACCAATACACTAAAGATTTATCCATACTATCTGCAAATTTTTCCTCCTCTCAAACGACATGTACCGTATTTGACGTCAATGTCTATAAGGTGTGAAGGCTTCATTAGATAATTTGGCTTTTGCTGATTTCCGACAGAATAATGCCGAAACCCCACTGATAAAGTGCACCGAGTTCAAACATCCCACAGACCTAGAGGATTGGATTTCGACAGTCGGGAATCCCAAGTGATTGTTTTCAGAGGCGAACTTATTAACCCTAGATCTAGGACCCTCATAAGGCAGCCAGCGATATTTTCGATTCAAGGCTTCGCATAATGTGAGTCCACAACAAGCAAAATATATATTTTTAGATGCGGACTGACCTACGAACAGCGTAGGCGCAAGAGCCAACGACGATCCATCTACAGGCTTGTTCACGATCCCATTCTTGCGACCAACATTTGAGTTGATCATGGAAGGATTTCGTTTTCCGAAAACAATACTGCGGGCCATCTACAAAGGCGAGGCTATGTTCAGTGGAATATTGGAGAACAGAGAGGAGAATAATGCTGGATGGAATGGTATTGTAGCGCTGTTGGCTATTTTTCTGCCCTAACATCTGGAGCAGGATCAGTAATGCGCATGGTTTTTGACATCCATGGGAACGAAGGTCTTGCCATTGCGACTTCCTGGAACCTCAAGGCCGGAATAACCTATGCTTTAATCTTAGGATGCAACGACAAGGATCTCAATTCGATAGTCAACTTCATAACGTACTCTACTCGCTCGGTTAGCAACCCACTCCTCCTACTTACGATGTTTGCTGGACTTCAATTGAAACGCTTCAAAGATTTGCATCGCACAGCTTACGGAAAAGTTCAACTAGACATATATCGAGCGCAGTTGGACCGTCAAGATGGACCTGAGGTCATCGCCGTGCGGCGGACGGCCAGAACAAGACCTACAGATTATGACGATGCGACTCGTGAAGTTTTACGGCACTTCCAAGACACTGGAACTCTCGGGCAAGCAATGCTACAGTTCCGTGCTGAAGTGGTCAAAGTCGGTCAAGCCGTCAAATCAATAACCAAAACGCAACGGCCCGCACCTCACAGTACGCATCTCAAGTCGAGCGGCAAGCAAATAACTGGCCAATTGGTTCATATTCTTGGACGACTTGACATCTACATCGAAAGAAACCGTTTAACGATCAACGAAGCCTCACTAGTGATGTCTGCTTTCTGGAATCTCATCGCACAGAGAGATAATAAAACAAACCAGAAGATAGCGATGCAATCGAAGAATATAGCGGAACAATCTAGGAACGTCACTGATGAGTCTAAGCAGATAGCTCAGCAGTCTTTGAAGATTGCCAACCAGACACAGAACTTGGCCAAAACCTCGATACTCATCGCGAAACAGACAAAACGCGACAGCTCAGCTGTTAAAGCAATATCGCTACTTACCATGGTTTTCTTGCCTGCAACCTACTCTGCAGTAAGTGCACATTCTGCTCTTCATGCGATAATCAGACAGTAACCGCCAGCCAGACTGTCCTCGCTCTGCCGATGTTCAATTGGCATCCAGAGACCCAGAACAACGTTGTCAATTTCCATTACTTTCGGATATATCTAGCGTTGGCTATACCACTCACTGTCATAGTTCTATTGGTATGGTCCGTCTGGATTTGGTGGTCAGATCATCGGTTGAATGAGGACAGCACAAAGAAGTCTTTCTGGAGGAAAAGAACAAGCCGCGCGTAGCTTTGTACATCAATAAGCGTGCGACTCAGTACAAACACTGAACAATTACTATTTCTTACTTTAGGTGTGCAGATGTAACAACCGAGCAGTTCGTCCGTAGAAATATAAAATCTCTTGTACAAGATGAGGAGGAACGAATTTGCAAGAGAGGTTACAGCAAAAGCAACACCAGCAAGAGCTCAGAGGAAAAAAACAAGTCAATATACGAGAAAACACATGCACGGAAATCTGATCTTAGTGACTGTTGCAACGTTTCGTGCGCGCTATGTCGCATTTCGAAGTGCTGCCAGACGCTAATTGGTATGTTCAATAGAAGCCTAAATGAATTCAAAAGCTAAAAGACACATACTAATATGTTGATAAGGCATTGAAGGTACACAGTCTTATCTATTTTCGTAGTTTCACTGCCTAGATAGGTAGCTAGATGGCCGCCTTATCTTTCACTTTCCTCTTGCACTAGCACATGAGCCAGCGGCTGCCTTGCCATTGTTAGTCGAAACACGCCGCCACTCGGCTATAAAATCAGTACCTACCTGCCTCTCTCATACTTCTTTACTTTCAACGCAACTCTACCTTTGAGCACAACTGCCTCTGCGCATGTTTGGCATGCAACGGCGATTTTCTGATTTCTTTATGAGTAGCAAATACTGTTTGGATTACGACGCTACATAAGCTGTGAAGCAAGTGAATTAAGAATGCTACACGAAAGTATGCCGGGAAGGGTCGACGGAGAGGCAGGTAAGCAGTGAGTTTGAAAAGTTGCTGTTGGCGGCTAGGACAAAGCGGACGTGTTCAGAATTGCTGTCCGAACTTAGGAAGTGAGGGTAAAGACGGCAGGTCGATTTTAAATGCTGTCCGAGGACAAAGGCGGGCAGGTTTACAAATGCTGTCCGAGTTTGAAATGCTACCCGAGTTTAAGCTATAGAAGGCGGGTAGGGTTGAAATGCTACCCGAGGATAAAGGCGGGCAGGTTTACAAATGCTGCCCGAGTTTGAAATGCTATCCGAGTTTAAGCTACCCCCGAAAAACAAGCCTAACCTCCACACTCCACTACTCCACGACGATAAGGTAATAAATCCTGCGATGAGGAGTAGTCTTAAGGGATAGTATAAAGAATACCATCATAAATTTTAAGAATAATTACCTTAAAGGTTGTTGCATTGTTGCTGTGCGCGCACTGGGTCTTGGTGGTGGCTGCAACTCAGAAAATACGAGCTCCTTCGTATAGAAGGCGAGTGGGATTAGAATGCTACCCGAGGACAAAGGCGCGCAGGTTTACAAACACTGCTCGACTTTGATGAGCGGTTTGTGGAATTGAAATACAACTCGAGTTTGGAAAGTCGGTCTAGCAGAGTGGGTGACGGCCAACACTAAAGGCAGACAGGTTCAGAAATACTACTCGAGTCTGAGAAGCGGGTGGCATAATACGGCGTAACCTTCAAATGTACACGAAGCACCCGGATTGGAGTGCATGGGAAATCGGTGCTCTTCAAGCTTACGCACAACATGCGGGTGGGTTTGGAATACCCAACGACTTTGAGATGCGCCTCGATCTTCAGAAGAGAGTAAATGTTGATGCTGTCCGGGTTTAGAATGTCTACCGACTTTTGGAAAGCGTGTCGCATTTCAGAGTCGTGTGGTATTTCAGGCCACTCGCATTCCCCTGCCGTCTCACAGCTGCGTCATGGACGTTGTCAAAACTCCGAGCCAGTCGTCAATGCCGCTCGCGCTATGAAAGCAGTCTGCGATTGAAATAGCGTTACGACAATTTTATAAGGTCGTGCTCTGGGAACCTTAATATACCGCCCGAGTTTCTAACGCTACACGAATTCAACATCGGATGGATATCCTTCAGAGCCATCCGAGTTCGGATATACCACCCGGGTTTAACCGCTCAGCCTTATTTCCGGGCGGTCTTAAGCCACCCGAGTTTCCAAACCCAAGCGACTTCCATCTCGGGTCATATACTTCAAAGCAGACCGGGTTCCGAAACCCAAACCGTGTAAAATGCGGGCGGGGATCCAAAGCCTTTCGACTTTTCCAACACCAACCGAAACACACAACACGCGCACGCAGCAAACAACTAGACCAACAGCCCTGTTGAAGAAGAGATTCCAACGATGACACTGAAATTGGAACGACGAGAGAATAAATCTCCGATGGCTTTGGGTTGGTGCATCGAGGGCGGGATGCACTGGTACGTCCACGACGTGCTGCCAAGCTCCCTGTTGGTCATGGCGTATGTTTTTTATCGACAAGAACGCATTGTAAGGGTAAAGGTACAATGGCTGACACACAGATTGAAGGGGCACTTGTAATAACCAGGTCCCAATGGGGTGGCGTGGTGGCAGGTTCGGACACCGTGATCATGGTAAGAGAGCGCGAAGCGGTCAGCTGTTCATCGGTGGATGATGTATAGCGAAAGATTGAGGAAAATCCAATGCAAAGGATTTTAGATTCTTGGTCCTTTCTGGCACATGGGCGCGAATATTCAAAACAACCTGACCATCTGCGCTGACCCTCCGAGCCTGGAGCAATGCACATATGACCAACCAACAACGAATGAATCCTCCGCAACTCTTTAATTTTACGTTCTGGGACGCCTCTCTCACACGACCATCATACTGTGCGTGGTTGATTCTGGGAAGAAGAGGATAACAAACATATGTTCACTGCTGGGAACTTCTTTCGACTCTACAGCCATCGACGTTGCCTTGGTAAACCTTTTTTTTGGAAAGAGAAAGAGAGCAACGTGATGTTAGAAAGAATGGAGAGCGTGGCACTGTGACGCGATTTATACGCGCGCAAGGCATGTAAAAATGAGATGGTCTTGTGACATGGAAAGAGGTCAAAAGACATACGCAATGTAGGAATATGTTTGTTCATAGGATATCACCCTCTTATCTACAACTCATCCTTCTTCCTCTCCCCACTTTCCCCTCCCACCGCCTGTTGCTCCTGCGCCTGCGCCGCCTCAAATTTCTCCCTCTCCTTATCCTCCTCCCACATCTTCTTCTTCGGATTCCGTGGCTTGTCGCTCTCCTTCAGAATCGTGCCATCACCCCTCCTAACCGGACCCTCTTCCTCTTCCTGCCTCTGCTCTCTGAATTGCGGGTGATCCGGCACCTCCTCTTGCTGCTGTTTTTTCTGCTCCGCCATTTTGCCGATTTGCTGTGAGTGTGAGCCTGGTGGACTGGGGTCGCCGCCGTGCATGTATCCGCGTCCTCCACCGCCGACGCGCACGTAGTGCTGTGGTTGGTTCTTGTGCCGCGGAGGGCCGCCTGTTGCGCTGGGCTTGACGATGAGGCTTGTAGAGGCCTGTGAGGAGGTTGCGACGCTGGTTGTGGCTGCCGAAGAGGCGGATGCGAGACCGAAAACACCGAAGACGATGCGGAAGACGAGTTTAAGCGGCCAAATGAGGAACCAGGTGAGTGGTCCGTAAAGCCAACGTCGGAATATGAGCCAGACCACGGTTGTGATGAGGATATAGAAGGTGGTCTCGAGGTACCACGTGTCGCTCTTTGTGCTCTTCAGTAAAGTTGAGAGCAGGTTCTTGCTGTTTGCGAGTAGCGTGTTGAGGTCCGAGTACTTCTCTCCAAGGTCTGCGAGCGCGGCTGTGGACTGTTCGAGTGTCTCTTGTGCGAATCTAGAGCGTGACAGCTCGCCTTGCATCAACTGGTGCGTCCGTCGCAGCGCAGAAGTGACGTCTGACGAGGCCTGGGCGACTACTTCGCCTTCTGAGAGACCTTGGGCCTGCTTTCTTTGACGGTATGTGGAGGAGGGTGTTGATGTGCCGGATTGGAGGTTCGAGAAGAGCAGCTCGCGTTCTTTCAGCTTCGCGCGGTCGGCGTTGTGTTTGGCAGTGAGTTGGGCTTTGCGGAACTGCGCCCGTGATCTGTGAGGTTGGAGAGATTAGTAAATCGTATGGAGAGTAGCCAATCCAGGATATGCTTACGACTTCAAATCCTCTGTCAATCTCGCAAGGAGCACAGCAAGTCTGCTCCGCTCGCTCTCGTTCTTGCTGTCTCTCCTCCGTATCGAGCTGTTCGCGCCGCCAACAACGTCTTCAACTTCCTGTCTCACAATTTCAAGATCCTCCTCTATCCCCTTCAAACTCTCATGTATCTCAGCACTTAGTTCCAGTCGAACGTCCCCCTCTTCCGCGCCCAGTGGTTGGGATCCAGGCTGGAAGTCGAGTTTCGCAAGTCGTTGTATGAGTTGTCCAAGACTCTTGTTAGATTCGGAGAGAGCAGTCAGACGGGTTATGAGTGTCTGCGTGGTGGCAGGAACAGGCGGCATGTCTATTCTGTACAGATTTCGGAAAGGTGGTCGAATGCGATGACATAGGTGCTCCAGTGGGGCTATTCCCTCTACGGCTGCGCTACAGATCGCCGGAGCACGGGCCCCCAGAAAGTACGAAGTATCGCGAACCACTGGTACGGCGACCAATTGCGACGACGACGTCAGCTTGTCGCTTTGTACCTATGTAAGTCTATGCACTACTGCTTTCGAACCTCTTACTGACTCTCGTCAGCGACATATCGACAATCCACCAATCGTCCGCCCATAGCCAACATGATCACCCGATTCCTCACCGACGTTCGCGTAACCTTCAACCCATTCTCCCTGCGCTCGAAGCCTGCTCGACTATTCCTGTCGCTTATACCACCGAATGCGCGCTCGGATGGCATGAAGATCGAGTCCAAGATGCTGCCGCGGACCAGCAAGGAGCCTGCGAGGCTGGCTGTAAAGTTCAGTACGTCAAACCCCACAATGCACTCGTCAGAGAAGATGGACGATTCTTCAGCTAGATCTTCGAAACCGGAGAGCCAAGTTCTCAGTAGTGTGGTTCTGGATTGCAGGCTAATAAATGAACGCAGAGGACGGCAAAGAAATGGATATGGACCTAGACAAGATGCGGATAACAGATGTCATGGAGGAGGTTGATCGACATTCACGACAATTGGCGCGAAAGGAGGAGCTCAATGGCAATTAAATGAAGCAACGAATCCCACAAGTGGGCAATGTACAAACATCATGGGAAGCATTATGTGGAGTCACGGTTTGCATTGGGCAATTGGTCGTGCTCAGGATCAGGCTATGCTTTTTGATGAGTCTATGTATACCATTCAGTCATATGCAATGTAGCATGGCATGTCCAATCCAGCTGCCTTCTAGCACAGTGGCCAGTCCGGATCACACGCTCACTCCAACTAGGAGGAAGGTGCACCAGAGATGTAGAACCACTTGTCGATGCTGGGGTCGATGGGGCCGGGTGCCTTGTTCTCGCCCTGGGGAATGTTGAGCGAGCTGGGGTCGGTGCGCTCGGGAGAGTGGGACACGGTGGTGTTGACAAGGCTGAGGTCCTCCTTGGGGGTCTTGCCAGTGGCAAGCTTCTCCCAGGCCTCGGCACACTCGCGGACAATGTCCATGGCGTACTTCTTGTTCTTGCACTCGCCGGAGAAGGCAAACTGGTTCTCGGGCTTGCCATCGGGGATCTTGTAGATGCGGAACCACTCGTTGGTGGCGCGGAGGAGGCCGGGCAGGTGGCGCTCAACGTCCTCGACGTCATTCAGCTTGGGGGCCAGCGGGTCGTTCACGTTGATAACCATGATCTTCCAGTCGGTCTCACCCTCGTCGAGCAAGGCCATGACACCGAGCACCTTGACCTGGATGACCTCTCCGGGCTTGTTGACAAGCTCGCCGATCTCGCAGACGTCGAGCGGGTCGTTGTCGCCCTTGGCCTTGGTCTCCTGGTGGGTGACATTGGGATCCTCCCACGTCTACAACTTGTGTTAGTATTCGTCCTATTGACCGACATCGGGCTCGCGTCATCGCACCTGAGGGAAGGCACCGTAGTTCCAGAGGTAGCCCTTGTGGGGGAAGCAGTTCCTCACGTAACGGAGCTTGCCCTTCTTGATGTCCTGCTTGATGGGGTTGAGCGTCTCCTCCTTGGAGATCTGTCGAGGAGCGTCAGTAAAGCTACCATTTCGCGGGGGCGGTCATTGGACAGGCAATTGGGGGAGACACACCTCCATCTTGGCATTGGTCCAGCGGGGCACCTCAACAATCATGTTGAGGACGGTCTGCTGCTCGTTGGCATAGAGAGGAATGTCGTGCCATGGCGAGACGAGCTGTCCGTCCTTCTCAATGAAGATACGGTGCTCGAGCGTGTTGGCCGCGCCGATTCTGCGGGTGGTGTAGGTCATTTTGGACAATGGTTTAGCGGATGCTGGGGGTGTCGAGGTTGCGGAGAGCTGCTCCTGTATTTGTTTGATTCTGCTGGTGGGGCTGGAACGCGGGGTTTTTCCGGAAGGCGCCACTGTGACCAACGTCACCACCGACTGTCTGCATAGGGCAGACGTCGGAATAGGAAAGGAAGACTGCAATTGGGGAACAAGGCGCCTGGCTGGGACGAGCCGCAATGAAGATCGAATGAAGAACATGCAGATGTTATCTGCCCAATACCGGCTAGAGGTGCAACCGGCTATCCCGTAGCAATAGCCCCAAACCGAGGATGTGAGGACACCAGTTGCGGAGGTCGCTTTCTCGAAGCTCAAGATTTCTGCGCACAGACCACGAAATCAACAATGCCTGACGTGGATCACCACTCTCACTTCAGTACAATCTATTGGGACGCCAGAATCCTGGAGCAACTACAGTGTTATCTGTCGATATGCGCTGCACACTGCCAACCATCGTACCCAGAGCCCCTAATCCAGGATCTGTCGCCTCATAATCCCTTCCATACGACGGTGGTCCCTCGACCTCATCATACCAATCTGGCGCGTTGGCTTGAGAATGCATCAGCTCCTCCTCGGGCGAATTAAAGTCGGAAAATTCTTCCTCAACGATCGCTCCCGGGAAATGCATTCGCTCCGCTTGCTGTTGGTAAATACTGCGGCCTGAAAAGTTCGGAGCCCTGGGCGCAGGTGCCTCTATCTCTTGAAACCGAACAGTAGGTCGTCTGTGTGTCTTGGCCATAGCCACTGGCGCGACTCTAGTCACTTTGTTACTGATGTAAGGTGCATCTACTTCACGGTGGCTTCTGTGTGGCTCTGTGGCGCATCGTTGTGCACTGTACGTTCTGTTGCAGTGTTGTATGGCTCTCCCGAGGTCCGAAGAAGTTTCGCGCACGTCGTCCATGTGCCCTTCAGGTCGGTGCGAGTTCACCACAGTGTTGTGGGTAGCCGAATGGGTGGCTTTTTGACGCGTTGCAGACTTTGCACTGACGCCAGATTCACGGTATTCAACATCGACTCTGGCGGGCTTCGACACGAACGGTGGCATCGATGACGGAGAGCCGACAGACTCAGTGGACTGGAACTTTGCGGCGCGGTCCACAAGATCTAACTTGCGTGGCGATGAAGTGTGCTGGGGGTATGAGTGAGATCTTGACATCCTGTTCTGAGAAAGAGCCACGGAAGACATCTGGAAGCGCTCAGTGCTTTCATTGCTCCTTTGCTTGCGCGGTATAGGCGGCACAGGAACCTTGAGCCTGCAGTCTCCCCTGCCACTTAAGTTGATGCCTAATTGGCGATGATTTGAGACCTGGTGGGGGTCGTGGTTTTCGACAGGCGGATGCTTCGGACGTCTGGGGGTCAGGTCCGGTGATCGGACAGATTCTGGCCACGACACATAGCTTGTACTTTCGTGTCGAGGTCCCCTGCTTCCAAATCCCAGGTAGGATCCCTTGCCAGGAATTTCAATTGTTGGTACGACGCCGCTAGACTTTGACGACTGCTCCGGCTCGTGATGTCGGATCGCCGTAATCAAGTCCTCCACCGCCCGAGCCTGCTTTGTTGGCACATTGTTGTCTTTCTCCGCCAGAGCAGGTTGTACCGAGGTGAAGAAGGCAGATATCTCTCCCTCTTTCGTTTGCACGTGATCCTTTTTGCGTTTCTTCTTTGAAGTACCTTGCTCGGGAGTTGACTCTGGTTGGTCCTTTTCTTTCTGCAAGAACTTCATCTCGGAGAAGACAAGATCGGGCACTGAAGTCGTGTCAGCTGTACACTGACAACAGGTGCCACTACAGGGAGAGGCTTACATCCACGACCTCGAACAGCCGTCGAGGTCTTGCCCTTGTTGAAGATGCCTAGGTGGTCCTTCGGCTTCAGCTACCGCCCAATCATCAGCAACGTCACATATCACTGCGTGTTCGGCAACTCTTACAGTCAACCGATCCCTGGAAACGTTCTTGGCGTGGAAATTTTGAGCTACGCCACTGTCCGATTTGTCGCCCTTCTTGCGTTTTGACTTGCGCCTCGGATTCTTTGATTCGTCCTTTCGACTCTGGTGCACATGTTTGCCCCGCTCCTTGTTTCGTTTCGGCTCGTAAAGCTCTGGGCGCGTCTTACGGCGAGGTCGTCGTGCATACCGATGGCTCGATGATTCGCTGCCGGTAGAATCGCTTCGGCTAGGGCGCGATGCGTCGCTGTGAGCACTCGTATCCACTTGCTTTTCAGGCGTGGGCTTTGTCTTCACTGGTGACACTCTCGGCAAGTAGGTTTGAGGGGCGAGCAGCGAGCTGTCGGATCTGGCTCGCTTCCGTGCATGTTTGTCCTTGAACACAGCCCGAGGTATCTCTGTAGGTTGGAAGAAGGCGGAGTCTGAAGCTTGACCTTGCTTCGGAGGGATTCCTGCCTCTGCAGTCTCGTTCAGCCATCTCTCAATATCCATGATGACCTCAGGTCAGCGCAGTACTGTATGACACCGGAACAGCAGGCGACCGGCAATCGAGCGAGCCGAGCCGTGCCGGGTATGAATTGAAATGCCGGCCTGACGGTGTGGAATGCTTCAGAGGTATTTGTCGTCGTACAACATGGTATCGGTCGCGCTGAACGGCGAGGGTGGCCAGCAACCTGCTGGGGATTATCGCCGTGTAACGTGGGGAACCAGATGAAGTGCAGCAAGTGTACAGGGCCTTGGTTCATTCTCTTGCGTCAATGTGGTGGGGCGGATGCCTGGGTTCATCGAGACAGGAAGCCACGATTGGGTTCCGACCTGTGCCTTCCCTCGCGATGAGGAAAGCACGATGACCGCATGACGCACACGACGCACACTGCCAACCCGAGATACAGTCGTGTTCTGATGCTGTATTGCAGAAAGATGGCGTCGAAGCTATGCCAGTGCGAATCGGAAAAGCGGTGACTTTGCTACATGGATATGTCATGAGGCTTGAGGTGACGCTCTCTGATTGGCGGAACGGGTATCCTCGACGGCACGACAGAGTTGATCTTCTCTGTCACATCATGTTGCACATGAGGGAACGAGATATTGAGCTGAGGGGGCGGAAACAGTGCTCGTCACATGAGCTTCACCGCTGGGCATTGGAAGACCACCAGGCAATTCCCAATTTCGCTGCGGTGCAGTATCAAGGTGCGCACAGTTTTGTTACAATCACTGCTCACAAAGATCTGTGCCACATTGAACGAGTCGGGATCTGTGACACAGCGACGGTCCGCGGATCAGCGTCGATTCATGGCTGCCTCAAGAGCATCGATTGCATTCCATTTCCACCGTGGCATCGCGGCTGTCCAGACATGGATGCAACCTCGTCGTCTACTCACTAAGTAATACTCCGTGCAACGACACTGACTAGAAGAACGTTTCCTCGCCTAGTTGTAGCCGGGCAGGTAGTCTCGGGCGACGTGAGACGGCGACAAGCCCGCAGTTCGCACGGGCCATAGCGTATTCCTGCCAGCCCCCGGTCGAGCGCCCATCCCAAGTTCCCCACACCTGTTCGACGGTGTCCCTTGATAAGCTTCGCTGAACCACTCTCTGTCCGACCAATGCGAGCGCGTCGTGGGCACCTCATCTGCTGGCCGTGCCTTTCGATGTCCGACGCTCGCTGCCCCTCCAAGCACGCCACTCGCCGTCTGCAGGATTTTCATTGTCGCTCCGTGTATCAATTGGCCCAGTAATAATGGGTGCGTGCGCGCATATGCCGGCACCGTGATGGAGTGGCCGTGGCGGACCACCTATCACAAAATTCGACATGTCGCTTTTTGCGTGGCCGAGACGATGGCTCAGACGTCTCCCTTACCATTGGGCCCGTTTAGAGGCGGCCTAGCGGAGCCTGCATATACCCAGCATGAGGAAACAGACACGGGACAGACTAATGCCCGCAGTGTGCCAGTACAGGCGGGCGAGCAGCATACTCATTGTGCCATCATCAGGCGCCGCATCCAGACAGGCCTTCCGGGAGAGTGCCCCTCTGCTGTAGTGCTGCCCAGGCGCAGGGAGATGCTCGAACCGTACGTAGACAGCCTGGTTGGACACCTAGACCGGGCTTACTGCCTTTACCAGGCCACGTTTCTTCCCTGCTTTCTGATAAATTCCAGCTGCCTGCTGCCCATCTTCTCGCGTTTGCGCAAACTCAGCTAGCGCTCTTTTGTATCTCTTGGAGGGGTCAAGTCAACTTTACCTACTTCAAGCGTCGTGCCTGCCCCACCAACCGTGATTTGAACACCTCGCTATCCTCCCTACAACTCGTGCTCTCACAACACGAATTCCTTGCTACCGACTTACTCACTCCTCTACTACCCAAGAGGAATCGCCTGCGCCATCTACACCTACACAGCCTGGTGCGCTCAAGATCAAATGTTCGTTCCGCATGTTGCTACCTGTTACTTGCACGAGGCGCCGCGAAGGATTCCTCGCGCGCCTCTGCCTCCCGCGTTTCCTTAAGTCTCTTCTGTTTCCTGTCGCTGCCTTGCTTTGAGGCTCTTTGTATTGCGCGCTTTGTTCTGAGCTCCGAGTGCTTGTATTGAGACCGTTCAGTGTTCGAATCAGTTACCATCATGTCCAAGCTCTTCATTGGGTAAGTATCCGCCTCCCAACATTGTCGTCTACCGCTAATGTCAACCAGTGGCCTTGCCTGGCACACGGACGATGGCACACTCCGCCAGAAGTTCGAGGAGTTCGGTCAAGTCGAGGAAGCCGTCAGTGACACACTCGTGGCGCCCGTCACTGTACTAGGAATCAATCGCTGACACCCGCGCAGGTCGTCGTGAAAGACCGCGATACCGGTCGCAGCAGGGGCTTCGGCTTTGTGCGCTTCGCCAACGATGCCGACGCTGATGCCGCCATGAACGCTCTTAACAACGAGGAGTACGTCCCCCCCCCTCCCCACCATGCATAGCGTCAACGCGAACTGCGCTACGCTGTCACGGCATGGGTACCCAATCCGTTCAATGGTGCTAATTTACCCAGGTTCGATGGACGTAGGATCCGTGTCGACAAGGCCTCTGACCGCGCTAGCGGTGGCGGCGGTGGTGGTCGCGGAGGAGGCTACAGCGGAGGAGGCGGATATGGCCGTGGAGGTGGCGGTGGCTACGGTGGTGGCCAGGGAGGTACGTGTTGAACTCTAAGCTTTCTCGAAGCCCTCGCTGACTCTTTTTTCTAGGATATGGCGGCGGTGGCGGACGTGAAGGCTACGGCGGCGGACAGGGTGGCGCATCTTGGGGACCTCCTCAGGGCGGCCAGGGCGGCTACCCTCCTCGTGGCGGTTACCAGGGTGGTGGTGGCCAGGGAGGCTATGGTGGCCAGGAGCAGCAGGGTGGCGGCCAGCAATACTAGATGTTGCTACTGGCCTCTTGCTCGCAGCTTATGATCGATCTCTCGGCACGGCGGCATATGGCGGACGGAGTTCTGGGGTTGTGAGTGGCCGTTATACATGGTACACTTCGTAATGTTACAGGTTCGAATGGGCGCTGGCAACCCAATGGACACCCGAGCTTGCATGGAATCTCTCAGAGTGGGAGTGGTTGGTACGGACGAGTATGGTTATACCCACTGTGCTGCTACTCTGTACACTTAGTATGCGTCAAAAAAGATTTGTTTCATTGACCAGCCGTGCTCTTCGTTCTGTTGTCGTGACAAGCCTCGAGTGAACATGACGTCGCTCTGCACCAGCATGACTATCCCTGACGATACACGAGAGTTCTGTCGCTTGCCAAATTCGGCAGCTGTGTTACCGAAGAGGCGACGGAGCCGTTGATAATGAGACAGCCCCACAAATGACATGAGGAGCAATGGAGGCTCTGCGGTAGCTAGTCTCGAGATCTTGGTTGTCGCAGTCAAGCCACGACCTGCCAGTTTTTCTCAGACCCTGACTTCGGCAAAAAGTTCCGTGAAGCTCTCCGCATTTCATCGTACACTTGAATCAGACCCCGGCCCCTACAAAAACCAAGCAACCATTGCCCCAGACGACACATCACCAAACTAATTACTCGCAGCAACCGTCGAATTCGCAATATTGATGCGCGGCGGGGAAGGCAAGACGCAACTCCCTCGATGCACGCTTACGGGACAACGCATTGTGACCCAGCCTACATAACCGCTGTGATGCGCTGCGCAGCAAGAAACCGCCTGCTGCGATGCAAGTGATCGCTATGCGGGAACCTACACACAAGAGTCAGGCGCATGCAGCTAAACCTCAGTCTAGAAAAAAACCAGAACGATCTGCATCTCAGTTTCCGGCGCCTTGCTGCCTGCTTGGCGCGAACAGGTTTCGAGTCGAGTCGTGTGCCGGCTGAAGGATGATGTGGGATTGACGCGTTGTCGTGTCGTGTTTTCCAACCCCGCTTTCTTACACCTCTCTACTCCGGAGTACAACCCTTCGTTATCAAGACGCGATGAAGAGCTGGAACGAAGCTGAGCCGTTGATTGCGCCGTCTCAGCGTCGCCCTGCAGGTAATGGTGGAGGTCGGGTCCGCATTCGGGCGCTCGGCCTGACGTTCGCAACGTGCATGGCCATTTTCGGATTCGATGCGTTGTTTGCAGATGTCAAGAATTGGACTCCGCCGGCGTGGAGGGGGCCGGTGATTAGTGAGAAGCCGTTCGAGTGGTCTGAGGTAGGCTTCTTTCTATCTCACGTAGCCAACTCGGGACTTGGATGCCCTGATGCAGCTCATCTTGTGCAGCTGTATCGTGATTTTGGGTTAGAGGATTAATGTCGAGGTGTTGGCGTTGACCGGAAACCCATGTCCTTTTCCCTGGGTTTCTTGTACATCCATTAAAGTCCGTGGCTTTGCTTAAAGATGCTTCCCTGTCATCTCCCTGAACGCACTCCCTACTGAACACTCTCTTCCTTGGCCCCCCTTTGATGCAACTGACCGCTCGATAGATCGAAGCATCGGAAAACCTAAAGTTCCACAAATGTTACCACGATTTCGAATGTGCGAAGCTGGGCGTACCACTTGATTACTACCGCGACACATACCCAGACGAGAGAGTTAGCATTGCCATTACTAAGCTCCCAGCAAAGGTATCTGTCGATGATCCGCGTTATGCCGGACCTATCCTGATCAATCCTGGCGGTCCTGGCGGTCCTGGAGCTCTGTTTGCAACTCTCGTAGGAGAGAACTTGCAAAGCATTGTCGATGCAGACGTAAAGGTCACCAATCTCAAGGACCCCAGCGTCAAGCCGGGCGAATTGAGATACTACGACATCCTGGGTTTCGATCCACGAGGAATTGGCTGGACTGAGCCGCAAGCAGTATGCATGGACGATCCCGCCGCCTCCTGGTCATGGACACTGCGAGAAACCACCGAAGGTATACTTGGGAGCTCCGATGCAGCACTTGGCAGACTGTGGTCCATGACACATGCTTGGGGTGCTTCTTGCAAACAGGCAGTGGATGCTGAAGATGGCCCAGACATCAAGCAGTACATGTCGACAGCTCTGGTAGCACGTGATATGCTCGAGATCGTCGAGAGACATGCTTCCTGGGTTGCTGAGAAGCTGGACCAGTTGAAGAAAGACAAGTCTCGATGCCATCACGATCCTAACCCTGCTCTGTACAAATCTGAATCTGCGGAGCTGAACTACTGGGGCTTCTCATACGGCACGTTCCTGGGCTCTACATTCGCTTCCATGTTCCCTGACCGCGTCGGCCGCGTCATTCTAGACGGCGTTGTGAGCTCGTATGATTACAATCACAGTTTAGGAAACGGATCTCTCACCGACAACGAGAAGGCGGTCAGTTCGTTCTACTCATACTGTGTAGAATCTGGCCCAGCATCATGCCCGCTGGCTACATCCAACTCCACATTTGACGACGTCAAAGAACGCGTCAATAGCATCGTCAAATCACTATACCACAGCCCTCTCGCTATCAACTCCGCAAGTGGCCCAGAAATCCTAACCTACTCCGACATCAAAGGCCTCCTCTTCCAGTCTGCCTACCAACCCCAAGCTCTCTTCCCACTCGTCGCCTCCGTCCTTGCCGCCATCGAAGCCGGTCAAGGCGACATCCTCGAGTACCTCAAAGAAAGCACCCGCTACAGCCACATCTACTCCTGCCCCGTGAACGGCTCCACCCCAGCTATCGACTACACCTCCGCCGTCCCGACCTACGCCGTCCTCTGCTCGGACGGCATTGACGTCACCCACGACGACATCGCCTCATTCACAGCCTACTGGCAAGACATGGTCACCCTCGCCCCCACCTCCGCCGACATCTGGGCGATGCTGCGCCTCCGCTGCATCGCGTGGAAAATCCACGCGGCGTACAAATTCTCCGGCACCTTTGGCGGCAACACATCCCACCCGATCCTCTTCCTCAGCAACACCGCCGACCCCGTGACGCCGCTGCGCAGCGGGCGCGTCATGCACGCGCTGTTTGAGAACTCGGGGCTCCTTGTGTCGGACTCTGCGGGCCATTGTAGTGTTGCTCAGCCCGATTTGTGCATGCTCATGCATATCAAGGAGTATTTCCAGACGGGCGTGTTGCCGCCCGCTAATACGCTTTGCGTGCCGCCGACCAGTCCGTTTAGTTTGAATTCGACGGATCCGAAGAGTCCGTTTTATGATCCAGGGTTGGAGGGGATGAGGGTTGAGAGGGCGGTTAGCGGGCAGGATATGGATAAGGAGAGCATGGAGCTGCAGGATGCGGCGTGGAAGGTGGCGAGTAAGGTTGTTAGAGAGGAGTGGTTTGGGGTGGGGAGGTTGATTGGTGGGAGAGGGTTGGGGAGGGAGATGGTGAGGAGGGCGGGGTTGAGGGGGTAGCAGATGTGGTAACTGTGCTGGGACGGGTCATGATAGGGGATGGCAGGAGGGAGGTTAGGGCACATATTTGTATGATAAGGTTTCTCAATTCTGTTCTGTACACAAGATCATGCTTTTCTTCCAACCGAACGCGGATCCGGCCCAAATTGCTGCAAACGAGCTACAAGAAAAGACGATTTCACTATCGATCGGTCCGCCAGATGTTTGTGTGGTACCGTATACTGAGCGGTACTCGAGGCAGTGGCGAACGAGGATATTGTGCGACGATGGGAAGCACAAGTGAAGGTCGCTTTGATATGCAACAGCGCTCACGATGCTGTCTTCGATAAGCTGCTTATATTCCTCGCTGAGCAGCGTGCTCTCGCGGAAGACCTGTTTGCTCGGGTGTACATCCAATAGTTGCCCCAGCTCCGTGGTCTCGAGCTACAGGTACTTAGAGAACCATGGCCGACCCAAGTAGCAGATATTGCTCAACCCCATGTAAAATCTCATGTCACGCAGACGACGCAAATCTGCGGCTTTACACACTTCACCGTTCAGAAACGCCAGTTCTTCTAGGCAAGGCACCAACCGTTCCAGGAAACACTCTTTCATCCTTCGCCTCCGAGCCTTCAAGAGCGTACAACTGACTTCAAGTCTGACAATGATGCACTGCTGATACGGGGCGCGCTCAGCGATGATGTCCTCGAAGGAAGCTATGTCGTCAACCCGTACTTCCAAACAAAGTCCAGGGTAGAGTTTGTGATCGAAGTAATCGTGACGTTCCTCGCAGTTTGTTCACTCTCATCGTTGAGTATCATGACCATGTTTCATAATATTTGGCATTAGCACATGCTCGAAGGAGCCTTGATCCATGCGCAGGTCGTTATCATCATTCTGATATATCTATATAGTAGATTCCCGCAGCACCTGAAGATGTGTAGCGAATATCGTATCCTTTTCGATTTGTTGTGTCACTCTCGCCCTAATATTGAACCTTGAACAGCCCCGACAGGGCTAGATGGGATTCCATTTAAACTGAAGCCTGTAGCAAACAGAAGATCCAAGTCTCGGTCGTAGAAATTCACTCCATTGTCTTGCATAGTCAAGCATATCTTCCGCAACGCCAACTTGCGATCTCAAGGAGATGCAATGAAGATTGGGAAAATGCGACAGCAGGCATTCGTCTTCCTTTAATTGCCGTAGCTGCAAAAGGACTTTGTTGTTCAGTATGAGCTCGCGGAAACCCCCGCGCTGATCAGGACCGAGATGTTTGATGTGACGCTCCAGCTCCTCAAGGTCCTCGTAATGATGCGTTTGCAGGTATTGGACGATGAAATTTTGCTTGAAATAGTCTTCAGATGTCTCTGCAAATAACTGCCGCGATGCGCGACAGAGGGTGCCCGGAGAAGCGGCGGAGTTGGTGTCAAGGGCGTAGTTGTATACCATTTGACGGAGCTCTGCTGGGAGGCGAAGGAGCGGCGAGTTTTGCTGGTTTGCCTGCATGCTGTCAAATTCGTCAGTGTTGCGCAAGGTGAAGCGCTCATCTTTGCAAGAGCTACGTACATGGCAAGACACTCAGCATTGGGCGTGAGTGTAGGAGGGCCTCGGAATACCATGGTGTCAGAATTTGCTTAGCAGTTGGGTTGTGTTCAAGAGACTCGGTGGTCTTGAGGCGAGAAGGTGTTTGTTTAGCGCTCGTGCGCTCAGCGCCGAAGGTGAGAGAAGGTGAAGATGACGTGATGCGCAACAACCGCACAATCTCTTGATCATTTTCGAATGAGAAAAAAATCTCTTACTTTATACATTGTCGGTCTTTTGAGTCCATTGAAGTTAAGCTGGAGCTACATTTGACTACCCAAGTCTCTTTACTGATTCAAACGTCATTACCCCACTGTCGCGGTGTAGATCAATTATCTCATGAAGCAAGAGCTAGTTTTGCTTCAACAACTACGCAGTTATTATCGAAACGCAGATACGAATAACCTAAGGCCCTTGATACTCTCATAAACCAAGTGCGTGATCATTCTGAACCACTCCTTACCAGCCTTCCCATCTCACACCAATTCCAGCGACGGTCGCTCCAGCTCGCAAATATCCATACGCAGACCTTCATTACGCATCCAGTGCCTCCACCGCCGATGAAACGCAGTATTGATGTGGTATAACGCGTTCCACTTGATTTTGGGTTTGCAATATGTAATCTCTCTCAGATTTGGTAGTTCTAGCAATGGGCAGACAAGCTCAATGTTGCTGAGATCATTGAATAGATCGCACGAACCGAAATGAACATGGGTGGTCATGGTCTTTTGAAGAGGTGTAAGCTTTGCAAGTATGCCATTCATTGTCTCGATGTCGTCGTCCGGAAGGGTTATGCTGTCATGGCGGAGGAATGGTAGGATCTTGGTATCGAAGTAGGTCTGAGCAGTCTCCACGTAGATCTGATGGCTTGTGCGGGCGAAATCGAGTGGATCCCGTTCTTTGTAGCTGGCATTGTGGTGGACTCCTATGTCGAGATCGAGAGTGAAGGTGTAGATCAGATTGCGGAGTTCGGCTGGTAGGCGGAAGAGTGGAAAGTTTGTTTGATTCGATTGGACGCTATAGTAGAACTTAGTTATGATGAAGGGTTCAAAGTACTGTGGAATGACCTACATTGACAGGGACTCGACGTTTACAGTGAGTTTTACCGGACTTTTCGAGTTGAGGGCCTCCATGATGATGGATGCGTTTTGTTGAGTGATCGTTAGTTGAGAGGAGAATGCTTGCAGTGGACCACCCAGGACGACTCATTAATAATATAGATAATATAATTAATAGTCCATCACGGACCAAGTGGCGCCTAGAGTGAAAGCATTGCGATTGAAAATGACACATGACTTCGAAAAATAAGGGTGTGGACCACTTGGTTCATACATAGTCGATGGAGCTAGACTCGATGTAAATCATGTATAGAACTGTTCATCTCTCTCGGTACCCCTTCAACGGGAAATGATTTTCGGACATGGTTTGGTGCCCTCGAAAGAAATGCTAGATGCTGAAAATTGGGACTCCATCCTATGCCATATGCCGTTTTGCCGGTTTAATTTGTAGTTCGACCAAAGGTAGGGATCCGTCTTCCCGTCAAATTAACGCCACCCCACAATGCAGGTGTCTGGGACACTCTCCAAAAGGCATGCCCAATCTGCGTTCTCGTACACGTGTAATACGTACCCTCGATACCAACCCCATTTTTGTAAGTTAAGTTGTGCCCAGAGACGTTTCTGATTGTCTTGAGGGTCCTCGATGTCGTCCCTGACAGTGATCTTTCTCAAATTTGGCAAATCGAATACCAGATATTTGGAAACCTTTACAAGCTGACTGACTTGGGTCGCAATGAAGAATGCCTTATCGATGCAGCTTCTTTGTGATGGCGTGAGGATAGCGACTGTAGCCCTGACTTTCACAGAACGACCAAACGATACACCGTTCTCGGAAAGCGGCTGGAGCTTTTGCTTGTAGTAGGTGCGGGCTGTTTCAGAGTAGATTTGGTGACAGGTATTGGTGAAGTCCTCACGGTTCCAGTCGTTGTGGTCGTCATGAAGGATGTGGCCACTTCCCAGGTCGAGGGCTAGCTCGAAGATGTGATTGCGGAGCTCGCCGGAGAGTCGGAGCAGAGGTGAGGCGGTCTGGTTTCTGAGAACGCTGATTTTTGCGGTCAGCTCCAGTCGCGATAGAGCGCAAATAGCAAATCGCTACTTACATGGGCATGGAAGTGGGGCCGGGAATGAGGTCGGGCGGCTCTCGGGCGAACGTCTTGGCCATGATGGAGTAGACGATATACCTATGATTTCTGGAAAGGTGCGGAGGAAGACCAAGAGCTGGGAAACTATCCAGTGTTATTGAACTCTTAGCCAAGGAGCTAACAACTCAAGGTGAAGGCAGCATGAGTGAGAGGAGCTACAAACGCCCCAGTGCAGGCTGAAGACGAAACATCACTTGCTAAAGTGAATTCGAAACGACCCAAAGAACAAGCTTTCTCAAATCCTCATGAAAGTAGAGTTTCTTTCATACCACCAGAAAGCACTCCAACCATGGCCGGGGCTCCGTCGAGCAAAGGACGCGAGCGAGCCATGAACAAGTATCTATTGACAAAATCCCATCTCATCGCTTCTCGCGTTGCAAAAGGCCCACCGGCTCTGACACCCAACACGCAGAGTCTAGCCATGTACCCAACCCTTCATCCGCCCTCACTTCTCCCAATCTAACTGCCCACACAAGTGCCCGGCGCAACCAGCAATCATCCCGCCTCCTGCGCCTCCCCCCCGAACTCCGCAACCGCATCTACGAGCTCGCCATGGAAACACACAATCCCGCCCTCCACACCACGGACCTCGCCTGGGAACGCCTCTCCCTCTCGCGCACCTGCCACCAGATCTTCGCCGAAACCGCGATGCGCTATCATGTGGTGAAATTACTGCCGATCGCAAATATGGTGCACCACATGTGTCACCTGCACCGGGATTTGCATGTTGTCAAGCTGTTGGCGCCATCGCAGAGACGTGCGATCCGGGCTTTTGAGGTGGGTTGGGAGCACGCGGCGGTTTTGCTGCAGACGAGGTGTAAGGTAAGAGATTTGACGGGGGTGAGGAGGGTGGTGGTTAAGGGGGTGCCGAGGAGGATGACGAGGAGTGTGGGGGTGAAGATGATGAGGCTTAGGCAGTGGATTGAGAAGGGGGGGTTTGTGATTGAGATGGAGGAAGGGGTGTGAGGGATGAATAGCTTAGCGCCGGCTGTTGCAGCACCTGGTTGCTGGAAACATCATGGACGTAAAATGCTTTAATGCAATGCAATAACAATATGATACGAAAAATCCCTGACGTCAAACGTCAACGCCAAATGTAACCGGCTTTTTCCAATGCCAATACCTATCGCTTACACATCTACTCCTCTTCCTCCTCACTATCCTCATCCATGCCCTCAGCCGCCTCCACCTTAAATGTCGGCGCCTGGTCTACACCCAAGTAGCTATCGCTAACAAGGTAAAGCGTCAACTCATGGCTACCCGGCTTCTCCAGCGTAAACTCCAACACTGTCTCCAACTTCCGCGCAATCGAAACCTTCTTGATCGCCAACAGCGAGTGCTCCTTCTGGTCACCGACAACTAACCACCAGCTCTCCGTCTTGTCGGCAGGGTAAAACGGCGCGTGGACCTCCGTCTTGAGTTCCTCGTCGTCCTCGATGTTTCGCGTGACCTTGACGCGCAGCTGAGCCGGCGAGTTCGATGCAATGTCCTCTGGGTCGACGAGCTCGTGCTCGAGCTCAATGTTGGGGTAGTAGTTGTTTGTGAAGTTGGCAATGTCGGCCAGTTGTCGCTGGTCGACCTCGAGCGATTGGATGAGCTTCTTGTAGTCTGGGTTTTCGTCTTCGTCCATGGCGTTGATGAAGTCGTCGACGTCGTTGATCTCGAATTTCTGCGCAGCCTTGATGGTGTCGTTGTCGAAGTGAGGGATCTGCTTGAGTGGCGAGTCCTTCTGCCACATTGCTTGGACAACCATTTGTGAGAGCTCCATGGCGGACATGGCGTTGAGGTGTGCTTCGGAGGAAAGCACATCGACACTTGCGCTCAGGATAGTAAGAACCTTTCGGATGACAATCTCCTGGTCCTTGGCCAAATCGATGGGAAGCTGCATGCGAGAGAAGTGGGCCTGGAGCAACACAAACGCCTTGAAATGTGGGGTCTCGAAGTTGGGCTCCTGCATCTTGTATGGGACACGGTCGTAGATACGTTGCAGAATGTGGTCTTCGTGTCGACGTATTTGGATGTCCTCAAACTCGGTTGCAGCTGTGATGATCTCAAGCACGCCCTTGAGGCTGGTTCGGCCATTCAAAGACATCATGAGCGTCTGCATAGTGATGAACGAGATGTTGTAGTACGCTGCAATCATACAAGGGTTGAGAGGTGTGATCGCATCTTCCTCTTCGTCATGCTCGATGAGGTTGGCATCTGCCAGTTCCTTCAAGGTCTGCTCAACAAGCTCGGACAAGTGTGCGCTCAGACCTTCGTGAGACGTGTCGTGAAGGTTGTAGTAGCTCGGGTTTGCGAGCAGTCGGCGGTAGAAGTATGTGTAGGTGGACCAGTCAACAGCTTCTTGAGTGGACTCAATCGTCTTCGAACTGATCTCAGCAACGAAGGCATCGTGCAGGTAGTCGTGGAGATAACTCTCGATAGGCAGCGCCTCGTTCAAGAACTTCTTGTAGTACTCGCGCTTGACAGCAGGAAGCATGAGAACACCCTTCGCTGACTTATCCTGACCGACCCTGCCTGCCTTGCCGAACATTTGCAGGATCTCGCTAATGGGGTAGTCGACGTAACGATGCTCGCGGCCCTCGTAAAACTGGGTACCTTGCACAATGACAAGATGCGCGCTGTTGTCGATCTCCCAGCACGAATTGCGAGAAACAATAAGCACTTGGATGGCACCGACCTTGAACAAATGCTGCACAGCTTTCTTGTCGAACGAGTTCAAAGCTTCGTGGAAGTAGCCGATACCATGCGACAGGGATTTGGAGAGCGCCTGCTCGTTGATCTTCTCCAGAATAGGCTGAATCTCTTCCAGCTCTACATTAAGGAAGCGATCTTCGTCCTCATCTGCAACACAGGCAGCATAAAGGTCGACCGCAGAGTTACGAGCTTGCTTCCTGTTGGGCGCGAATATCATGGCTGGCTTATCGGGCGACAGTTGTGTGATAGCGGAGTAGGTCGGACGAGCCATCGCCATCATCAGCGAGGGGAAGTGAGGAATGGTGAAGGACTGGATCTTGAGCTCCAAGGGTACGGCACGGATCGCGGGGCTGAAGTTGTAGATGGTGTGCTTGTTGGCTCCAATCCACTCTCCAATGTCGCGCGCGTTCGCCAAGGATACACTGAGACCGACGATGCGCAGCTTCGACTCCAGTTGAGCAGCCATGGCCTGCATACGTGAGACCACAATCTCGTAGACATGACCACCGAAACCGCCCAGCATGTGCAGCTCATCCGCAATCAGAACAGCAACTGTCTGTACATTCTTTCTGCGCTGCCATTGTCGTGAGATGGAATCCCACTGAGCTGGGGTCGCCAAAATCAGGTCACCCTTCTCGAGCAAGCGCAGGTCGGATGTGTTCTCGCCACTCAGCTTGACCACGTCCTTACCCCCACCGAGTTTGGACAGGCGCTCATTCCAGTTCTTGTACTGATTGTCCACAAGCTCCTGGAATGGTGCGAGGTAGACAATTCGGCCTTCGTTATTGCTCGACCAGTGTCGAAGGATTGCGAATTCGGCACACAAAGTCTTGCCAATGCCTGCCGACGCGCCAACAAGGACATTGTCATCCGACGTGTACAACGTGTTGAAGGTTTGCGTCTGAACCTTGTTGAAGCGACCAATGTTCTCGTACAGGCCCATGTACTCCTTCTTCTTCAGAGCTGATACGGGTAGAGGCTGCAGGTCGAGCACAGGTGTGTGCGCAGGGAACTTGGCTGGTAGGATCAGCTTCTGGAAAGAGACAGCAAGCTTGGTCTCGGAGGCCATCCATCGATCGGAGAGAACAGTGATGAAGTAGTTTGGCGGCATCGGCTCATCAATAGGCACCGTGAACTCAAGCAGGTGCTCGGCCACGTCACCATGTGCGTAATCCTTACGGAGGATGAATTGATCGTGGAACAGAATCTGTTCACCATCACAATCTTCAACAAGGATCCAGAAAGCCTCGGATGTGCCATGTAGCGCATCGTCCCAGACAAAGTTTGGTCTGATGAGCAACTCCAGGCGCAGCAGTGATCTTGTTACAGGACGAGGTGTTGCTTCGATTTCCAGACGAGGAAACTTCTCGACCAACTGACAGACAACCTTGCCAGCTTTTGGCATACCGAGAAGCTCACCCATGCTTGGTGGGTCTAAGCCAAAGTAGCTTGACCAGTTCACATCGATACGCTCTGCCTTCTGCACGATATCTCGCGGGCAGGTAGGGAACTGTCGAAGAGGTGTCATTGTTGGCCACATGCGCTTCTCGGCCATCTTGCACATGTCGAGTGCTAGCTTGGCGACTTGAGACCAGCCTTTCTTCAAGCAGATCTCAAAGATGGCACGGAGGATACGGCCTGCCGACTGTGTCACGTACACAAGATCGGCCATGAGTGCCAGACCTTCGAGCCTGAGTCGTGAAATGTAGGCTTGTAACAACACGTTGATCTTGGCTTGCGCCTCCTCAACACCTTCCTTGACAGGGATAGGAACCTTGCCGAGCAATTTGGCAAGTTCTAGCTTCTCATCCTGTCGTACGGGAATAAACTTGAACTCCTCACTGAGTGCAAATACGCGGAAGAGTTCGATGGCGCTGATACCTGGCTGGATATGCAGGTTGTATGTCGCCATGGAGTTGTGCGAGATGTAGTAGTGAGAAGCAATTCTTCCAAGCTCGGTGGGCTGGAGTGCACCGGTCTTCTTGTCGTACTTGAGAAGACTACACTTCTCCAGGACGTGTGCCGCGGCGTGTACGAGATCCACACGTCTTTGCTCCAACACCGTGTCATTTTCGTACTCGGGACCTACACGGTATAGACCGGGTGACCGAAGCATGCGCACAAAGAGATATGTGTAGCCTAACCAGTCGACAGCCTCGTCTCTGGTGCGTACGTTGCCGAGAACGATTTCGGCGTTCAGGTTGTCCGCCAATTTGCCGACGAGTTGAGACTCAATCGGGAGTTGTTGATTGAGGAGAGACAGGTAGTACTGAATTTCGGCTTGCGTTGTGATGATAATACCTTCGCCATAGGTATCATACTGAGGACGACCAGCACGACCAAGCATTTGCAGCACATCTTGCGGGCTCAGCTCAACCCAGCTACCCTTTTCAGGAGAGTAGATCTGTGTTCCCTTAATGATGACGGTATGTGCTGGCAAGTTGACACCCCAGGCTAGAGTTGCTGTACACACAAGAACTTGGATAGAGCCATCCGCGAACAGATCCTCGACGATCGTACGGTCTGCTCGCGACATACCAGCGTGATGGATTCCGAAACCATAAGGCATGACATCCTTGAGATCGGCGTTCTGGACTGCCTCGGACTCTTCCCTCAGAATCTCTCGACTAGCAGCATCAGAGCGCAAGATTTTGCCAATCGACTCCTCCTCAAGAGCCTTGTCACGGATGTACTTGGCGGTCTTTGCTGTCTCTTTACGAGAGTGCACAAAGATGAGCATCTGATTTCGGTGCTCGCCGACCTGTTCGAGGACCTTTGTGTAACAGACATCATTCATCATTTTGAGTTGCTTAATGGCCTTCTTATCTGTCACACCAATGAACTCTTGCTTCAACGGACACGGTCGGAAGGTTCCATCGAAGTGGAACAGGCCCTTGTCTGGATCGACACGCAAGAAGCTTGCTACATCGCGGTAGTTGGGAAGAGTGGCACTGAGACCAACAATTCGTACGTGGTCGCCAGTCTGCTCGCTGCGGCGCAGGGTCCTACTGACAATGCTCTCGATGACAGGGCCACGCTCGTCGTGGAGAAGATGAATCTCGTCGATACAGATCAGGCGAACCAGGTTGATGTAGCTGGTATCCGTGGCCTTGCGCGTGATAACATCGTACTTCTCTGGAGTAGTAACGATGATCTGCGTCTCTGCAATTTGCTGCTTGGTGAGTTGACGATCACCCGTAAGCTCGGCAACCTTGATGCCGTAGGGCTCGAGACGCTTTCCAAAGTTACCGACTTGTTCCGCTACAAGCGCTTTGAGCGGGGCAATGTAGATAATCTTGAAGTCGTCGAGAGCAATCTCTCCGGTTGTTGGGTTGCGATGCTTGCCAATCTCGCGAAGCATGGTAAGCATAGCAACGTTGGTCTTTCCGGAACCAGTTGGGGCACAAATGAGCATGTTGCCATCGTCATTGAAAGCCGTGGGAAAGCACTTCGTCTGAATCCGATTGAGCGATTTCGAGTTACCGAAACCTGGTCTTGCCCAGTCCGGCAACTCAGAAGTAGGCATAAGCCTTTCGCTGGGGTCGCGCTTCGCCTTCGGCGCAGGCACATGGATCTCTTCGTAGCCCTTGAACTGGCGGCGCGTTGATCCTTGTGGCAGCTTGACGCTGGGGTTGGTCATGAGATGGTTGCCTTGGTCGAAGACAATGTTATCCAAGTTGACAAGTCGGCTGGAGGGCTGAAGACCGCCAACCACTCCGTCAGGCCGTGGGGCGTCTGTCATATCTTCATCCTTAATCTCAGGCAAGCTGATGTCCTTTAGGTTGAATTTCATCTTTCCTTGCCCTCCATCTTCCGTCTTGACACCAGTTTCTCTTGCACGCAGCTCTTGCAGGATTTGTTGCTGTCCAGCAGCCTTCATCTCTCGCTCAACAGCCGTTCGCTCGTCCTTGTCTTCTGCGGCTCGTCGCCATCGTGTGACCCAAACCACCCGATCGCGGTTGGTCACAAGTTTTGCCACGAGCTCATGGTGTTCGTAGTCGAAAAGTTCCATGAGGTCGTTTTCGATTTCGCGCAACGGCTTCTCTTCACCGTCCTCGTCGAGCCCCGCAAGCATGTTCAACGCATCCTGTGTCTTCTCCTGCTGGGTATGCGCGTCCTCGTACACTTGTCCAATTTGCCGTTGCAACCAGAAAGCATCGATTTCGTGTGCGGGGATAAGCTGTTCGCCGTCTCCTTTCCGGTCTGTCGACACTGCTACATCGCCTTGTATGACCATCTCTTCCGTATCTGCCATTCCACCAATGTCTCCATCTTCGCCGCCAATCTGCTCGACTGCAGTCTCCGCCTCGTCTTCCTCGTCAGACGTGTCGGCGTCGCGGACCTCAAACGTCTGGGCGCCTTCTTCATCGTCTTCGTCTTCGTCGAACACGACTGCTACACCCTGGTTGTCATCATTCTCAGCGCCATCACCGTCGCCCATTATTTCGTCCTTCTCTTCCTCGTCATCTTGCGTGTTGTAGTCGGAGATTTTCTTGCCAAGGTTGACCAGCTCATTGAACTCTTTTGCGCCCATGGATGTACCCAGAAGATCGTCGACTTCCTTCTTCTTGTCAAAATCCTTCAGGCTATCGTCCTTCAAGAATTCCAGCACTGCATCGGCAGCACTTCTGGTGGTCGCGACCGGGACGTCTCCAAGAGATTTGCTCACTATGGTAGTGATGAGTTCGAAGGTAGCGCGAGTCGCAGGTGTCCGTGGCTTATAGGTCAGGCCCTCAATATTGAAGTCGACTGTTGCTGAAGCACCAAAGGCTGCGCCATCGTCTCGTTTCCTTTTGCGCTGTTCGCGGTCCAGAACGTCGCCACCCTCTGTCAAGCTACCGCGCTCGATACCAGGACCCTTGGGTTTCTTTTGTTCTGTAGGCGCCCTGTCCCGTGCTGTGCGCCCTCCCATATCCCGAATGTTGATGCGACCTGCGAGCGACTCGGGATCGCCAGTATGCTCGTCCGGTCGGCGCGTTGTAAATCTTCTGTCCGCCTGCAAGACCAAATTGGACATTGCCGCATATTTGAATTGCGCGAGGTTGTTCGGGGTTTGCTGCGCCATGGTTGCGGTCGTCTCTGTCTCTCACGCGCCTTGCGATTGAAAGTTCGCCTCTTGGCTGTCCTCGCGGACTTTCGTATATAATTACGCGACTCTACCCTTTATAGAATCGCGAGAAGAAGGGAAAGAAAGACTGTGGCGGGATTCGAGGGATTGGGCTATGGTCGCGCCCTGGAGTGGGATGGAGTGAGCGGCGCGAGGTTATCACCGATGTCAAGAAAATCTAAGAAGCTCTGACCAGTAGGCAGATACGTCACGTGCAGCGTCCACTGCACCCCACCTGGAACATCCAATCCAATCACTCCAAAATATAGGCTTGTTCATTCCGATTCACTCATTTCAATGTCCGAGCAATAAGTGTACCAACGAAAGAGATGAAAGTTTAGGTAAGTTCCAACAGGCCGTAAATTCAATTTAAAAATGTCCAGGAACGAGTGTCCGATGGTAATAATTATAGCTATAGGTAGATAAATCGGAATAATCATGGGATATCATTCGCAAAAGGACGCTCTCTTCGAAATGGACTCCTAAAAAGCATCTTCGTTAGGACATGCCGTTACATCATGACCCTCGCTCTCGCAAAGAGCACACCACTTGTCTGGATCAGCTACTGCAGCGCCCTTGGGAGGTACGAGCGAGGAGTTGAAGTTGTCCATGGAGGGAATTGGTAGAGGCGCGGTGGGAGCGCTACCAGGTGGCTTGGTTGGGCTCAACACGGATGGTCGAGCTCGGTCTGAGGAGACGGAGAGGCCTCGTAGGCCTTCAATTACGACATCCTGGCCGTTGCGGACTCCGTTCTCTCTGGGTGTAACGTCGCCACCCATGGCAGAGCAATTGAGAATGTCATGTCCGCCGGTCTCGCAGATCTCGCACCAGAGCACGCTACTGTTGGCTGAAGAGCGACCGTCTGTTTCTGGCATGCTTTCCATGGCCGGTGCAGGTTCGCGACGTTGCGACGCGTCCTTCCAGCTCACCACCGTTCCCTTTGAGTCTCGCTCGGATGCACGCTTGTCTTGTGTTGCAGTATGATCAGAGAGACCATTGCTGATGACACTCTCGCGCTGGTCAGCAAGACCGAGCTGGGCTCTCAGCTTCTCCAGTTCACGTTCCATTTCCTCTTCTCTGAATGTCTTCCTCTCGACAAGGCCGCGCAACTCCTCCTTTTCGCGCTCCAAACGCTCAGCGTTGGCCTGTGCTGTCTTCAGCTCCTCCGGGCTGGTCGAAGAGCCCTGTCGTGAAAGCGGCGAACGTCCGTGTTCCTCTGCGGCGCCAGAGCTCAAGGAATGGATGATGGCCTTGAGCCCTCGGATCTCGTCATCGCGCTGTTCAACCTCCCTCTGTCCTGGAGTATGTGGTGCATCTGCCATCGCACTTGCATCTTTCAGGGCTGCTGCCGCTTTCTCGCGCTCGCGGCGGAGTTCAGATCGACCACGCTCCACCTCGCCTCTGAGGAATTCGACCTCTCCGCGAGCTTCTGCTTCGCCTCGTCGCGCATCCTCAAGACCTTCTTCAAGCTCTTGCACAAGTTCTTCTAGTTGCTTCAGCTGTATGGCAACAGTCTCAACGTCGTCACTTCGTGACCGGTATTCGTGCAGCTCGTCCTGTAGCTGTTCGACCTTCTTCTCATATACTTGCTCTGTCGCCGTGCTTGCTTGCTCGAGCGTGTCGATGGTGTTCCTGAAGTCTGCCCGATGCGCGTCGAACTCGGATGTGAGCATGGCGATCTTATCATTCTTCTCGCGGAGAAGTGCTCGTAGTTGCGCGACATCATTGGGCTCACCGCTGTGCACCGAGCCCATGTCCATATTATCATCCGGCATGAGATTCTGAATCTCCGACAAGCTTGCCTCCATCTCGCCGAGAGAGTTGGCCTGGTCCTTGAGTTGCCTGTCGCGTTCCTCAAGCAGCCTCGTAAGCCGCTGTACTTCGTCGGTTTGATTCTGAGTTGCGCCCATGCGGGAGGTTGGCCGCCGGCCATGGTAGCTTGACATGGAATCGTTGCTCGTACGTGATGCGCCTGTAGGCGTCACTTCAGCATCTTCCTCGATGGTGTCGTGCTGACCGATGCGCGAATTGCTCCTTGAATATGGACGCGGTGGCCCTGGTGTCCGCGGCTTCTGCAGGCCTGGTGCAGCCCTCGGAGGCGCAGGGCTGGCGAATCGTGGGGGTGCGCCAATGGCACTTCTCGAGAACCCGGACGGTGTGAGGCCTCCATTGCGCGCCGGTGTTGCCGTCAGGTTCGGTGCTCTGCGGATTGGCGATTCCGGGCGCGGCAGAGACGGCCGGCTCTTTGGCTTGAACTGCGGACTAGGCGCTCGAGCTCCAGGGCCGACCGACTGCGAAAACTTGGGCAGCGACGGGGTCTCTGGGCTAAAGTACGGCTTCGTGGTGGTGGAAAGACTGAAGTTGTTGCCGTGAGATGGCGTGGTAGGCGTTGGCGGGAAGTCGTCCGAAGTCGCTGAAGAGCGTTTTTGCGCACGATGCACAGGCAGGAATATACCCGAGCCTGGAATCGAGGTTCTAAAGTACTGCTTTCTGTCCCGAAATAAGTCTGCGCGCAGGCGTGGGCAGAGTTGTGTTTGTTTACTCACCCGTCGACCTCTCCATCGTTCTTTCCGCGCGATGCCCACTCTCTGCTGAGCTCGACACCAGCGAAAACACCCTTCTTGTTGGACACGGCGCCAATAAACTTGACGGTGCCGTGCATCCCGCCCGGAACGTCGACTACATCGCCGATACCAATGTCCCGCCCGTCTGCGCCCATTCTGCTTGATGGTGGGGATGCGCCGCCAACCAGCGCGTTCAAGGATGCTTTTCGCTGGAATGCAGTGCTTGCGGTAAGGGATAAGTTTGGCGAGGATTCTGCAGCCTATGACGGTGTCAGTGAGCGTGCGTTCCCGTTTGCGTGCCCGTTTGCAGCGGGAGAGTAGTCCAGCATACCTTTAATGACGGTCTCGGCTGCCCGAGCCGTCTCGGTGTTTGGAACGCCATAGCGACCGGCTGCTGCTTTGCTACGGGAGTGTAATACAAGGGCAGCCACCAGTGTAACAGTTAAGGCAGGTTTGTTGTGGGGAGATGTCAAGTTGTTGTCACAGGGGTCCCGCCACGAGGATAATCAACTTAGCGTGCCAATCACAGCAGGTCGATCATGTTTATTTCAATGCCGTCGCCACTAATTCTTCTCCTGACTTATCTGTTCCTGATGAGGCTGCTTTCTGGTTTCGCTACAGTTGCTCTCGTTCACTCTTACTGCCCAGCAATTATCGATAATGATTGCGCGTCATGGTTGCTGCTGACTCGAAGACACGGTCCCCTGCTCGCCCAGTGTCTTCGTCCACTTAGACAGCGAACCGGAGGGGTATAGCATGAAGGCACAAAAGCCATATCATCGTTACCCGAAACACCATGCGAGCCAGACTGTCATTTGTTCGTCTCATCGAGCCGCTCACTGACCGCGAGGCTGAACCTTGTAATGTGTAGGTTTGTGCCACATCTGACGCGGTGTCACGTGTACGGGAGGATGCAAGGTTTGCCAGGCTCGCTTCAGTTCGGGAGACGAGAGCTGTTTGGATCGTCGTGTAGACCATACCACGATTATATCAGCTCTCGGCTGTACAGGCTGCAGGCAGAATATTGAGCCAACTAAGTCGCGAAAAGCATGAGAAGAAGTTGAACATTTGGGATGGTATGAAGCATGTCTCTGTTCGTCGTGTGAACCTGCACCAAAAGAATGCAGGGCAGCCATATCTTCCAACAGGACCATGACCAAAGTTTAGAGGATCAAATGCAAACATTTCTATCTTCTTCATAAACCGACCAAAAGACATCGAGCGTCGGGCAGCTCCTGGCACCTTGACTCGTTCGGCCCGCATGCGATCCCGCTCCTTTGCCTCGGCATCTCCGCCTCCGCAAAAGCTCATCCACCAAAGCTACATCATGCGCCGCGCTCGCACGATGCGCAGCCTCGACCATATGCAAACATGGCCGGCCAAGTGCGACAACCAATCGATATAGCCTCGTTGGAGCGCTACATAGCTGAAAATGTGCCTGAGATTCAAATCCCGCTGGATGTCAAGCAGGTATGTGTGATGTGCGTTTGGTGAGGTCTGGTAGCTGATAAAATGGCAGTTCGGATACGGACAGTCGAACCCGACATACCAATTGACGGACAAGAATGGCAAGAAGTATGTTATGAGGAAAAAGCCCCCGGGCCAGCTTCTTTCAAAGGTACGGATATGGTTCTCAGGTTGATGGCGCAATGCTGAGTTGTGTACAGACAGCACACAAGGTCGACCGCGAATACCGTATCCTCCACGCCCTGGAAAACACCGACGTCCCTGTACCTAAAACCTTCTGTCTGTGTCAAGATGATAAGATCGTTGGTACCGAGTTCTACATCATGGAGTTCCTCGACGGCCGCATCTTCGAGGACCCAGTGATTCCAGATGTAACGCCAGAGGAGCGAACGAAGATGTACATTTCCCCCTCCCACACCTCCCATACAAACACTAACAATCTCCCCAGGTGGCACTCCGCCATAACAACTCTCGCGAAATTCCACCGCGTGTCCCCCTCCTCCGTCAACCTCTCCACCTACGGCAAGCCCTCAGGCTTCTACAACCGGCAAATCGCCACTTTCAACACCATCTCCGAGTCGCAAGCTGCCGCTAAAGACAAAGAAACTGGCGAAACCGTCGGCAAAATCCCCCATCAGGATGACATGGTCGCCTTCTTCAAGGACGCGTCTACCCAGCCCCAAGACCGCGCCACCTTCGTCCACGGCGACTACAAAATCGACAACGTCGTCTTCCACAAAACCGAGCCTCGCGTGATTGGCATCCTGGACTGGGAAATGTCCACCATCGGCCACCCGCTGTCCGACATCAACAACCTCCTCTCACCCTATTTGACTGCGTCCAGCGAGAAGGCAAAGTCCATTGGCCGCGCACACACGGGTTTCCAGCCTGGCGCCACGCCGGGTCTGCCTACCCGCGAGCAGTTGGTCGAGTGGTACAGCGAGGTGGCGGGCTGGGATCCGCGCCCGGATTTCACCTGGGGCGATGCGTTTACCACGTACAGGACTGCGGTTATCATGCAGGGGATTGCGGCGCGGTATGCGCTGAGGCAGGCGAGCAGTGAGCAGGCGAAGAGCTATGGGCAGATGATGATGCCGTATGCGGAGATTGCGTGGGATTTGGTGCAGGAGTATAAGAGGGGACATACGGAGAAGGCGCGGTTATAGTTTTTAGGAAGTGTGGGCATGTTGTTGCTGTCGTGTGAATTCTATAAGCTATGCCCATGATTATTATTGGAAGTCATGCGTCCCAATGTTTTGTGAGGGTGTGTAGGATCGTTGGAACTATGCTGAAGCTGTTCAGGGCGCGGTATCGGCAGACATGACGTGTTTTTGAGGGCTGTGAAGGAATACAGGATGTGAGGCGGCACTCGGTGCATGGTGCATATCGATTGAGGTCTGTTGCTGAAGTTAAAGCAGTCTGAAGCTGTACAGGGTGTCCCTAGACCTCGTATCTGGCGGCAACACTCTGTGGATACCTCAAGGTTATTAGATAGCCTGCATTCTGTCACATGGTCATCCTATCCAGGCGTAGTCAATGATACAGCCGATACACGATCACATGGACTAGAGATTGTGACGGTCTCCTGGACTTTGCTTCAATTATTGATTGACTATTCAAAAGAGCGCTGCAGCATGCCGCGGAGCACCCATTTGCCCCAAGCCTGCTGCCAAAAAGTTCATTCGTCTGATGGTATCTTGTCGTAAATATGCCGACCCTAGCATCAGACACGTCAACTCCGGTCTTCTTCAAGCATTTGGCTTGATGTGTGTGTGTATGTAGGAGGGCCATACCCATGTAGAGTTGCGCCGAAACACCAAAGTTTTATTCCTGCTACTCCATCTGGTCTCTTGTCCTCGATATCCTCGCTGATAGGCTGCCGTGGTCTCGTCTCTACCGTCCAATCTTGGGAACGTCTTGGTTGATGCGGTCCAGTGCCTATGTCAAGTCAGTATGCTTCGATTTCCGAATGATCAATGCTCCTCCCGTTCCCTCTCCCCTCCACTTCACGCTCCTCTGCCACTCTCTCCACTCCAATCTTCTCTTCCCAGTTCCTCCTCCCTCAGCCCAAAGTGATATGTGAAAGTGTATACGTACTTCGAGCATGACGACAGCATTTCCTCGGATAACGACCATGCCTATCCGAGTCTTCTCACCACCTGCCTTCTCTTCTAGCGCCTCATCGAGGACGATGTTCAAGTAGACCTATAGTATAATCAGACATACGTCGATAATTGATAAAGTCCGAAAAAACGTACGTCGTATCCTCGCAGGATTCCCATGACCTTGCGACTGCCATTTAGCTGTACGAGAACGCGCTTCTCGAGGTACTTGTGCAAGTTAGGTAAAGGTAGTTTGCGCGGTCGCGGAGGACTCACCTTCTTGAGTTCCGGCTGTGCTTGAGGCATGCTGAGGGCGTAGAATTAATTGCGTTTTGGTTGGGGAGTATGGGCTCGCGGTGGTGTTGGTAGTCGAAGCTTGTATCTGCGCGTGGTGTTGCGGAGCTGTAGTCGCGGATAGCTTTTTGTCGGCGTTGGCGGCGGCCCGTGCCAAGAGTTGAGCATGTGAGGTGGTGCGGCCTAGAGAACTTCACATCACTCACTCCAATCGTGTCAAGATTGATCGCATACATAATCAACGATCAGAATGAAAAGATCAGGCTCAGGGCGTGTGGCGCGCAAAGTCGGCGCATACGATAACTCGGCAGAGAGCGAAGAAAGCTCGACCAACGAAGTGCAGAAGCCCACAGGTTAGTATTCACCTTGTCGCAAACCACTGGCCTTCGTTTCTGACCTTAGTAGGCATTCCGTGCTAACTCCCGCTGTAGTTGTAAAGCGACCGACATTCGGCAAAGGCAGAAAGCGCTCTTCGTTACGCATCTCGTTCGGCCCAGGCGAGTCTGAAGGAAACGATGGGGACGAGTCGGGCGACGCAACGCCAGTCGTGACCCCGAAGAAGTCAAATCTGAGTCGCATAGCGTTGGAAAAGAGTGCGCAATTGCGGGCGCGATCACCGCTTGTCCCTGAGGCATCACGCCCATCAGACGAGGAACGCCCCTCGTACAACAAGGACTACATTGCAGAGCTGCGCAACTCGACACCTTCTACGCCAAAAGACCTCAAACCTTCTGCCGAGGAAGAGGAGGAGACGCAGGCGCTCGACATAGCATCAAAGTTTGGCCCAATCAGTGTACTACCGACCGCCACCTCGTCTGCTATACCTACACAAGCCGAGATACTCGAGAAGAAGGCACGGCGGAGACGTCTGGCATTACAGGAGAGTGCTCAAGACGATGAGGAAGATCGGCCATGGGCATCTGACGACGAGGGCGAAGACGAGTTCCGGCAGCGAAGGAATGAAATCTCTCTGCGGCCCAAGGAGAAATATGCCGAGACCCGCTTGGTACATGAAGATGAGGATATGGCAGAGGGGTTCGACGACTTTGTGGACGACGGCAAGATTTCTCTAGGTCGCAAGTCAGAGCGTGAAGCCCAGCGGAAACGACGTGCAGAGATGGCAGAGCTTATCAACGATGCAGAGGGCTCAGACGATGATGGCTCGGCAGACTCGGACGAGGAGCGGAATGCTGCCTTTGCTGCAGCGCAAGCACGTGCTGGTCGATATGGTCAGAAGATTGAAGACGAAGAAGACGGCACGAAAACACCCCCTCGAATCACTCCTTTGCCACAACTCGACGAAATACTAGACGGCCTGAGCATCGAGATACAGACCAAGCGCCAGAGGAAGGAATTGATACTTCAGAAGTTGCAGGAGTTCAAGGATGACAAAGCGAGAATTGAGGAGCGCAAGAAGTACCTGCAAGAGCAGCTGCAGAAGACTGGCGAGGAATACGAAAAGTTACGCCAGGAGTCTGGCCTGCCCGCTCTTCCCTCGAGCGATGCCAATGGCGGCAGGCTGATTACTGAGCGAGGCTTGGACAGTCTAGGAACTACGCCTCTGGCTGGACGCTCGGGGGTAGACTCAGATGGAGAGTAGTGATCTCCGATAGATTGTCAAGGTCTCAGCGAAGAGCTCGCTCGACCATATAATAGCAAGGCTTCCATAACAGCCGCCATGCCCCAACACCCCATGATATCATACATCCCCACCCATAAATCCAATGCTTCCCAAATAACTCCCAAACATGCCTATACACAATTGCTATTCGTACATTCCACCCCATCCCATTCACTCATTTATTCGCATCCAGCTCCGCCCACACCTTCTCAATCTTCTCCCGCTTCTCCTTGGCCACCTCGCGATTCACCCGCGTCCGCTCGAGCCGCTGTGCGCGCAGGCACATGTTCACTTTGTACTTGGCTTCGGTGCAGTTGCCGGTAACTTTCCAGAGGAAGCCGCGGGCGTGGCATTCGTCGAGGGCAGCGACGACGTCGGCGCAGTCTGGGAGGTGTTAGGGTGTGCGGTAGGCATTGGGAAGTGGGGTAAACGTGCTCTTTTGAACTTCTTCAGTGTGCAGATGGGGATGCATTGTGGGCGCGGGAGTATCCTAGTTCTTGGGCCGGTGCGGCGAGTGTGTATGATTTGGCTTGGTGTTGCTTGCGACGCGGTGGCGTGGAGTCGATGTTGGAGCTCTTTCCGACTAATCGGGAAGTCATAAATCTCGTGAACTGCGTCCGAGCGCCAGAGGAGCCTTCTACCACACGACTGCGATCTCAACTTTACTTTTACCTTTTTCCCACCTGAGAGACATAAATTCTAATCTCGACTACGGTTCTCGGCGTTTGCGGCACCCTATTTTCAGCACTGCAGGGCCCGAATTCTGTGCATTGGATTCTCACCACCTCCGAGCTCCCCGCATCGAGAATCGGAACACCAACATTGAAGTCGAACACGATACATAATCCAAAACGTCAACATGGCGTCGCAGGCACAGCTGAAGAAACAGCAAGGTGAGTAATCACACGACCAAGTATATCTCCCCATCCACTAATGCCTACCAGAGCTCCAAACAACATATCAAAACTACAAGAACACATTACAAACGATAGCTCAGAAAATTGGCGACATCGAGCAAGAGACGGAAGAGCACAAGTAAGTTCCCTTCACAGTCATCAATGATCTCCAGCCCGATTTCGGCATCTACACCGCTCTCTTTTCGTGTCAGCCTTGCTTGCATGCTTCCTTTCTTGCGGCTTCTCTACATCTGTTCACACCGCTTCGTTATGCACAAAGGGCCGAAGGATCAACACTAAATGACACAGGCTCGTACTAGAGACGCTGGAGCCATTACCTGGAGACCGCAAATGCTTCCGCATGATCAACGGCGTCTTGACTGAGCGTACGGTCAAGGAAGTAGTGCCCATCCTCAAGACCAACTCAGACGGCCTGAAGAATGCGCTAGAAGAGCTAGTCAAGCAGTACAAGACGAAGCAAGATGACATGGAGAAATGGAAGGTACGTGGTCGACTGTGCCGCGAGCATGCAGCACTTGATCTCGTGAGCACATCACTGACAGTCCTACAGAAGAAGAACAATGTGCAAGTCGTTCAACAACCCGAGTAGAAGGCTGAGTATAGTTCATGCAGTCAGCCTTTGATCGTGTGGGCACACGGCCGATGCTCGAGGCACGCGCTATCTTGCAGTGAAGCCCAACACATGTGGTGACATCCGTCCGACATGGTAGTGGCATGATATCAGGGAGCATGGAATCAGGACAGCTCATCCGCGAGGACTCTCCTCGAGCTATTACGACAACTTGCAGATAGCCCGTCACTAGAAGCCAGCCCGCCGCCGCAGAGCTACGCGCAAGAGTCATCAAGAGCGTCATAACGTCATTGAAAACCCCATCAAACACAATCAAAAAATCTGATACCCCACCTCGCTTCCCCACGTGCCCTTCTTTCACATGCATTTCGTTAGCAGCACCGCGCTGTCGGTATCTAGCCAGGGCTCCTGCACAATGTGTTGGCGGCAGGGCAGCGCGGATCGACGCCCTGCTTTTTTCCCGATGTTCTGGGCAAACAGCTTATAGGATACCGGCTCGGCTGCACAGGGCACACCGGTGAGTGGCCGGGCTGACGTCGTTGGGACGCGAAGTGAAGCTGGCGGGGATGGTGGTGGGAGGGACAACGCATGAGGGCGGGCTGCGGGTGGGATGAGTGTGGACAGCCCCTCACGCGGCAGATTGAACGCGTTGTGCTATGATGTATGAGGGTGTATTGATGTTGAATAAGCGTGCTTGATGTGATGTGATCGCTCATTAATTGTGGGGGAGGATGCTGGATGCGACCTAATGAGAGGGAGACATATCCGAGGGCATAAGGCGCCGAATCAGGCGGACCATGGCGAGCTGGACCTGCAGCTGCCAGCAGAGTTTGCGTGTAGATGGTCTCTAGAGTGTGGTTGGGCTGCAAGATCTTGTTTTAGCATAGGAATTGGTAGAGCATCTCAGCAACGTTCAGTGCAGTTCAGTGCAGTTCAGATGGTCGTGACGGGCACGTGGGCGACGGCAGTGAACGATGCGGCTAAACCCGTCGCCCCGCCGAAATTCGGGGTTTCGCAGTGATGTGCCATTCGCTCCTGCACTTAGGGCTGAAGCAACAACACCACGTCCCATTGGCCACACGCGTCATTGCTTTCACGACGAGCGCAACGGTTACAGACCCTGACTGACAACAACAGACACACCAGAAGACGCCTCAGCCAGCTCCAGCCAGAACAAGCATCAATTGCATCCTGCGCACCTTCGTCTGCTGGTCCACCCGCTGCATGCAGTTCCACCGCCATCCTAAAGCCCTGTGATAGCTCCACCACCGCGCGCACTTTGTGTACCACGCCGACGAATCCGACCGTGTTCGTGTTCGTGTCGCGCCTGCCTGCTTGCCCCGTCCGCGACTTCCTCCCCCTCGCCGTCGCGTGTCGTCACTGCCAGTTCACGCTCCACGCCCTCCCTTGCGCCTGCCCACTCGCTCCCACGCGCCTTCCCCCCAACTCACCGCACTGTACGTTAGCTGCGTCTCGTGCCCCGTCCAGTTGCATGCCGCTAACTGTGCCCCCGTCAGTCTCCCATCCCGTAGCACCAAGGTCGCATACACGGCCGCTAAGCCATCCCATCGTTCCTCAGTGACGTGGTTGCCAGCGAATTACTGCGCATCCCGCCAGCGCACCGCTAGCCATCATGTCGTCCACGCCCGAAAACCCGCAGGGGTCCATGCAGTCCAAGCAGAATACAAAGGCAGAGGACATGGTCGTGCAAGGCCAGTCGCCTGACGGAGACGAGCAACACATGGACAGAGAAGGCGCAGACGCACAAGCCCAGGGCCTCGGGTACGAATTCGAAGTCAAGGAGCAAGATCGATGGCTTCCAATCGCCAATGGTGCGTATACTCTCCCTTCCTTGCCCAGCAGAGCTGCCGTTGTTTGATTTGCGCGCCCGCTGCCCTCCCGCCTGCACGTCGACGCATGGCTCCTGGATGCCTACACTCCCTCCAATCGCGCGCCCGAGCCTGAGAAGCTGCGTCGATCCGCGACCTTCTAGCTATCGCCGCGAGCCACTCAGCGCTCCCGTGTACCTGAGCACCCGCAGCCCTGCAGAGCGCCATGTCGTCCTCTTCTCCACATTCCTCCACTTCCCCGCCACTATCCACCTCCCTCCACACAAACCCCAATGCTGCTGCCTCGGACGCTAACATACGCAACTTTGCTCCAGTCGCCCGCATCATGAAGATGGCCCTGCCCGACAACGCCAAGATTGCAAAGGAAGCAAAGGAATGCATGCAGGAGTGCGTGAGCGAGTTCATCTCGTTCATCACCAGCGAGGGTGAGTCTAGGTTTCAGTCGCATATGGGTCTCTACTGACTTGTACACTAGCCTCCGAAAAGTGCCAGCAGGAAAAGCGCAAGACGGTCAATGGCGAGGACATCCTCTTCGCCATGACCTCCCTCGGCTTCGAGAACTACTCGGAAGCCCTGAAGATTTACCTCTCCAGATACCGCGAAGTAAGTTTGACCCCCTCCTTGTCCCTGTTACCGTCTCATTTGTTGCCGTAACATTGGCCAAGACGTTTATCTGAACTATATATTGATTGGTGGGACAAGACCCTCCTCGCAAATCAGAACAAGCCTGCCGGGCAGTTCGGCGCAGCAGGTGCCGGCGGGCCCAACCCAGGCGGCCCAGCAAATTCGGAACAGCATGTATTGAGCGGCGACAGCGAAATGGCCGAGGACGGCAGCAACACTTTCGGATACACTGTGCACAACGGCAACGGCAACGGCGAGTACTAGGGCACGCCGAGCCCCGCCCCGGTTTTTGTCGTCGAGAGTACGAAGCTCGACTACGAAGCACATCAGATCGATGCGTATGCCGATATACGCGAATCACCGGGCAGCAAAGGACCAGCACATGGCAAATTGAGAGGAAGAGACGGCATCGAAATATAGCCGGAAAGGGTTCAGAATGTATGGACGAACAGACACAATCTTTCGGGGACTTCGTTTCACACTTGTATGGCAATATATTTTCCACATCGGGGGAAGCGATGGTGTATGGTACGGGTTGGACAGGACGGCGTATAATGGGCACATTCATTGGACGAGATACCTCTTTGAAACTCCTCAGCTGGATGGACGGGTTAGATTACTCTTTGCTCACGCATGGACCCACACTCGCTCATATCGAATGCAAAATAGTGGGCTTGGGAATATCTCTTTCTCGTGTAGTAACAACGTGTGCTATGGGTACGACGCCCCACTGGATGCCGCTTGTATACGTGCCATCAACTCCGCCAGCGGAATCTCATCCTCCTGCTCATCATAAAACTCAACATCTTCATCCACACCAAAGTCCTGCAGTCTCTCGCCCTCAGAATTGCGCCACCCCTCTTCCCCTTCTCCCTCTCCATAACTTTCCTTCTCCTCTTCCTCCCCATCACTCGCCTCCTCGCCATACTCGTACTCATCCTCATATCCATCCCTATCCACCCTCTCCTCCAACCTCTCGACAAACGGCTTCCTCCTCCTAACCACATCCTGCGCCTGCCTCGCCCTAAACGCCTTGATCGTATCCTCTCCCTCTCCCTCGCCCCCAAACACAAACGCCTCTCCCTCCGCTCCCCTCTCCACCTTCTTATAACTCCGATCCGGATCCGGCGGCGGCCACACGGTGCCCTCATCCTCGAACCCATTAACCTCAAACTGCAACGCGCTCTGCACGCTCGGACTGGGCGCGAGGGGGTTGAACCACATGAGCGGATTCGCACTGCCCATACCCTGGCAAATGTTGCGCAGGATACCGATATCGTATGGAAATTCCTGTTTCTTGATGCGAATCGCCTGGCCATCAGGCGTTTCGAGATACCCGCCGAAATGCCGCGCGCGCCGCAGGAGCGTGCGGTGTCGCTCGATTTCCCAGCCCTCGATGGTGGTCACGTTGATGGCGAGGACCCAGATGTTGCGCAGGGCGAGGATGCCGACGGCGAAGAGGGTGAGGCTGTTTGCGAGGGTGGTGGCGAAGAGGTGGAATAAGAGGAAGGGGGAGGGGCCGAGGGAGGCGGGGAGGTGCCGCGAGTTCCAGAGGTGCGAGAGACGGGTGAACAGGAGGAGTTGCAGGAATGAGAGCCCGACTGTGGTGGACACGAGGAAGCGCAGGAAGTGGGGGAAAGTGGTGTGCGAGACGCAGGAGGAGGTCCAGGGGCAGTGGTGGTCCATTTTGGGGATACATCTGGGGGTTGGGTTGTTAGGGGTTTTCGGTTTGGTAAAGCGCTTTACAGTTGGCAACGGAGGGAAGGGCTTCAACTCTCTTGGGCAAAAAACATTGCTTAATTTTCTCAGAGCTGAGAAGATGGGCTTCTTCATCTAGGAAGAAGACTGATCATGCATACCTTTTACACGCCTTACAGTGATGTGCCCTTGGCGGCTTCGGCGCCTCGCATTTCCGACACCATTTTCTCGTGATCTTTTTTTTCTTCTCCTCAGACAATCCCAGCTCTTGCTTCTCCGCCCAATCTTTCGGTATCCTGCCCGGATCGACAAATACGCTCTTCGTATACGTGATGAATATCAACACGAGTATGACGTTGGCGAAGATGAGTTCGTTCTTGGTTAGTGGCCTGGGCTCGAGCTGCGTGAGAAGCCATTGGGAGGGGTACCCAAGGAAGAAGATTAGGACGTAGACAGAGGGCACGGCGAGTTGGGAGAGCTCCATCTTCGGGTGAAGATGAGTGGACGTGGGAGCGTTGGTTGTTGTGAGACGTGAGGATTCGGAGTGGGTCGATGCGCGAGGACACGTGATTGGTTCACTCATAGAGTTCCTTGCACTCCACTCCCTCCCCATCCTCTCTCCGTCTCTTTCCATCACATCTGTCATCCCAGCCATGCCGTTTCCCACATGGCCTTTCTTCGCGCTCATCCCCACGTTCATTCTGATTCATCTGTTTGTCTCGCCGTATACGAAGGTTGAAGAGTCGTTCAATATCCAGGCGATACACGATATTTTGGTGCATGGGATTCCAACCGAAAATGCGGATCAGTTCCTCACGGCGAACTACGATCATGTTTCGTTCCCGGGGAGTGTGCCGAGGACGTTTGCTGGGGCGTTGGTGTTGAGTGGCTTGAGTAGGCCGTTTTTGTGGATGGTGGGCAGGATGGAGCAGGTGCAATTGTTGGGTATGTAATTGATAGTTACATCTCTTGGTGGACTTTAAGCTGATCAACCGCAGTCAGAGCAATCCTTGGCCTTATGAATGCTGCCGCGCTCATTGCATTTGGACGCAGCGTGCAAAAGGCTTTTGGTACCAGTGCGGGCATCTGGTATGCTCTATTCCAGGCGAGCCAGTTTCACGTCATTTACTATGCATCGCGAACACTGCCCAATATGTTCGCGTTGATTTTCAGTAAGTACTGCATAGAGCATCGCGAGTCAGATGCTAACATAGCCCAAGGCAATCTCGCTTTGCGCAGTACACTCATAGCGACAACTGCGCCATGGCACGCGGCGAAAGGATACCGCTTAAGCCTCTATCTACTCACAATCGCTGGTATAGTGTTTAGATCTGAGCTTGCCATTCTAGTCTACACCCTTACGATATACCTTTTCGCCACGAAAAGCGTCTCGATCACAAAGGTCATCATCCCTGCTGGTCTGGGTGGGCTCGTCATCGGCCTTCTCTGCACTGTACCTCTGGACTCCTTCATGTGGCAATCTTTCCCACTGTGGCCTGAGTGGGTTGCATTCTACTACAATACCATCCAGGGCCATTCGGCTGACTGGGGTGTTTCGCCCTGGCATTATTACTTCGTCAATGCCTTGCCACGCTTACTTCTCAACCCTGCGACTTACCTATTATGCATACCCGTCGCAGTAATGAACTTCGCCACTAGGCAGCGGAGTCTTGATCTGCTTGTCCCATCCTTGGCTTTCGTAGCGTTGTACAGCTTCCTACCACACAAAGAATGGCGCTTCATCATCTACGTTATACCAGCCTTCACTGGTGTAGCTGCAGCCGGAGCATCATGGATCTGGAACCGAAGAGCAAAATCAATCATATACGCCGTCCTAAGCCTGGCCCTAGTAGCATCAGTTCTTGTCTCGTTCGCAGCATCCACCGCCATCCTCGCACTATCCAGCCTCAACTACCCTGGCGGCACCGCACTGCACATTCTCCACCACAAATTCGAGCATCCCGCCCATCCCCATTTCAACGTCTACTTCGACAATCTCGCGTGTCAGACCGGTGTCACACGCTTCCTGGAGAGTCACAGGGGCGCCCAGACTATTCTAGATGTCTTGGAGTCGCAAGACATGCATTCCAAGCGCGTCTGGACGTACGAAAAGACCGAGGACCCTTCTGCCGTGCTTGATCCTATGTTCTGGGCCTCGTTTGATTACGTGCTCGCTGAACGGCCGGACAAGGTTATTGGTAGTTGGGCGGTTGCACATGTTGTATATGGGTTTGGTGGCGTGCGCATACTGAAACCTGGTCAAAAGAGCGGCTCGGCAGTCGAGGATGTGTATAAGGGAAACTATGCTGTTGTTGCACCGAAGCACTGGACGGATAAAATTGCGGAGAGGTGGAATACAGCGGAAAGAGTGCTGAGGCAGAAGGTGTTGCGGGGTTATTGGGTTGAGGTGAAGATGGAGCCTAAGATACACATCCTTGTCAATCAGTATGCTATTTAGAGAGGTTTTAGAACGTCAAATAAGACTTGGAGAATGTATCGATGCTGCATTTAAGCCTCCTCGATCATTGCGCTAGTCTTTTTCGAGCGTACTAAGAGACGTGGTCTACTCAGCCTCATCAGGATTGCTGCCTGATATGTACTCAGCTACCACCTTCAACATTCCTTTGATCCTAGAAGCGCACGTCCCGTACATAATTTAAGATGGGCAGCTCATCGAGTAAAAGACCGCAATTTGTAGATCCACGACATGTCTGCACGTCGCCCGGTAAGCTCGACTTCAGCGACTGCAAGACCTAGTACTAAACATAGAACACTCGACTAGACCAAGTGCGAAGTCAATTCCTCAAGGTCTTGTACCGATGGGACGAAACCCGCCTTGATGAGTTTCGAGCGTTGTTTTTATCAAGAGCATCCAAGGACAATGCTTCTGACCCAGCTTGTACTTCAGAACCGCCTCACACAAAACAGCACGATTCCTGACTTCATCAGATTGGCCAGAAGAAACAGTCATCGCTTTCCTAGTAGAACGTAACCCAGACACAGAGATAGCGGTGAGAAATGCCGGACCACTGCTCTACAAAATGATGCTCCACTACGGCTCATTTCCCTTCCCGGTTGAGGAGGGCAAGCGCATGACCTGCGACATCTTTCTCCGCAGCATCTATATGATGTCTCGCACTGCACTTAGCGTGCTGTGGAGAGACTACGGTTCGATTGGCGGGGTGCCACAGACTAGGCAAAGGAGACCAGTTGATGATGTTAGGCTTCTTTTTCAGAGTATGGCTAGTGAGAAAGACGAAGAAGATGATGCTGCGCGGACAGAAGATGACGACGAAGATCTTCTGGATGTTTTGTTCTTTGTGATGCATCGGGTGCAAGAAGAGAGAAGTCCGAAGTGCAGTAGCAAAAGAGAGAGCGTGAAGAAGGCTGCGAGTGCGCTGCCGAGTTCATGCTCGAGGAATTTGGGAGGGACGGTTGAGCGCGGAGACTTAAGAAGTATGTTGGAATTGATTATTGTGTTGCTGAATAGCAGGGTACTGGGCACGATGGCGCCTCCAAACAAAAACGTCATTGGCTGCATGATGAACGCTTTCATGCCCGCCTCATCCGAGCATCTCGGGAGCGAATGGGAAACGTTTCGCAATGTTGTTCTCGGATCTTGTGTGAGACGCCTCCATCAAGATCCCTTAAAGCATCTGCTGACAAGGAATAGCCAAACCTCATAGCCATCCTCTCAGCCTTCATCGAACGTTCATTTCAAATCACCAATTTCTTTTGGCTCCAGGCTGAGACGTTGCCGAAATCTCTGGTACGACTGCGCACTTGAGATGGCATGTGCCGATAACGCCACTGACTTACAATCTGACAGAATGAATTCCGCGGGATCGTCTCGCAATCGAACATCATCTCGGCAGATCAGCTTTCTCAGCTGCTTTTGGTCATTCCCGTAGGGCTTGTTCTGCATTTCAATAACATCACATATCGTGGAGAGTCTGTGGCGGAACATGCCAGTCAAATTGCAAGTCATCTGCAAACGCCCGGACGACTTCTCATAGGAAGATGTTTGGATGGAGCTAGTGCACACGATCCACAGATCATATGCGCATACACTGGCTTTCCAGACATGTATGATGGCTACTTGTCTAGTACCGTAGCTCCGCGAAGTGGAAGCATGGTTTTCAGCCTCACTCCCACGCACGAGATGTATGCGGCGGAAAAACAAGAAATACAACTCAACATCGGTGTCAAAGCGGATCCCAACGAGGTGTCGCAAGATGAACAAGCAGGAATCATGGAGATCCCGGACGGGAAGTGCCTGCTTGAGGTGGAGATTGGGTCTCTGTCACTAGAGCGCCTGATCGGAGCTTTTGAGCTCTGGACGATGTAAACGGTTCCTAGGATAGAATTGGGCAAGGCTGCCTCAGCCCCTCAACCTGCAGCGCATGATCGGAGTACGGAATGTGTCGTCACCTTGAGGCAGCCTTTCCACGCTGGACTGAGCATGAAGGTAGGATTGCGACAGATGTTAAAGCACACAGCTTCTTCCCATGGCACTTCATTTATTTGCATCAAGGTGTGAGTGCGAGCTGTGTATGCGAAAATGTACTATATGGCGTGACTTGAGGACTTCGGAGTTCGTTGTGTCAATTATTCTGAGGTGTTATAGGTGGCGAAACATTATTTGGTGATAGAAAGAAGCCGAGCGACAGAAGGTTGATGCCGTGGAGTGGTGGGGGTCGGCTCGTTCGGCCATGTTTCAGGCACGTGGAGCATTAACCCAGTTTGACTCCAGCCCGCAAGCGCCGACTCCTTATTGGGCCGTAAACATCTCAAAATGGAAAAGCCACAGGCCAGAAAGCTTATGTATCGCGTAACAAACCCGTCTACCGCGTTTTAGTAACGCTCCTTGCAATCAGCATCGTCGAATCATCTCATCGTCAACCACATCGCGTTTCAACGTTGCGGCAACGGTCAACCACACGATGACCTGTCACATCCTCAGGCACATACAGCATTAGGCGACGGACTGTAGAGTCTCGACCCTGTCAGTTCAGGATGTGGTGGGTTTTGGTGCTATTTTCTGTTTCAAGCGCCACCGTTGCCGCCCTGGGAAGCCATCCGTTCCAATGTCCTTGAAACATTCCACATCTAGTCAAACCTCGCGTACTGTGCTACCTACCCTGTCCCGCGGCTCTAAGACCTATCCCCTAGGACATGTATGGCTGCTGCGCGTTCCCCTCGATCTCGGCCGGAGATAAACCTGAGTCGTTGTTCTTGATCGCCCCCGTCGTTAAAACGCGAGGCTTAACGGGATGGGTGTCAATCACCCGCTCGTTCTAGGCAGGCTGGCGAATCGAGGGACAGGGTCCTTGTAACCTGAAGTCCGATGGTAGTGTATATATGCAGGTCGTTCCCGTTAGGCCTACAAGCTACAACTCAATTCACTTCTGCAGTCCTAGCATCGTCTTCTATCTTCGCTTCTTGTTTGTCGATTCTTCAGCGCGGCTAGTACGCAGCATCTCTTCCAATTCCCTTCGATTCGTGTCTTGAAGATGCGTTCCTCTTCCCTCATTTCGGCTGCTGCCTTTTTCAAACTCAGCACAGCTGCCTATACCCTGGAGGATGACTACACGACGGACTTTTACAGCAAGTTCAACTTCTTCACTGGTCCGGATCCTACCAACGGTTGGTTACATCTCTCTGGAAGTTTGCATGACGCTAATATGGCTAGGCTTCGTGAAGTATGTCGACGAAGCTACCGCGAAGTCGACAAACCTCATCAACGCGACCGCCAAGGGAGCGAATTTTGGTGTCGATGTTACAAACAAGACACCAGAGGGTCGACCCAGTATCCGCCTAGAGAGCAAGAAGAAGTATGATACCGGGCTCATCGTTCTGGATGTCACACATATGCCCTTCGGCTGTGGTACCTGGCCAGCGTAAGCAAAGCAATCAAAAGCATATCCCACAGAAACTAATCAATTCTAGATTCTGGACTTTTGGTCCAAACTGGCCAACGGGCGGCGAAATTGATATCCTTGAGGGTGTCAATGAGGCCACGCACAACGGTATGACATTGCATACGGGCCCGGGCTGCTCGGTCGGACAGGACGTTTCCCAATTCTCGGGCTCAGTTGTCACACCAAACTGTGACGTCGCCGCCGTGGGTCAGGGAAAGAATGTAGGATGCTCCATCAAGGACCCATCCCCACAGAGCTACGGCGCTGGTCTCAACGAGGCCGGTGGCGCAATCTTCGCAACGGAGTGGAACTCAGCAGGCATCAGTGTATGGCGCTTCGAGCGCGGCTCCGCCCCTGCGGATGTGCTTGGTGACGCCCCCGACCCAACCAAGTGGGGAAAGCCAAATGCCAAGTTCGCCGGTGCCTGCAACATTGATCAAATGTTCGCAGAGCAGCAGATCATCATCGACACGACCTTCTGCGGAGATTGGGCTGGAGCGGAGACCGTCTGGTCAAACGCCACGACCGGCTCGTGCGCATCCAAAGCTCCAACCTGCAAGGACTGGGTCCGAGACAACCCGCAGGCATTCACTGACGCATACTGGGAGATCGCCGCTTTGAAGGTTTACCAGAACGATGGAGCTACTACCCCTGTATCTCCTTCTGGCTCTGCGCTTCCCTCCGTCCCTGTGGCTCCTTCTGGTACTGTTCCCTCTGTCACTCCAGTCGTACCAACGCCCAGCCCTGCTACGCCTGAAGTACCTCCCCAGAACCCTGTTACCCCAGTCGTACCAACACCCAGCCCCGCTGCGCCTGAAGTTCCTCCTCAGAGCCCTGTTGTACCTGTAGTACCAACGCCTAGCCCTGCTGCACCCGAAGTCCCGCCCCAGAGCCCAGTCGTTGCTCCGATCAATGCGGCACCCTCTCCCGCACCGAATGGCGAAAATGGCATGCCAGGCTGGAACTGGCCACAGGCTGGCAAGCGTCGTGGTGCCCCAACTCTTGGATCAACCCCCGGAGCCACCTCTACTTCAGGCTCGTACCCGGCAGGACCAACAGCTGCTCGCATGGCGAGGCGGCAGCAGGCTGGGAAGCGTGATGCTTCATCTTTCGGAGCCACCTCTACTTCAGGCTCGTACCCGGCAGGACCAACAGCTGCCCGCATGGCGAGGCGGCAGCAGGCTGGCAAGCGTGATGCTTCATCTCTTGGAGCCACCTCTACTTCAGGCTCATACCCTGCAGGACCAACAGCTGCTCGCATGGCGAGACACATCATGGATCACAGGCGCAGGGTGGCACAGCACCGCGCTCGCATGTGATTTGGCATCGAATGAGGTGATGGGACTTCACGGACCTCTTCTGCTTGAGGGGCCATGGTTTGGATTCCACGCTTGGATGTGATATGGCGTCAAATGATGATGACGTGACTCGACGGTGCTTTTGCACTGGAAAGGTCTTTGGTTGGGTTGTATGTTGATTTCATACATACCCCTTCTATCTGTATATATTTCCTTCTTCTTTTGTGGATATTGGCGTTAGTATAGAGGATAGACACGGCTTCACGTATGTCGAATGCAATCGCTCGGCTACAACTTCGCTCTATGCTCATGGTGATACTTTCCTGTTCCAGCTTTTTCAGCTTACCATTCACACTCTTGTTCCCGTATGATCTGTGGAGCTTGGGATTGTGCCGCGTGCTAGCAGTCGTGAAATATATTCATATCCGCCTCGCAGAACCTATCTGCGACGATCTCGTACACGATGAGATGGCTAGCTTTTGGTGGATCATACGTTGGCGTCTGTCAATCTAAGTGCCGTCAGGACTTTTCTTTCCGATCAAACCTCCTTTCCGCAGTCCAAAGAAGCTTAAAGGGATAACAAGTACACATCCCGCAAAAATTGTCCAGAAGGCTGCTCTAAAGCCCACCATAAGCCAGGCCTCGTGTGGAGTGACATCTGACTGCTGTGAGACGGACCTGGCAATAACAGCGATTATGGTCAAACCAACAGAGTTGCCAAACTGACAGATTTCGCTGAAGACTCCACCAGCAAGCGATTGAACGTCGGACGGAAATGCGTCGGAGATTACGAGGTTCGAGACTGTAAACAGCGCTACCGTCGTCCGTCAGCAAAGTGAAAGGGAACACGCTGTTTCGGTAGCACTGACTGTCTGGATTGATGGGTGATAGAATCAGGGCCCAGAATGGTGCGAACCAGTAGTTGGCGTCAATAGGCATCGTGGCCATCAGAGCAGGAGCCGCCGCCGTCACTATGGCGGAGATCACGGCGAGCTTCTGAACGTGGACCCTCGATACAAGGTAACCTGTTAATACATTGATGAATACGCCTGAACACACATGGGGAATGAACCGGAGAGAGCTTTGAAGCGCTGGAACTCGCTGTATCTGTTGAAAGCTGCACGACGCTTGTCAGCTATCTTGGGGTGCTTGGCGTTGATTTGGGCGAGTAAGCTTACTATAGTGTAGCCAAGTATTGTATGCAATTCATGGCAGCCCAGCTGAGAAACACACAAGCACAGATGGACGAGAAGACAGCGTTACGCCAGAGTCTGTTCGGAATAAGAGCTGGTCGATTGTTTCGCGTCTGATGGCTCATCCAGAAGGGGAAAATGATGATTAGGGATACAGACAGCAGGAGTAATACGATAGCCTGAGGGTTCCGGATGCTTAAGCCGGAGGTGATTGCAGCCAGTATGTATAGTAGTAGTCCCAGGCCCGCGCTTATGATCACCGCCCCAATCCAATCAATCTCGCGGGCCAGTCGACTGGCGCGGGAAGCAGAATGGTGGCCGATGTGAACGTTTGGTAACAACCACACGGCCGAAGTTGATATCAGAAAGTTGAGTATAGCGGTGATGTAATAAGCCCATCTCCAGCCGATGGTGTCAGTGAAGACACCACCAAGAACGAGACCAAGAGCGAAGCCTAACGGAGATCCAATGCCAACAATGGCGAAAGCGACATTGCGCCAGCTCCCCTTGGGAAAGGTATTGGTGATGAGACTCACGGTGGTGGGGAGACTCATGGCAATTGATGCTCCCTGGAGCATGCGGAACATGATGATTTGGATGCCAGAGCGAGAAAAACCGACCGCCAGGGTGAACACAATGTACAAATAAGTACCAGCCAGCCACATAAGTTTGGTGCCAATTATATCTGCGACAGCACCGAAAATCAGTAGCAAACACCCTGCGGAGAGATTGTAGACTGCGACTGGCCAGAGGATAAGGGCCTCGGATAGGTGGACATCAAGGGCCACGCGCGGGAGAGCAGCCACGAGAATACCAGTGCCGAAAGTGTTGATCAGGTATAAACTTGATAAGATCGTAATAATGGAAGCTTTTCGCGCCGTTGAAAACTGTTTGGCGGCCTGTATAATATTTTCGGCATGGAGTCCCTCGGCCTCTTCGTCGTCGTTTGGCTCAGGCGCATCTGCTGCTTGCTTTTCGTTGCATCGTTCTGGCTGCTTTTCCAATTCACCATTCATCTCTGAGGGTATGTTTTTTACTGTCCGGTTCAAAGCAACTTCATACAGCGATTCGGGCCTGGAACGCATGAATACCGTGGAGAATAGAATGCAATGAGCGTGTGTTGTTCAGAAATTGGTGTTTGGGTTGTAGAAATACTTTGACTATGCGATGATCACGGATGTTTTCTGTCCTTGCCATGAGTATGTCATTAGAGAGGGGAAATAGGTCGCAGCAGTAATACCCAGCGGCAAGTAGGTAATACTGTAACTGCAGTGACATGACGATGCAATGTTACGGCGTAGGTGCTCTGTCTTTGTCTTAGAAGGGATTAGGCCAACGTAAACGGTTCCGAGGGAGCGTTTGGCGTTCTAGAGGTTACATCCCTGCATACCCGGTGATAGGCATATGACGCAGGCGCTTACAGTCAATCACGCATCAATAGGCACTCTTCTCTCCTCTTAGTCGCTTGGCACTATATTGGATGCAGGGGTCTATATGTAAGGGGTGTGGAGTTGTGAATCGCACATCATCCTGGTCATCTGAAGTTTCCGAGGACACTCCTGCTTCTGTCCAGACCTTGATTTGTCCTTGTCTTAATTGCTATCGTCCTTTGCATGCCAGAGGTTGCCAATCACTTCATCAGAATCACTCCTCTTTTGATCACCCTTTGCGTGCCAGAGGTTGCCAACGACGTCATCAATGTCTCGCGATCTCGCTAATACACTCATTAGACGTGATCCAGAGACCAATATTGCGTCAAATGCACTCACTCTTTATTAGCGGTGCGGCTAGGGCGCTCGCTACCAATGCGGAAATAACCAAAGAGAGCTTCATGTTACACAAAGCTAACGTGCGAAGACAAGACTCAATTGTCTGCGAAGATAATAATGATTGCTTTTGTAGGTTGTGCGAAAAAAATTGTTGTTCGGTCCTTTGACGAGTCTAGGTGAGCGCGATGAGGCACATATATATATGTATATATGTGCCGTTGGAACAGCTCCCAAATGATTGCCAGACGACTAGCTCTTTATCTAATGCGCTTGCCAAGATGTCATGCTTTCGAGGACCAATTTCATACCACACGAATAATTTTCCGGGGTTAACATGAGGGGTCTGACCAATAACAGAGAGAGTACCTACAGCAAGGCAGGGTCTCGAACTTCCCGAGACCAAAGCGATGAAGAATAAAGCGGAAATACGTGATGCAGTGATTTTCCTGTTCATACAGATTCAGAAGATTGCGGTCACTTTGCATTGTCAATACTTCGTTGCATTGCATATGCTGATTTGCGGCAAGGTTTGTCAAGGTGTATGCCAAGTTCTGTCGGGGCACATGCCAATTGTGGTGCCTAAGACGATTATCGCAAAGTTGGCACCACTTTTTTATCGCATGTTGTCGAGCAGGATCAAGTTTTCGGACGTTCTTAATTCCGATGACCGCAACATCTCACCATATGGTATCTAGGTAGTAGGGCATGTCATTTCCAATGTTTCGCATTTACCTCCTGGTTATGCTCACCGTCCGATTCAGGCCCTCGGTATTGTTGCGAGAAGACCTCATTAGGTACCTGAGCTCACTGTGATGATGATAAGACTCGATCTGACAAGGCTGAATCTAGTTTTAAGAAGTACTGACCTCGTATATGCGCTAGAGACTTGGTACTTTGTGACTTACCTTGGTATGCGTCCGGACCTTGGCAAACTGCAGCTAAAGTCTCGTCCCGTAATCCCTGCAGGCTCTTTCCCACATTGGTATGACTACAGCGAAGATACATAACTGAACCCATAAAAGTAATATGTTCTGTGGATGTCTGTTAGCGGGTTCCCTGGTAAACAAGCAGTGCTAAGCTAGCCTTCTCTGGAACAAAGACTACATATGGCAGTTGCTTCTGAATTATCCTCCCTTACCATCACTCTCTCTTCACAATGTTTCCCAGAGTCTCACGTGAACATCTGACAGGAGATGTAGCGCATGAGGAAGCTCCATTTCTCGTGGATCATGAAAAGAGGTCGGAAATGTCTGCAGGAGATGCACGAGCTCGACCATCATTAGCTGGAAGGCATCGTCTTTCTTCTTTTAACATTTTGCTCCTTATTCTGCTGTTCCTCTCCAATGGTGCTTGGTGGGCTAGCTTGAACCATAGGGGTGCGCAAGAACCAATCACTGCTTGTGTTCGGCCCCAGCTTGTATGGTGTACGAAAACCCGATGAGAAGGCCTATACTCGCGATTTCAGGAGACAGATTCACTGACACTGACGCAGCACCGGGCACGGCGGCTATTGAATACGACAGGGTAGTTTTAAACAGGTCAATTGAATCAGAGAACGTATTCGCTGGCAAGCGCACTAAGGCTATGGACGAAGCTTGGGCTGAACTCATCAAGCGTGAGTACTTTTATTGTAGAATTTACACTTGAGCTTTCGCTTACAAACTTTCACAGCAATGGCAATAAAGATATCGAAAAAAGAGATTGAGAGACTAGGAGAGACTTCTATTTCTTTCAGGGACGGGTCAGGCTATCTGGCTGAAATGTCCGTTTTCCATGAGCTCCACTGTGTGGTACGAATTTCTCCATTCTGATTGACTAACAGTATAACCGAAAAGCTTACATGGTAAAAGAAACATCTTCGCGAACACCTGACTATGGATTTTCGTAACATGACGGAATTCGAGTTGGATTTTGAAAGAGGACACGTAGGTATGACAGTCCATGCATGCTTTCTCCGCGAGACATTCAGGAACTGACAGACTGACCGATTGGCTAGACCACTGCTTGGAGTATTTCCGGGAGGCAGCTATGTGCAGGGGAGATCCGACACTGGCCTTCTTCACGTGGGATGCCGGAATACCGAAATCGAAAAGGGACACTACGAACGAATGTGTGAAATGGGACAAATTGCGTACTTTTGCCGAGTCTCGTATGGTCGATGTGTCTGATTACAGCATCTTGAATCAGGATGGATAAAATGGACTTTAATCGTCTCGTGTTTGAGTGCAGATGCACGAACTTGTTCTTTTATCGACGACTCTGAGTGGAACTTCAAGGCTGGGTATATAATCGACCGATTAAGAAAGAAACACTTTATTTCTAATACATTACTACGGACGTACACAAACGTCCTCCGGTGATTCGTTTTTAGTACTTTTTTGGCTGTTTAGGCTGCACTTCGTTCAGGATAAGCTTTTTGTATCCTTCGACTGCACTCTCCAGTTCCCCCAGGGTGATGGACTCATCAGCAGTGTGGGCTTTTAGGATATCTCCAGGTCCGTAAAGATATCGCGTGTGATTTCCCAGCAGTCTTGGAATATCTGTACCAAATGCCATGACATCGGTCTCAAAACCTGGCGAGTGGCCGTCAGCACTTTTTTATTACAAGGGCCTTTCTGCTTGAGCGATAGCAAATACGTACCAGGCACATCACATTTCGTATCGACAACGCCGAATCCAAAGGGGCACTCAAGCGTGAAAGCGTCTGGATCAACACTCTCGAGGATTTCCTGTAGCCGTTCCCTCACGATGTTGTGGCCGTTTTCTTGAGGTCCTAATGCGACGCGGATTGCGAGCGATGCGTTTGCTGCATCGGGAATGACGTTGGGGGCGACGCCGCCGCCCATGACACCAACATTGATAGTAGTATTACCATAGCGCTCGCTATTACCCAGGTCAGAGTCGATGGCCTTTACAAGAGCACGCATGAGCACCTCGTTGGCGCTCTTCCCAGATTCAGGGTAACCGCTATGACCAGACGTGCCCTTTGCGATGATGTTGCAGGCCATGCCTCCCTTATGGCCACAGGCCAAGGTGCTGTTGGTAGGCTCGCCGAAGATGGCGGCACTGGGCTGAGCGCCGCGCTTAGTTATGGCGTCGTTGAAGTGAATCATGCCATCTCCATTTGTTTCCTCGCCGACAACAAAGGCAAGCATCACATCGTCGCCGGTAATGGAGCCGGCAGCCATGAGCTCCAGCACTGCCAGCGTCTGCGCGGCCACGGAGCCCTTTGCATCAGAGGTACCGCGACCAGCGATGACCGTATCGGCTGTCGGCGGGTCAGGTCCCGAGCGCGAATAGGGGAGATAAGGCGGGACAACGTCCATATGCGTCGTCACAACAATGCGCGACCGGTTAGAGCGGCGCGGCTCTGGCCATGCGAGCACGTTGAACCGATCCGATGTCGGTAGGAACTGCCTTTCTGTGGCGAATCCCTGCTCTGCGAGGTATTCAATCAGGAAATTGCCTACGGCAGCCTCTGTCCCGGATATTGAGGGGATCTCGACGATGGATTGGTGGAGAGAAAGTAGCTTGGCGCGATACGTAGGGGCATCCTGTGCGCCCACCACGACTACCCCGAGGCTGCTGGAGAGAAGTAACGCCGAAATGTTCGCGTGCTTCATGATGTGTGTACGAGTGGATAGAACAAGGCGATTCCGGGCTTCTGGGTACCATAGATAATGAATGTCTCACCGGTCCAAGCGTTATAATGAGACCCCAAGGAATTGGCTAGGTAACATTAATTTCGATCCTGATGCAGCCAAGCAGCAACTCCAGCCTCATTCATCAACAAATCCTCTTCATCTCTGCGCTTGTTGCTGAGTTGCCCCACACGTTGCTTGAGGCGCACGGCTGCGGCACGGCTCGACACTACCAGGATGTCGGATAATCCCATCCACCTTCCGGAAACGTTTAAAAGATGCTTATTATAACACCGCCAAGCAACATGCATGTCGAAATGTAGGCTGCAAGCAGGTAAGAGATTCCCTGGAAGGGCGAAATGCCGCGAAGGATCATTCGGAGACCGACAGCTGCATGTACTGGCCCTTCCAAGGTTTTCGTCCAGAGCACCCATCTCCTAGTCAGCTTTGACTCAGCTGATACGCATAATGGGTTGTGCCGGGTAACATGAAGTAGGTTGCTAGTGTCCGAAAGGTCTCCCAGCGACCTGTAAAACGAGCTATAGCGTATTTGAGAACTGCTAGATTAGTTGCGAGCTTCGTCCCGACGCTTTCGCCATGGCGACTGTTTACTTCGAGACAGGCAAACACCTCACAGCCGCAAGCATTTCGCTTATGGTGGTGGACATCATCGCTGTCGCGTTCAAATTTTGGGTGCGCCTCCGCTTAAAGCAGCCTCTTATGGCGGACGATTGGCTCTTGGTGCCTGCAACGGTGCGTAGCCATACTCCTCCATTCATACCATCGTATCAGCATTGTGGACGGTCGTGGCGGCCTTGAGCAGAAACTGACAACCTCCAGGTCCTATCCATAGGGCTTGGCGCTATGCTTACTTATGGCGTTTCTCAAGGTGCCTTGGGAGGATCGATTGACATTCCTCCTGGGGGTGACGGTCGCGCCGAATTAGAAATGGCCCGGTTAACACTTGGAAGAAAGGTATGTTTGGCAAGACTTGGTGAGAAACTCTCAGTTGACTTTAGCTGACACTAGACGTGTGCTCTGAGCAGATTCAATTTCCTTTTCTCCTCCTTCACCCACTCGCTGTGGGGTTGGTCCGATGCAGTTTCCTCTTTCTCTACTTGCGCATTTTCTCCGTCAACAGGCGTCGCATGCTTATCGCCGCGTCCATCTGCATCGTCTCTGCGTGGTCGGTGTCGTTCTTCTTCGCTGAGTTGTTCCAGTGTGGCATCAACTTCAAGTCCAACTGGGGCTCAGTGAAGCTTTTCGCAGCCCACTGCCCTGACTCGTTGTGGATATTGTTTGTTGGCTTTCTTACTAGCGCCATCCTCGATGTTTACATCCTCGTCCTGCCTATGCCATTTGTACGTCATAAATCTTCTAATATCCACTCCCAAACGCGAAGTTAACCGTTCCTGCGTTCGTAGATTTGGATGTTGAAATTGGGCATCGGGAAGAAGATTGGTGTAACGATCATTTTACTTATAGGATCAGCGTAAGTGGATTCTTCCGGGCCCTATGCAGACTTGACGGTTGCTGATGGGTGTAACAATTCAGCACGGTTGTGGCCTCTGTGCTTCGGCTCTCCTTCCTGGGACCTCGTGTTTTCTCAGCGAAGCAAGGCCCGCCCTTGACTTTTGAACAGAGATCCGGTTAGTCATCTATGAAAACTTATAGGCTGCCTTACATATCGGTCTAACAGAAATAACAGCTAGTTTGTCGTCGACGTTGTACTGGGGTATGATAGAACTCGGCGTGGGTATATTCGTAGCCTGTATTCCAACGGTACAAAAGTTCTGTCGCCAGCAAGACAGACAAGGACTACTATCTCATATCGGTATGGCTGGGGCGTCGTCATCTTCGTCACGAACAGTGGGGTCCAAAGACACGAACAAGCCGCGCATCTGCGTAGATCATACGGTGAACATCGCATACGGGGACCTGGACGCCGACAGAAAGCCCAAGCTATCTCGGTTGGAGAGTGTCTGGGCGCGACATGGTACAAGGAGCGAGTGCAATGCGGCCTACATTGAAATGCAGCCAGGGCGGTCAAGGTGGTTAGACCGGACTAAGACACGGCCTGCGTATTGATTTTTGTAAAATCATAAACGGATTTGGTGTAGACATCCACTTCATAATGAATGAACCTTATTGCCCCAGTTACTTGAAAGGTCTCGAGGTCGTAATAAAAGTCGCAGGAGCGCAAGGGCTGATTAGTCAGACCAAAGCGACGACCCCATTTCGTGAAGACGTTCAGGCCACGTCCCTTCATACCCTGCCTATTCCGCCATGGATGTCGATAAGTGCGTCGCATTCCATAAAAAGATCCTTCAAGTAAGGCTGGTTGAGATCAAGCAAAGCTCTTGAAGACTTCGTGAGGGTCTGTATGACTTTATTTATTAGCTTTAACGAAGGAGCAGAGGCGATTCGAAGGTCTCTTTCACTCGATCTCGCAACATTCATCGAACGTGCATACATAGCAAATAACAGAAATTCGTTCTTCTACTATGTCAGTAGTCTCTGAATACCATATAGGTTCTTCAAAGAAGCCGAGGTTTTCAATGAGGCGTATTCTGAAGACGACCACACGCGATACATAGCACTGTATTCCACGAATGACTTCGAATCTCATCCGGTTGGACTTATGTAAGATCTCCGGTTTTCTTTAATGTTCTGAAACGAGCATCCAGATCAGATTGAGACCCTTACGACGTCCAATGCTCGCAGATTTGACCAAAAGCATCATACCGCGATTATCTGTGTAGATGTGGACGATATCGATACTGTCTGCAATGGCTTTATCGTGTGGTATCCTCCCAAAAGAGTGTTAGAAGCATGGTTGGACATGATCGAGAAAGGAAAGGCTATCGTGACCACCAATAGCGGTGACTCAGAAGATCCGTGGATGCTTATCTCTTACGGTGACACACTTTTGCAGGATACCATCGATGTGTTCAATCTCCTTGTCGACGAGATGGAAAGGCGGCTACCTGGATATGAAAACAACATATCAGATACTACATCTCCATTGATCGAAGAAGCGGCATTGGGCGTGGCCAACCTACGGCAGGGCTTTTTACATCACTTCGCTCGAAAAGCGAATAGACCAAGTTTCCGATACATCGTCCCAGGCCGTGAGATCCTGACTGCTTTTTTCGAGCATCAGCGAGCATCCATTCGAACCCCACAAGCATATTCTGAGGCCGTCCCTGGAGATAACTGCTTAAATTTTCCCGCCGGGCATAAAATCACGCCAGAACAACTTTATAGCTGGCAAGCGGTTCTTGGAAGTGAAGGGTCGGATTGTGCTTGGCCTTTCTGGGGCAAGGAATACTATTGTGTTGGCGCGCCGGACAAGTCAGCTACCACAACAACCACACCGACTCCCACACCTGCAGTCACGCCTCCACCAGTCCAGTCAGACATAGATGCGCATTGCAAGAAATTTACTGAAGCCGTTCATGGGGATCTTTGCTTGAGTTTCGCTGAGGCGAATGATATCACGGCCGCTAAACTCTACGCCTGGAACCTGGTTATAGGCGCAGATAGTGCAGGTTGTGGTACCAACTTCTAGGGAAGCGAGTACTATTGTGTCGGTGTAGCTGGTAATTAGGTAACTTGATTCATTATCATTGCGGCTGAGTATTGCCTTGGCGTTATAAGGAGGGCGGAGGGACACTATGTGGGGAGCAAAAGAATTCTATCGATTGCAAGAACGTACGCTGGGCATGTTAGATCTATAACTGATCTCTCTTACCATCACGAACATTGTGGTTGAACAGATGCCGATATTCACACGCCCGGAAGGGTCTGAGCCTTTATCAACTTGCCAAAACTGTAATTGCAGACAATGTACACATAGCCAGCAGGTACATGAGTTGCGTGCTAGTAGCGCGAGGAATAACGGGTACAGAGAGAGTGGGAAGAGAAATCATGAACCTCCCAGGTAGGCGCGTGATGAGGATCACATGACAAACTAGTTTTGTTCAATCGTCCGGATATGCATGGATTAGCACGCATGTGCGGATTTGGTTGGTTGATCTATGTGTACCGGTATTCAGGCAGAACTTTATTTCCGCGTGAGACACTCGCTGCGCCTCGTCTCCTGTGACTTTGCTTTCATAACCGCCAACATCGCATTCACATCACTACTGGAGCTTGCAACTTGAGATGCTCGATGATCTAACACTATGGGGAAAAAGAGAGGATCTAAGCAACAGGAGAACTCCTGGAGCAGGCGGCTTCTCGACCCAATTGGCAACTGGCTCACCAATCGCGCGATATCGTGCAACGAGAATAACTTGCGGAAAACACGACAATATCTCAACGAAATCGACCCAGATTCTTGCCTGATCCTTCTCACCAAAGTACTCCGTCAGCTGCTGGATGGGACCAAAGATGTGGAGAGTATCTTCAAGTCCAATGCAACCACCGATCGCAGCGGAAAATGCGGGTGGGAAAGGGACAATTTTGCCGGATTTCTTCAAAGCAGACTGCCAGGGAACGAGGCAGTGACTGCCTCTGTACCAATACTCTGGTGCGTATTCTGTACCGCGGCAGCCTTCCCTTTTTCACTACAGTCAAACAACCCAGAAGTCGATATAGATGACTTCAGAAGGGCATTCCTCTTTGTTGTTACACGTGGGTAAGAGCTTCCAGGAGCCAGGTCAGATGGTAGCACCTCGGATTGGAAAGATAGTAGGGAGTCCTATGCCGAGAAGGTACCGCAACTCCCCCGAATCATCTTTAGGAGCTCAAGTATCCCTTGGGTGAGATCAGCGACGCCGCCATCTTGGAATTCTTATGAATCGCTGCATCTCCAGGATATCAAAGAAACAATCTCATTCACACAACCTATCATAACTCAGGAGTTTTCCATCGAACCGCTCAGGGAGGCCGATGAAGAGTGGGAGGCCGCTGCACGTCGCGTTCAACTCACTGGTTATAAACAGTCGGGATTAAGCGAGTCACCTATTGCCATAAGTAAAGCTCATTTCGAGAGATTAGTCCAGCTTCTCTTCCTACAGCGTGGAGAAGATAGATGCTGGAGAGTTGGGCATAACTTTTATTCCCCCCATCGCTCTGGGGACATTGTGTACTATGACCTCAGCTCGGACACGGATGAGATATCACGGGCTGCTAAGCTCGCGCCTGCCTTCACAGCTTATCAGTTTCCGAGTGGCAAGGACTGTATCATATTAGAGCAGTTCTAAGTGTGTTGCACAGAGCGCGTAAGCATTATTTAAGCTTTCGTATATTGATATAACCTAATTGTCATCTTCTTAGCCTTATCCCTCTTCGCGTTCTTCCAGCTCTAGGCAAACTTGTTGGGTAGCTAGCTTACCTATCCTGCTATCATACTTATTACCTACGTTAGAAACTTTATAAAAACGTCACATGCTTAAAGTGCTACAGAGGTATAATTGCTTTCTGTTTTATTTTTCCCACTAATACCGGCCGAGCTTAAACTCTAAGTACTAGACCTAGAGAACTCCATACATCGATAGAAGCTAACAGATCTGATCCATCGCAGTGTATATAGATTTGTTCTTCTATTTAGGAGGAGCCTATAGATTTATCTCTGTTAGTAAATTTTCTAGAGTAGTAGCTTATAGAATGTAGAAGAGAGATTACTTACGTTCTATTATTAAATCTTTACTAGCTACCTTTCTATTATCTATATTAAAGTAGACTCTAAGATGTTAAATTAATATTACTTACGTGCTATTATTTAATATTAATTAGCAAATTTTCTAGATTAATTATATAAACAGGATATTACTTATAGGCTATAATTAAATCTCTATTAGTAGCTTATCTAGAGTAGTAGCCTCTAGGCTAAGAAGTAGATATTACTTACGTTCTATTATTATTAATTCTCTATTAATAAATTTTCTAGAAGAGTATATTAAGCTATTAAAAGAGATTTTACTTACAGGCTATAGTTAAAACTCTTTTAGTAATATTTCTAGAGCAGTTTATAAACTATAAGTAGATATATTATTGTAGCAGGTTGTGCTTAATGCAAAAGTAGTTAATTAAGTTATTAACCTCTAAACTGCTTTCTTCTGCCTTTATACTTTGCCTAATATTCTATTAAGCTTAGGCTCTGCGCTAACGCACGTTGCTCTACTATATACCTCCTCTACTTATAAGAGCTTAGCTCTCTTAAGCTTATTTCTATAGTTTACTATTTGCTTCTATATTCCTATAAGCTTATTGCTAGCACAGAACTAGGCCTAATAAACTCTAACTTATTAAACCTAATATAGCAGATTACTATTCTTCTATAATCTTCTCTTTTGCTTTCGCGTTCCTGCGAGCCTAATATTAGTATAAGACTAGACTTAATAAACTCTAACCTATTAAACCTAATATAGCAGATTACTATCTCTAAGTTTAATTGCTAAGATAACGCAGACTACGCTCTGCCTAATGCCTCTTTCTTTATAATAATAGTAAACTCTCTATAAGCCTCTCTAATAGTTAATAGAGCCTATAGAGTAGATCTAAGAATAAGGAACTTAAGCTGCCTTTCTAATTAGAGCAAGAATTCTTCTAGCTTCTACTAGGTGCACCTAAGTAGAACTTAGATTAATTTATATAAAGAACTTATATATATAATAGCATAAGCCTTTCTAGTTATTTTATAAGTTCTTGCTAATGCCTCTATTCTCTCTGTATGCTATAATAGGAGCTTACTCTAGAAAGATGCTTATTATACTCTAATGCCTGCCTTAAGTTTATAGATCTAAGAGCTAAGATACTCTATTTACTCTATAACTTTACGTAAGTAAGCTTAAGTCTAGAAAGGAATATATTAGATGCGTTTATTCTATTTACCTTAATAAGTCTTGTAGTAGCTCTAATGCTAAACTAAGCTTAATAGGCATTTAGCAGACTTAGTATTAAGGTTTTCTCTTACTTATAACGCAGATAGCAACGCAGCTATAAGGTAAAGTTAAGTAATAAGCAGCATACTAGGCTGCTGTAAATGCTTTCTAGAACTATAAAATACTAAGCTTCTACTATATTCTCTATCCTTTATACTTCTTACTTTACTATCTTCTTCTCTAGTTCTTTTCTTTCTCCTAGCATCTTTCTATATACTATTAGAATTATAGCTTACGTTAACTACTCTTATAGGTCTATCTCTGCCTATTCTAGCTGTAGTAGTTAAGAATTTAGTAGTAGCAGTAGTAGTAAGAGGCCTTCTTCTAGTAGCTAAGGTTCTTAGCTTCTAGTATTACTAACTAAGAAGCGCGCTCTGCCTACAGTTTGCATAGTACTTAAAGCTAGTAAGTCTTTTTTTCTTTCTTCTATTAAAATTAAGTTAACTAATATTTTTGTAGTTACTTACCTTCTTAATTAGCCTCTTAGCGCTAATCTTGCTAATAATATTACTGCTATTTTAGCTAATTTGCTTAAGTAAGGCTAGATTCTTTCTTAGTTTCTTAATAATATTAGGCGCGCTTACTTATACTAGCATATAATAATACTTTAACTAATGCTAATTACTCTTACTTAATTACTTATAGAGATCCTAATAATAATATGCTAACTTTCTTTTATTACCTTTACTATAGAGGTTACTCTTATATTCTTAAAAGCTAGGCTTTCTTAGCATTTTCTACTTAGTAAGACTTTAAGCAGTTCTACTATTGCACTATTAATTATAGTATTAAGAGTAGTAGTACTATTAGCTCTAATAGCACTTACTTAGCTACTTTACTACTCTGCTACGCTAATAGTGCTATGCACTTCTTCTATTAAGATAATATTAATAATAATAACTACGCTTATAACTACTACTTACGTAATAATAAATAGTATACTTAGTTTATTTTTCTTTTCTAGAGCTTGCTTATGCTATTACTACTAGTTAAGCTACTTAAGTTAGCTCTACTTCTAAGGTTATAAATTTTAAATCTAGATATGCGCTATATTGCTAGAACTTTCTACCTAATACTCTAAATTCTATATACCTTATTTATAGCGTTTTAGTAAATTTGCTTACTTCTTATTATTATAGCGTATCTTATTCTAGCCTTAATATACTAGAGAGGTTAGCTATCTGCTAGAGTTAGGTATTAGAAGGTAGCTATTTTATAGTTTTAGATTCTTCTTTAGCAGAGCACGTATTAGCTTATAAGTTAATTTAGTCTAGCTATATTATTAAGTTTAGTTTAGAATTCTTAGATTCTCTAATAGCTCTTTTAGATCTTAGTTTGCTTATAGTAATAAGCTCTTCTTTTTGCAATTCTTCTTATAGTTAACTTTCTTCTCTTAGGTAATTCTCTTCTTGCAGCATGCTTTCTAATTCTTTATTAGGCTTAGCTATGTACTCTTCTTTAGTAGAATCCTCTTCTTATAGTCTTAAAGATGCTAGTAATAGCAGTAGTATAGGTAGCTTTACTTAGCCTGCTATATTTTTGCTAGATGCTATTACTAAAGCTACTTAAGGTAAGACTAGTTCTACTACTTAAGAAGCAGTAGCTTTTTAGAATAGATCTCTCTAGTAGCTTAGTTACTAGCTGTTTACTAGATTTCTAGTAGATAATTATTAGCAAGGCTCTAGTAATTCTTCTTATCTTCTTACTCCTAGCAGTTCTAGAGGTACTTAGGCATCTTATTATAGCAGTGTTAGCAGTTCTAGTAGTTCTTTAGATAGGCGTAGTTATAGCAGCTCTAATAGCTACTCTTAAGAGAGCTCTAGCAGTAGTAGTAGTAGTAGCCTAAGTAGTAGTTAGTAATAGTATTTTATAGCCTTTTTACTAGATTCCTTTTAATCTTTCTATATATTATTAAGCCTAATAGTGTAGCTTTTTCTTATATCTTTTTCTTTTTTTTTTTTTCTCTCTGCCTCTTATAATATATAAAATAAAACTTATAATTCTTATAAAAATAATTTCTAAACTCTATAGTAATTTCTTTATTTATTTATTAGGCTTATTTTCCTTATATGCTAATACGTAGGCTTTGTAATAAAGCGTTAGAAGATATATTTAATAAGCTAGATTCTATATAGCAATTAATGCTATAGCAGCTTCTTTTTCTTCTATTAAGCGCATTTTTTATTCTCTTTTCTTCTCTACTCTTTTGCCTTTAACTATTCTATAGTTAAAAGTTATTTAGATTATCTATCTTATCTCTATACTATTTCTATTCTATATTATCTATAGCTTTACGTAGAATCTAAACTTAGACTTACTACGCTAAAGCTTAGTTTAATAGCATATAGACTTTCTTATACTCTTCTTTATAGCTAGCCTTCTCTTATATTACTAACGTCTATTAGGTCTAGTATCTCTGCGTTATTATCTAATACTATTTCTATATCTAATAATAAATGCTAATAGAACTTGCGTAGTTAGTTACTAGTATAGATTACTTTTAGTAGCGCGCTATTTAGTTCTTTAAGAATATATATTACTTTCTTAGAGATGCTCTTAATATAGAAAGGCTCTTTCTAGCAAGGTTCTAGTTTTTATAATCTACTTATATTAAGGTCTTAAATAACGTTCTTAACTAAGACTAGATCTCTATAAGTTATTAGATCTGTGCGCAGTATAGCTTTATTATTAAACTATTCTTTTCTCTTTTCTCTAAGTTATATAGTTTAATCTACTACTTTCTTTAGTTAGTTATCTTTATATTTAAACTATTTTACTTATAACGTAAGCAGCGTTACTATATTCTATACTTAGTTCTAAGAAAGTATTTACTATATATAAATGCTAAGTTCTACTAGAAGTACATATTCTTACTTAGTAATAAGAAATATTAGAGTCTTGCTAGTAGAGCGTTTAACTATTACTTAGTCTGCCTATAGTATAAGGTGTAAGTTTATAACTTAGTTCTTCTTTATCTTACGTAAGGCTCTTATAAGTTCTTTATAGCTGCGCTTAATAAGCTCTTAGGCATGCAGGTTAAACGCGCTTACTATAACTATTATAGTATTATATAGTATTACTAGATCTTTTATAAGTTCTTTATTTTCTAAGCCTCTATCTACTAAAAGCTTTATTAGAACTCTCTAATAAGCAAAGATTATCTCTTCTAAGAACTTAGAGACTTATAAAGAGCTGTTTTCTAAGAGTGCTTTAGCTTTAATATATTCTAAAAGATAGTCTCTTATAACTACTAGGAACTTCTTTCTAGTAAAGCTATTAGGTATATATACTATATCTATAGTTATCTATACCTATATAAT